GTCTCAGTGAATCTATTTTGATGGTTAATATGATGAATATAAACCAATTAGAAATTTATTTAAAAACCAGAATCTCTTGAACTGGTCAGTAAAATATACCAGTAATCGTTTCAATATTTGACATACAATTTCTAGACACTTTTAATCATTAAAACATCATTTACTATGCTGACGATGACATAGATGATTATGACAAATTCCTCTTAGTTTATTTGATAATCAAACAGGACACATATTATGTCAATTATCACGTAACAGAATCGCCACTCAGAACACAAAGTTATATGAACTTGTCCCTGTGATAAACCAATTGTGCGTTAACCAGCACGAACAGTCTGGAGTCAACTCTGAGTCCTTTCGGTCCTCTGTATAGTAGATTTTTGCCTAATCTAGCCCGTTCAGTCCAGGACATAAATAACCGTAAATTTCAGACATATGTGGTTCATATATAAGTAGACCAGACCACCGTAAAATTAAAAAAAGACCAGCAAAATTATACAAGACCGAGCCCAAAGTGTCTGTGGGTATGGGATACTGTAACTAATAAATTGGGAATAGGTTAAGAATGGTAAATCGTATAACAGTAACCAATTGGTCAAATGAAAGCTTATGATAAAAAGAATATGAATACACATACAATCTAGTTACTCAATAGTTGTCCAATAGGAATATATGTAATAATAGTCCACAGATGATTCTTAGAAGTTACCATTAATTTATTCTTCTTTCGGATTATTTTGTTATTATATGTCAATTTTCAAACAGAATATCATAACTTGAATCAGCGTTTCAATAAAATTTTTATGGAGACTGCTTGATTTGTAGTTTACATCGTGGAATGATAACTACTAAAAATGAGGGAACATTGGATAGAATTTTTGTCCACATTTTGGAATACTGAAAAACGTGCATACGCGATTCCTCATGGGATTAAACTATTCAGCTTTCGACCACTGAACTAGTATTATCAAGTTATGTAATAAAAACTTGTTAACTTTGGGCTATTCGTATTTGAATAAAATAACTTTATGGTAGTTAGTCACTGAAGAGAACTTGTTAGTGGATGATGGAAAAGTTTCCTTCAACCCACAAGTGTAGAACTCTTTTATTATTAAGTACCACAAACAAAGTACGGGATCATGACTTGTCAAAAGCTCTTATAAACGTAACGTGAAATACAGTACACTGCAAGTGTTTTATCCACCAGTTTAATAACCACATCGATAACCAGTAATAGAGGATATTGAATGCAGTTTTTAAGGGATCTTTTAGCACTTTACCGAACGAGTTATTTCTAATATGCCAACTTGGTCATTATGTCGCGAGCTACTGACAGTGTTTATCCAGATAAAAAGCATCTAAATTTTTAAGATATAAACTACCTACTTGCAAGTAGTGTAACAAGATCTCAAAATATAATTGATGTCATCATTTCCTATCTGCCACGGCTGTCATCATACTCTAGGAAATATTTTATTTGAGAAGGCAACAGAATCAGAATAGTAGTTCCTTTTTTCTGGAGGGGAGAAGAATAAATCATAATGCGGTTTCAGACTTGTCTGATAATATCTAGGGAATGCTCTCATGATACATCAAGTTTGGTGACAATTATGCTATTACTCAGCTACTGAGTTGTAATACAGTAGTAAGTCTTCATAATCTTAATCACTTCACTATTTAACATATGCATCATTTTTTTTTAAACCATCAGTATTCATACACGTCCTAAGCTTGTTTAAAACATCAACTGAACATTTCATTTAGAACTTCGGGATGTTAATCTAAATACGGGATGATCAGTAGACTATGTAATTCAAGGGAAAACTAAAATCCAAGTTATATTTTACAATTTAGTCTCATTTTTAATGGTTTCACTCTGAAGAACGAGAAATTCCAACCGCTTATTTGTTCATATGGTATCACAGAATGTGTGAATGAAACCAAGCACAAACCGGTTACGCTTAGTGGCAAAATGATAGATCTGATGCAAACTGAGAGAAGAACGGACTTCCAAATTTGTGTTGTCCACGAAATTCGATCAGCTCATTCAAATTCCGAACACCAATTAGTAACGGCTATTGCTAGAATAAACAAGGAAAGGAATAAAAATCTCTATAGCCACCACAAGAGGCGACGAACATGGGCTACATCCCTACGTATGAACCCAACACAATATGTCAAAACTCTAACGGACAATCTGAAGGACAACTTTAGTCTCAAACAAAATGAACCAACCATACTGAACACCGCACCTGCAATTTCCAAAAAGCTAGGATAACATCAGCTCAACATGGCTAGGTATACTAACTTACCATGGTAAAGAAGAAATCAGAGAAAAACATAAACTAATAAAAAGGTGACTCAATGAGCCAACAGAGCTAAATCGAAACAACTACATCAGAAGCGAAACAACATGAAGAATACTACATTCAGATAGGACTAGTTAACACTAACCAACTCTTTACACAAAATGAACACCACCAAGCGAATAAACGGCTAAACTTTATATTAGCGATAATAAACAACCAAAGTTTGTAAAAAACAAAACCAATTGCACAAATCAGTAACCAAACACTGAAAGACCACTATCAAAACCTATTCAGCCAGAAATCTATAATACAAATGGTCATTACACACTTAGAACCAAACCACAAAACCGACAGCACAATTAGCCTAAGTGAGCTAGAGCAAATCATGAAATGACTGAAAAATAATAATGCTCCTGGAGACAATAGTATCACAAACGAAATCATAATATATGGAGAACGCAAACTGAAAACATTCTGTTAGGAATGGTAAACGAATTATGGAGTAACACAGATAAAATACCACGCCACTAGATTGATGTGGACGTTATTAGAACCTACAAACATAAAGGTACGAAAATAGACCCAGATAATTATCGAAGCATATGCACCTGATGATGCAATTAACCTAAACGTCACTAAAGCTTGTCACGCAATAATCAAAATTCGACCACTATTGAGATCAAATAGTATCGGTATACCAACCAAAAATAAACTAACAATTTACCATGATTTTCAACGTAATTTACAGTCCAGAGACAATATTGTTAATAAAGAAAAAAGTGATGGGACTAGAAGTTGTCCTCAATGAAACAAGACCAATGATTCTTGGAATAAACAACCGAAAGAATCTCACAATGGAAGAACTAAAAGATAAAATTAATAACTCAGACATTCCCATCAAAGTCCAGCAAAACCGACTAAACACCTGGTAAACTGCTCACAAAAGACCGAACGACTTGTTGATCAAAATTATCGAAAGGATCATAGAAGATAAATTCACTTCACCAAAGCCCACACAAAATGTTAGCTAAGACAGTTAAGGCTGGACTTTGAGGTACTCAAAGACAAATCACCAAGGAATTATGCAGAACGCCCAACTAAGATTAAACTAAATAATGGAGGAGAGTACAAACAGAAAATAATTGGTCAACGAGCGCAAATATACGTATGCACAAATATAAAGTTCAGTCGAATGTTCGTAGCAAAAAAAGAGATGAACAGACACTTAAGAAATGATCTTACAACTTAGGATTCCTCAGAAACAGAAGGACACAAGTGCCTGATGGCAGACTACTCAAAGTCATACATAACAATGGAATGGCTACATAGACACATTAGATCCTTCCACCCATAACATACCCAACCAATAACAACAAACATAGAAACCCTGGAGATCTCTGAACTAACAACCGATATGAAATCAATACAGCTAGAAGGACAGAAAACCAACAACTTATATAAATCCCATTCACAAATTGTACAAAAACTTTACCGACAAAAATGGTATGATAAACCGTTGTTATTTGATACACAAATGGTTGTTAAGACCAATAAAAACCAAAACAGCTATCGCACTCCGGTAGTTGTACTGTGTTTCATGGCGTATTTTATCTTAGTTTTAAAAGAAAAGAACAAAGAGAATAATCTAGTGAAACGCGTTGATGTTCATTCACATGAGTAAACCATATATAAGTATAGAAGTAAACAGTACTAAAATTTCCCGATATTTCGTATCGCAAGTTGGCACCATCTTAAAAAGTACTAAGACCAAGATGTATACAGCAACTATTCAATTGGAACTATAGTGATTTCAGCAATATACCTTCTCATTTCTTAGTTTATTCACGAAATAACTGTTATCTGAATACAATTACAATATTAACTGTTTATGATCGGTATTTATTTGGTTGACTTGATTGTGTAATTAGTATCTACGTGACAATGAATTCAAAAATGAAAACTTTGAAGAACTAGCTCTATAGAAAGAAAAGTGTTTATCCTCCTTGATTGTTACTAATTATCAGATACTTATAATTTTGCTAATACTTACAATCAAAATAGTTTTTTTTTTTCATAACTAACTTAAAAGGAAAACGTGCCTGTACAAGGACAATTGTAAAATTTGGTATAACCAGATCGGTCATAATGAATGAATCGTATTATAGAACTAAGTTTTTAAAGGCAATTTAATAATCTACATTGTTTCCCTACATGTTTGGCATTGTATAAAGTTTAAAACAATTACTAAAGCTATTGTTCTTATTTATTTCTGCTATTATTATTATTATTATCTTAATTAAATATGGTTGTAATTTGCAAACAAAACATCTTCATTATGTACTATTAAGAAAACAAATAAATACAACTGTCCATAACTATTTAATTAACATTCAGCCTCTTCGCTCTCATTTTTCGTGGCCCTTTTCTGTTTTTATCTTTTTAAATACCTATTGTACACTTTGTTATCCATCAACCTAATGAGAACTAAAAGCCAGTGCTGGGCTGGAAATTACTGAATATATATATATATATATATATAACATAAAACTTAACGATGTTTACCGTAGTTTTCGTATATATTATTCTACTGTTGCTATGGGAATTAGAGAGAATATATAGAATAAAAACTGCGTATATATATTCCCATAGTTTAGGATGAGGTTCATTGAATACCTAAAGATTTATTTGGATATGAATATTTCGGGGGGAATTAACACAGTATTATGGTTATATTGTATAATTGTAAGTTTTAACTATGTATTATTTAGTTTCATTATGGTAGATATATTTATAATGTAAGGAAAGGATCTAGTATCTTAGAAAACGATATAAAAAGGACTTTATTTGGGCAATAAAAATATAGACTATCATCAGTAAATTACAGAATTATATTCATCATTATGATTTAGAGCTTTTTTAAAATGTCTAATCATAGATGTCCTCCATTGAAATATTCTTCTACCATTATTTGTCATTTGTAGAAAAAAAAACACTTTTAAAATTTGTTACCTAGACTCTTATAATATATTACTTTGCATTTTCCCGCAGTTTGAAATAGCTAGTAGGAAATCCGTTTTGCCTTATATACAGTAGATTTTATTTGTTCAAAATCACATTTGATAAGAGCAGTTGATTTGAAACTTACTAATACAACGAATACATCATTAATAAAAAAAAAATGTAACTAACTAAAACTACTGAAACACTAAAATTATGCGCACCATAATGTAGAATGATACAAGATATTCTAATGTTCAGGATAGTTTAAGTCATGGAGTACAATCATATAAAAGATCATTGAAAAAGAAGTTTTGAAAAGTAAACATTTTGTTCCAGTTCAAATCTATTCTGTTCTACATATCCTCGGATTGATATCGCATGAAATATGATCTTCAGGTTTTAGAGCAAGTACACCATCTACTAAGCAATTATTTTCTATTAAAGTGTTTATGTTCCTTTTAATAAATCCGGTTGGTGATAAAAACTATCGTTAATCCACCTATTTACACTTAAGGCACTTCTTCAAATTCAACAAAATGTTTGTGCACTTTTACAATCTAAACTAATGCCTACCTTACAGGGAAGAAATACAGTGTTTGCCGTTAAATGGTTGACAAATATTTTATTTAATGCATTCTAACTACAAAGCTAAAAGTATTTTGAAACATAGTAAATTGTCACAAATCATTCTTTCAATGACTAAGACCATGAGTCAGTTGAAGCTAGACCACCATGAAAAACTTGAAAGCACTGGACGGCCGGCTCGTCCTATTATGGGACTCCTCAACAGTGCTCATCCACGACCTCGCCTCCTGGAGTCCCAGTGCTTCCAGGTTTTCCATGGTGGTCTAGCTTCAACTGACTCATGATCTTAATCATTGAAATTACTACAATCTCCACAAAACCCCTTCTGATACAAATCATTCTGCTTGAAAAATAACCAAATATCTTTTAAAATTTTCTCTTCTTAAATTTCGATCATAGACAATTTTGAATACAAATGGGATAATTGAGATAGGTAAGAAATTATCTAATATAAAATATTCGAAAACTGTTGATAATTAGAATGTGCTATACCAGATCCTGTTTATTATTTGGAGCGTCAAGAAACTCGATATTTTGATTTTTCTCCGGGATTTTACGATTCTGAAACAGTAAGTTTATTATAAATTTAGAGATAATAGACTAGTAGGTTTTTTTTTCAACTAGCTAATATCTGATGAGAATTGTTAGTCTTTATTCATTACTGTTTAAATCGGTCAAGATAAATATATATATACAGAGGTATTTTGAGGTTCATTAAGTATGAGATACTTTGATACGGCTATAGTTACTAACCTAAATTGTTTGTAGATGATTGTAACTTTTCATGTTGATTAAATACTAAATGTTAATTAATTTCAAGAGGTTTATACGTTACTTAAACCAAAAGGCACTACTCCTTTTATCTTGCATATAAATGTACATTATTTTAGTGGTGGCTGTAAAACAATATCTATCTATCTATCTATCTATCTATCTATCTATCTATCTATCTATCTATCTATCTATCTATCTATCTATCTATCTATCTATCTATCTATCTATCTATCTATCTATCTATCTATCCACACATCTATCTATCCACACATCTATCTATCTATCTATCTATCTATCTATCTATCTATCTATCTATCTATCCACACATCTATCTATCTATCTATCTATCTATCTATCTATCTATCTATCCACACATCTATCTATCTATCTATCTATCTATCTATCTATCTATCTATATATATATATATATATATATATATATATATATATATATATATATATATATATATAAATTTTACTCTACTGACCATAAGTGAAGCTTAGTTAGAACTTTATTTTGAATCATCAAGAGAATCTGCTGATCGGACCAATTTCGTTTCAGGGCGATTCGAAGAAAAATGGCTAATCACAAAAGTTTACGGCATATTTTATGATTGGAATTTGAAGTTAGTAGGATTTGGAAACTCAAGGGAAAAGGTTGAGTTTTCCCCTTTACAGATTTTAAAGGAGTAAAGTGTCATACATTCCTATGGAACTGTTTTTCATTCATTCTTTTACTATGATTAAAATTGCATTTACAGGGTAAAGTTTTTATATATACAAACGAACATAAAGTATCGGTCATTGAAAGACTATTGAAATAAATCAGAGTGAGTTTGTTTGAAATTTAGTCTTAGGTATGATATTGACTGCAGTTCAATTTTACATAACGACTGTGGCCAAGTTTTGCCACTACAAGTGCATAGAAAGATGAGTTTCTAGTTGTTTTAGCTAGATAAAATCTGTAGATAAGTGATTTAATATGGAATATTGCTATATTAAAAAAAGATTACAGGGTCACGAACTCAGTTGATATTATGGAATCTTATTCCTCTAGCACACCTATTAAGGAGAAATTATACGAAAATTTTCGCCATAAAACACAACTCTTGTAAGTCTAATTATAACATTGGCTGTAAATTAAGGCGTTTTGCTCATTCACAGCTCAATTTAAACCATATCTCAACAATATTATGCATAAAATTATCTACCAAAAAGATAACACATTTCAAGTATAATTTAGAATACAAGTCAGACGTTACAAGTGAAAAGCAAACCAAACTTCAATATCACTGTAAATATACAGTTTATCAGAAGGGGTTTTGTGGAGATTGTAGTAATTTCAATAGTTAACCACGAAACCACTGAGCCGGCATTCAACGATGTTTATGTCTAACTTCAACTAATCCACGAAATTGAGCAACACATCCACCACTGTCATCAGTGAATTACTATCTCACAACAGACCTGGTTGAATTCCACTGGTCACTAGAACTGCAGTGCTTCCAGGTTTTCCATGAAAAGAGATTCATAACAGAGTTATGTGAGATAACCAATAGAAAATTTAAATTATACTCAGTTAATATTTAGTTGCAAATGACCAAAGTAATCTAGAATACTCTCCCTATAACAGTTAAAACTGTTATGATATCTATATTTTTTTCTTTTATTACTCTATTATGAAATGTGATGTCATGATTCGTATTACAAAAAAATACCTAACAGATTTAATTACATTATACATTTTAACTTCCTTCTCACTTTATCTTTTTATACAATATGTACACAAAACTAGATTGTTACAGATCCTTCAGATTGTATAACAGTTTGTAAAAAGAACAACTTTGCATGGTCAGCTATATCAAATGACTCGTTTTGTTTCTGTGGAAATAATTTACCACCGAATACAGAATTATATAATTCAAGTTGCTTATATTCAGAAACAATAACTGTCTATAAGACAGAATCAAATGTTTATATAGGTCCATTTGAGGTAAGTGTAACTAAGAGAAACAAGTTTGACCTTGACCTTTTTAAAATTAAGTATGTTGTGTAGGGACATTGAATTTATAAGTTTGAGTAAATGTAAAACTTGAAGTAACCATCATGGGTTTTATAGTAAAAAAACGTGAGAATAATATTACATATGGCATTCGTTTGATCAAAAAATCAATGAAAACATACTAGGAATCTGTTAGTCTACTATTATATGTGTCTATCTTTTTTACTGAGACTGTTGAAGTGCAATAGTCTATCGGAAAATTATGATAATAAATTATTTTGGTCTTGTAAGTTCACCATAGTCTATCTTATGAAAGATCTCAGTTTAAATAGTTCCATTTAAGGAATGCAGAAATATGAATAAATATTACGATAGAACAATGAGAAGACGGAGTTGATCTGAAAAATGTGATGTATTTAGAATAATCTGGTCACACATATATTTGTCAGGGCATTTTATATAAAAATCAATAAAGGTCAATTACATGAAAGTTAAAGTACAAACAAACAAACAAAAAATAACAAAGGGGAGAGAAAGAATAAGAAATTGTCGCATTATCCTAGGCCATAGAATAAATATTAGCATATGACGTAGGTGATGCGAGAGTTCTTTAAGCTGACACCGTTGGTGGATATTTTCGGATGAGACAGTAATGAAAAATTGTGTAGTTTTAACAAGATAGATGACTAAAAATACATCAGATTGTACAAATGTGGTGATCATATACGAGAAAAATACATTTGTTCAATTACTAAAGTAAGTGTTTACTCTTTACTGAGCTGAAGGGTCCGGGAAATTCATACTGGGCTTGTAACTGAAAAACACTGGATTCAGTGAGACATCTCATAGGCCCTTGATAATAGATGATGGAGATTCAAATCGAAAAATATCTGAGTTACAAAAATAATTTATGAATTGAGTAAACCTAGATTCCGTTTAAAAATAAGGGCCCGGAATTTTGATCATCAGTTCAACAGGAGGCTAAATAATAAGAGTTAACATAGGATGACTCTGAAAGTATGGGAACAGAATATTATTTATTCTGCTTTAAAGTTAAACACTGAGCAAATGAGGCTACTTTGCAACCTTTTTATTGTAAACATTTGTAGGGTTAGATTAATTACGTACATACGCACTTGCGCACTATTTAGTGATTGATTGTATAATACCAAAGATGAGCGCAGATCACAATTAGTCAAGTGATGTAATTGCCATTCTCGACATGAATTCTGGCTTTCTGTGGGGGGCACTTCAGTCCACGCAGTGCATTATATGTTATGTAATATACATTATGACTAGGCTAAAAATCTGGGAATACTAGACTAACTCTTATCCTGTTGGTAGTATACAAGAAAACTATTTTATGATATGAATAGTCAAGTGTTAAGCGAGTCAAACTTCACTCAGCTTTAGCTCGCAGTATATAAATGTTTTCTAGTATGAATGATCATTTAATCTATTCTATTATGATTAGATATTTTCACATGGACAGTTAATAATAGTATGACAAAATTAGTTAAAAATGTCACATATGTCATACAAATGTTCCTATAACATTCATCTTGATTTCTTTATGTATTCACACATGCCTTACATATAAATAGGCCTTATGAAAGAACTATTTTAAAATTTCTTAACTTTAAATATACAGTAACATAATTTTCAAGATAAAAGCTCTTTTAACTTTTAAACAAACCTGTAAGAACTAAAAACGAGATGAATAACTTGCTTGAATGGATTTGTATCACGTTCAAGGTGATTTAAAAACATATGATATAAGGTTGTTGGTTAACATTTTATAGAATATAGAGTACATCTCGAGTTAAATACTGTAAAACATCAAAAGGTGAAAAAGTAGAGATGAGTAAAGTAAACAAACTAACACTGTATGTCGTTATTAATTCAGTCGGTTAACGTATATTTCTTTTTACTTTTTTTTTAAAAAAAAAACGATTTAATTACCTTCACATAGATTACAACAACAGGTTTGACAGTTAAACAAATTGGAGATACAATCTCATTAAATTTTGTAATACCAACAGAATTTAAAGTTTTACCTGGTGTCAAAGTTTATGAATTCGATTATGGTGATTCAATACAAACTACAGAAAATATCTCAGATATTACTATACCACTAGTAATAAGTTACAATGCACCAGGTCCTGTATGGCCAACATTGAGGGCAAGAAATGAAGATGGTACAATTGTAAGTGTATTTAATTATATTGTAAATGTTTGCAGATGTATTGTAATAATGCAGGTACTAAATATAATGATGTTAATCCATAAAATGTATCAAAAGATTTTTAAAATTATGTCACTGAATGATTTTCAAATTTAAAATTTCCTCAAGGATAAGTAATTATAACCAAACAGAGTATATAGGTTCCCTTTAATTCTTCACAGTTAATAGTTCAGTTAAAAATGAAACTTCTCATTAACTGTATCATACAACCAGCTTTTATATCAAATTCAATCCTTCGTCTTTTCTATATTGAAGTCTACCACATTCATTTTCTACTATTGAAATATTATAAAGAACAAAGCATAAATTGAATATATTTATATGAAATGAAGAGTAGTTATCACGTTATAGCTATGTTATTTATGTTCTTAGTTAAATATCGAACAAAATAAAAGAACCGAATTACACAATTCAATAAAATTCTTCAGTGTTGGAAAATTACGGCTACTGGTTCAACAGAAAGATTCTTGTCAAATTATAAAGCTATATTTTTATATTCCAAATACGGTCAAGGGTGAGCTCTAAACTAAATCCATGATATTTTCAAGATGTTTAGTGGTTTTTGTAATAATATTTATTTATACATGTAGTCTTGCATCAATTACAGTCATCAAATAACTAAGAGTTATCACTGTCACATAATGTGTTCTATGTTCAATTGGGTTTTATAGTAGTTCCTTTCCAGTCTGCTTTCAATTATTCTCTAATTATCATAAGGGGTTTTGTGGAGATTTTAGAAATTTTGATAGTTGAAATCATGAGTTAATTAAAGGTAGACAACCATGGAAAACCTGGAAGCACTGGACGATCATTTCGTCATATTGTGGAACTCCTCAGCAGTACGCATCCACGATCCCGCCCCCTGTGGATGTGCGCTGCTGAGGAGTCCCATACTTGAACGAAACGGCCATCCAATGCTTTCAGGTTTTCTATGGTGGTCTAGCTTCAATTGATTCATGATTTCAACTAACGAAAATCTCCAATTGTTGTTGTAAACCATATTCTCATTTGAATTTTTCTTTAGTGAAAGATGATTTAAATTAAAACATTACATTTTATGCCTTGTTACTTATCTCATGATAATTGTATTAAGATATCTATTCTCTTAGAGACTATTTTAATATCAATGAATTCTTTTTCCAGTTTCTTTTCTCAACAAAAGAGTTTTCTTCATTTTGTCTCATTTGTATTTCGGTTCTAACTGACTAAATCTATATGTAGATGAATTCCCTATTTTTTTGTTATCAATACTTCAGAATGCCCTATAGAGAAAGATCTAGTTTCAATACAAAGTTAATACTTATACTTATCTCTGGATATATCAAATAGATTATGAAAGTTTGATTATGTTCATAATTGCTTAGTTAGAAAATTTTCATTTACTACAAATCTTTCATATTTTAGACTGGCTCAGCAAGTTTAGCATTAATGATTTATGAACTGATAACTCCGGCTGATATTACGCTTAACTGCCCACTACTTGTCATGAGTGGATCTGTATTCACTTGTCAATTGAATTGCAATAAAGGAAGTCATATACAAGGAACTGTGTCGTTTGCAAACGATTGGCAAGATGCAATCTCATTACCAGGTATGATGTTTCACTAGAAAAAGTTTAATTGAAAATTTAGTTTATATATGATAAAATAAAGGAACTTGGATATTATATTGAGGCATGAAGATTTGTCATTTTTTTTAGAACAACTTAATGCTACAATTCAAGATGATCTGTATAATTCACTGATCATTCATTAACTGACGTAATTATAGTAACTAAAAGGCGGTAAACAACACTTTAGGTATATCTACTGTGAAGCACCTTCTGAAATCCTTTTTGAAAAACACTCAGGTATCATGATAAATGATAGTCATTTACAGACATATCACATTTTTAAAATAATCAAAATAGAAAAAGATTGACAGATTAAACACTTACGTATTTTGATGGTTATTCTACTCCTTATGAGGTGACACTAATTTCATGATCCAGATAGTTGATTATGAGTTAACCGAGAAAATATCTTAGATTGCTATCAACAAATAAGAATGTTGTTTATTAGATGAGTTATTTAAACAACTGAAGGTTATTTAAGAGGTTTGAAAGTTGGTAGTTTTCAGTGAAGGAAGAATAATAATCGCATTTGAATAATCTGAATTCATTTGTTTTGTGAAGAGGATCGGCGAGACTATAATTTATGAACGAACCTATCAGGTATAAGATAACAGATCTCGAATTTTGGAGAGAAATTCCCTCATCCATTTGGTTAAATCAAGTTTTGACATTATAGCTAGTGATCTAACCTTAACCATCAACTGTGAATCATAATTCTAATTTCTCACACTGATTTATAACCCTCGTTGGGTCCTAGCTATTAGGTGGACACATTCAAAGCCACTTTAGTGTCTCTCAAATGTCTCACCAGGAAATGAATGGAATTTCTAGTTATTTTTATAAAAACCGATGAGTTTTTAAAATTATTCTATTTCAAAAACAGTGTTGATGATGATAACAAGTAGTCTGAATAATTTCTCTGGCTAGAAGCTGTTAGTTATCATGTCTGCTTTGAATTAAAGCTCATAACTTACAATCATAAATTATTAATATTTATGCTTATGTGTTTTAATTTAAACAAATTATTCCCTTGATTCATTTTGAAGTTTACCATTTAACAACATGAAGCTTAACAGTTTCTACAAATTTAAGATCTCGCTAATTTATATACATTGGGACTGCCCTAACCATCAACAATCATGCATTTTATCACTAACAGAGACTTTTTATCTTATTTTAATAATATATAGAAATGCAATGAGTAAATTCTTTATGAATTACGTTCAGCAAAGCTCATCCTATTTGATTAGCTGATTTACTATACAGCTTATTAAGTCTTCTATTTCACTTGTGAATGAACTAGACTAACGATTTAAGCGTTTATATTTGTGAAGAATGATGATGTCACATTGCTTTTTAGAAAGCAAAGTTAGGAAACATTTACCAGTGTAGGTTTGTTTTCGTGTCTCTGTGTAAATATCATTTAGTTGTTTAGTGATCAAACAGAAAGCATACTCACTTGTAAGTGTATTATTGTAGAACTCTTCAATGTTGACAAACATCTATTGGTCAGGTTATTCTAACCTAATCAAATAATCGGCAAATATTCTTTGGTGTTTGTATGATGGCAGTGATGGTAGACGATATGCAGAAAGTAATTTAGTCATTCAACCCACTTCTCTACGCTAGTTATCATTACATATCTAAAACCTTGAGCCAATAACTTTCTCAACTATTCAACCACATGCTATAAACTACATGAATGAGCACAGTTTTCTCTTAAAATCCCAGTTTGCTAAATAACTCCAACTTCTAAGAAATTCAACTGATTGCGCTTGCTTTAAAATTATTTTGACAACGATATAAATATCTCTATAGCTACTGTATTGTTGAGATCAAAATTTATAGGTTTAATAAAACGGTTCTTCTTTAGTCCATGTTTTCAAAATTATCATTCTGGCCACATTTGGAACGAAAACAATCAGTAATTAAAAATTGGTAAATCTATATTGCTTGTCCTCTTCCTGTTCAAATGGGTCATCTGGTTGAAACGACTTCGTTAAGATTACATAATCTACAATGAACGCTATATATTTTACTTGACAATTTTAGTAAATAGTAAGTCATCGTTAGACGATAGGAATCCAGGAAACAGACCATTACTTTAGAGTATTTGAATTGTTACAAAAATGGCCATCTGGGTTGAGAGTAAACTCAAGTATCGATTTTTTTCAGCGTATAGAAGTCGAGTGAGACATAACTCTTATGTCATACACATTGCATTCTACATATTTGACATTTTTCACACCTTTATGGTTTTCTGACTACCCAAATGCAATATTAACCGAGTTTTGTTTAGGAATTATACAGTCAACAAAGTTGTAACTTGTGAGCAAGTGAATCTGTTTGTCATTTCTCCACCCTGTCTGTAATTTATATCAAGCAGATTGAAATGACATTAACACTGGTTTACAGTCTCGTCCAAGTCAATTGACCAGATTAATTTTTTTTACATCACGTTCTTGTAAATGAATTAATCCCCCCGGTAATATGATAGCTCTAATCAGATGAAATAAGATCATTTTTCTCGTCATGAAAAGCTATAGATTAATATCGATGGTGTTCAACTGCTCATATTATTCGGTAGTAGTTTCTTCTCCATTGAGTAGATCATGAAAGGCCTGGAACTTATTGCTGAGGGCTATCTTGAATTTGTTGAGTTTGTCAGTATCCCGAAGAAGAGCAGTATTAAACTATTGCGATGTTGTCTGCCCCGTTGTCCAGTGCTTTTTGAGTTTTAATTTCATCTTGGCGACCAGCAAGTGATGATCTGATGCTATATCAGCTCCTCTCTTTGTTCTCACGTCCTCCATCGTCCTCCTGAACTTTTTGTTGATGCAGATATGGTCGATTTGTTTCTGTGTGGTGTGATCCAGTGAAGCACATGTGGTTTCGTGGATGCGTTTATGAGGGAATACAGTGCCGCCTATGACCAGTTTATTGAAGGCACATAGATTTGCAAATCTCTCACCATTTTCGTTCCTTTCTCCCAGTCCGTGTCGTCCCATGATCTCTTCATATCCGGTGTTGTCAGTTCCAACCTTGGCATTTAGGTCTCCCATCAGAATGGTCAGGTCCTTTGTTGGACACTTCTCGACAATTGACTGCAGCCTATCGTAGAATTGATCTTTAGCATCTTCATTGTATTCGTTGGTAGGCGCATAGCCTTGGATGACGTTCATTGTAATGCCCTCTTTCTTTGTTTTGAAGGAGGCTTTGATGATCCTTGGTCCAAAAGATTCCCATCCTATAAGTGCATTTTGTGCTTGTTTGGACAGCATCAATGCAACTGCTTGTGTATGTGGGGCACTTTTTTCTTCATGTCCGGAGTATAACAGTCGTTGTTGTCCAACTTGCATCCAATGTGTTTCACTGATCCCAAGCACCTCTAGGTTGTATCTCCTCATTTCTGCAGCAATTTGGAAAACTCTCCCAGTCTCCCACATTGTACGAGCATTCCATGTACCTAAATAAATGGTTGCTCTGGTTATCAGAAGGGGCATCGGCCTCGTGACTTCCGAAAGAACTCGGCTTTCATCATGAGGCGTCATAACTCTTCTAATCGAAGACCTTCTGACTCCCAGGGCAGAGTTTAAATGGTTTGAATACTTTTTTCTGGTTAGTGTTTTCTTGGAGAGTTAGTTTTCTACGGGATGGGGTCGTTAACCCCATGCCCAACCCTCCTCCTTTATCCGGGCTTGGGATCGGCAGTAGCTCTTTGGGGGACTCCAGGCGGAGTTACAACGAAATGTATTCGAATACAAAATTACAGAATATCTTAATAAAATCTGAGAACTATACAATAAATACTTCATTTGCAAAATGTTGATCAATCGTCTCAGACTTTATTGTTTGTTTATTTCTACAACAATCATTCATTGTTCTCGTTCTCTCTTCTTCGATCTTCTTAACCTTCTGATGCCAGGCATTTCACTTTCGATTAATGATACATACTACTTATATCTGTCGACATCAATAGCACATACCACAACTATACATTGTCGTTTCCAGTGGATATAACATTTTTTTCATAAATGCTACTTACAAAACCACGATTAGTTTTTATCTCAGTATTACTAGTTTAGTATTTGATTAAACAACTCGATTTTTTAGATGAGGTATATTGTGTTGATTGCTAGAAATAAAACTATCACATATTAACAATAATAGGTATTCAATGCAGAGTAGAATATTGTTGAAGATATCATATATTACATGAAAATGATATTTTTCAAACTATACTGATTGATAAAGCAGGTTATTACTTTAATTAATGATGTTTTTGATTGAATGAACGTTATAGTAGCAATAACAATAACTGGTTATTAGATGATAGACAATATTATGATATATTTACCACTGTAATGTAAACAATAAACTAAGTGACTATACGTCATAGTGAATTGTTTGATACGTGAACTGTTGACAAGGAGATATTTTAATGTCTTAATATTAAATTAGATAAACCGTTTCATTTCATTATAACTTGTGTTTGTTGTATTTGTTAAATCAATAAACTTTCTAGTATAACTCATATGTGGATTTACCTAACATTTGTTTCTTTTTCTCAGTCGTCAAGAATATGGATAATTTTAATTCAGAATTAGAAGTGATGCAATGTAACAGAGATTTCTAGAAATTTACTAATATATGAAGCTGATAGATGCTATTACACATACGCATAATCTAGATATAGAACCTATTGTTGATTGACTAAAGTAATATCAAACCATTAACCAAGATAACAAATCAGCTTAAGGACAAATATTTGTTTATTTCATAACTCATTTATACGACTGAATTTCCTGATTCATTCCAGAATGTTATAATATGTAGTCATAGAGCTTCGGTACGGTGTAATCTAATTCTGTTAATCTTTATTTTTTGTAAATTTGAGTTTATTAACTTGATATACCACTGTTGTTTCTTTTTTTTGGCGCAGTTGCTTTATTTTTTATTCTTCAGAACCAAATTATGACTGGATAGGACTGCCTCCAAAACGTATGAAAGATACAATGATAAATTATAACACAAACAAGTTAATCATCACTGGTTCACAAGCTCGCTATGATGGAACAATCAGTACAATTCAAATACATGCACTTCTATTAACTGATATCACCTTTTATGTAAGTTGTATTTATTTCAATTCAGCTACAAACAAATATCTTCTTAGTAAGATTCACTAATAATTGATCACCTGTCACATGAGGAATCCACTGGGATGAAAACAAGTTTAGATTCCTTTTTTTTAGATTCAGTTAATAGATGCACTGAGGTATCATCATTATTCAATAAATACGATGTTAGTCGATTAATAGTCATTAGTTTGATAAAGGTTGACTGGCACCAATGCACATGTATTTATATTATTTGGTTGATTGATCATTTGTTACAAATTCAAACTATTTGTTAGTTTAGAGTCTTCAAATAATGAGTAAAAGGTCATGTAAAATAAACATCAAATGTAACATAAACGAATATCCTTCAAAGTCCTTCTGTCGTTGGATGTTTTATTCAGTCTTGACCCATTTTATAAATGATGAACCACATAGAAGTGTAGATTTAGTAAATGAATGACTTTGTAGATGAGAACTTTGTGTGCCTGATATACTAAACTACATTGTTTCACACACTGAAACGTTGTCTTTACATATTGAACTATTCAACTTGAGCTTATCTTATGAAACCAACATTTGTTTGTTACATTATCAGTGATCTATGGATAGTTGAAAATGTAAAATAATGTACGAGGTTAGTTAGTTGACATAAACTAAAGTAATTCAACTTTTCTACATTTACATGGCTAACTGAAAAACAAAATCGCTTGAATTATGGTAATAAGTACACTTTTCGAGACGTAGGTAAAGATCATAACTGAAGTTTGACAAGGACTTGATTCGCAATCAAATTCGAGATGGTGGATTTTGGTTATTAGTCTATCACAGTAATAACCGAAATAAAAGATTCAGCTGTTAATTTAATTTCAGTTTTACTTTAATAGAGCAGACCTAAGCAAAGCTGTCATAGTAGAGATGAATGTATGGTTAGTCATTTTCCCCAGTACTAGCTATCTATTTATAGTTACAAAAACCAATTTTGACAAACCGAAACTAGGTAGGGTATGCAAATCATTGAATGACAGATTAATTAAGGTGCATCTAGTCAGATATCAGAAGATTGGTTGGCTACATTCATCATTCAATATCCATTTACATTTCAATATATGAAACAATAATTAGTCTGGATTGAGTTAAAAGAGTTGGGAAATTATCCATATTGTTCCTGACACTTTAAATAATTGATACAGTTAAAACAGTTATGGTCAGACATTTATTATTTGTCTATTATTTCAGCTTTTACGCGTTCAATGCACTAGTGGTATGTACAATTTTGAAACCAATAGCTGTTCACCGACCAACAATCATAGCGTAACGTGTACAGTAAATCAAGTGTTTTCTGGTTTGGTCCGGGATTGCGTTAACATATCATCATCCGATTGCGGTAATCTACGACAACTGAAATTAGATAAACCTATAATTGTTGAAAATTATAATTATCAAGTGATAGGAGTAAGTCATTCCATAAACGGTAGTACTTGCCATTATTCTGAAGATTTTAGTTAGTTAATTTTTTCTGCAGATCTTAATAAGACATAATCTATGTAATGTAATGTATGAAAGAAAAAAATTTTTTGGATTATTATGAAAGCTCAGAAACAAAAAACGTCAGATGATATTTTCCAAAGTGAGGATTTGATGACAAAACACTTTTTATTACACAAAGGAGATCGGAATTTCCAAATGGTCAAAACTTCGGTTGATGAAAGTATGTGTCTAAAATGGATTTGAAGAACATATCCGTTATATATTTAGTAGTGGGAGAGACTCAACCATGATATCCGATGATTCTATCTTTTATTTAAATCACTGAGTTTGCATTGATTTTCATCATTGATTTACGTAGATCTCATATCGTCTCAGTAATTATGCTCAAAACACATATATGTAATTAGATGCAATGTAACTTGATGTAATCGTATCTTAAATGTACGAACTAAGTGGTAGGTAGGTTACATGTCTGACAGTAAAATTTTAGCTATAAAGTTTTTTAGGATAATCTCTACTCCGGGTCATTGTTCAAAGGTCAAACCATGGAAACTACTCGTATGTAACTGTGATAAATATATTTTCCTGTGTTCTGGTCAATATATAACACAAGGCAATACATCTTAATCATTATTTAGGTATTATTCTACTATTGTGATTTGTTGTAAGCTTAAAATGGCAGAGAAATATTTAATCGGTTACGGTTATTACTGGATTGTTTGAAGTATTTCTACAAACCCATAAGTAGCTAATAGTAACCTTGGGATGCTGTATCTTCCTAAATCATATAAAGGACATTAGTTCCAGTTGTTCACTGTAAAATAGTAATTTCTTGATTTTTTTCCCATTTCATTTAAATTTCAGATTCCTACTTAAAGAGAAAACAAAATGTGATATTTCATGGTTTGCTTTGGCAAATTAATATGAGGTTATTTTTTTAAAAATACAAGCCAATCTTGTCAATCCAGTAGAAACATTTACATCATTTCTATTTCTTTGTTGATAAGGAATCAAAATCAGATTATGGTACACCCTAAGATCTTTGCTTCGTAAATGTTTAACTAAGTGTAGGCGATTTAAGTGAAAATGACTATACCTACGAATATTTTCATTAAATCAGAATTTAGTCATTCAAAGCTGATGAGTTCATACTTATTAGAATAGTGAAATATATCCACGGCTTAAATAATGTTGATCTAATTAGTGTTTCTAACTGACTTAAGCGTTTCACTCCTTTTACTCATTCTGTTTACTGATCAATATCAGAGTAAACAGTTTTCACTGTAAAGTTTGATGCCAATAACGATTAACATCTTAAGATTTTGCCTTTCATGGGTAACTGAGTAGGAATTATATAACTACGTTTCCCCCAATTGTATCATTCCTACCTCGAAATATAAATCATTTAAACATTTACTCCAGTTTAATTTTCACTAGTCAACACATAGAACTACTGATGTAGTTTTACGGAAATTATAACGGAGATAACTTTCAGGAATATGTTTTATCCCTATCCTGAAAAAAATCAAGCATTTCCTACTTACTTATTTTTACACAATAATTCCAAACTTATTTCAAATTTCTGAAATATCATTCTCCAAGTCATTTTCAGTGACTTTCTTAACATGCGTTTACAAAGTGCCTTAATTAAAATGACTCCACTGAAATGGCCCTTACTTATAGAGGTAATTTTATCGTCCAAAGCTATAAAGGTCCTATGTGGTGACGGTAATATTCAGTCTTATAAAACCCGTAACCACTGTTAGACTCAAATGTAGTTATACAGACACTTCAAACTGTTTGTCTATAGCATAGTTCAATAAGAAATATCTCCATAACAAACCTCCGTGAAATGGTTCACAGTTAACTTGTAGTCACATGCATCACACTCAATGGAATAATGCAAACGGAACAGAAATCACTAATATAGTTTCCAAAGATCGATAATTATTCGCTCAGCTCTTTTATACAATATTTTACAATATGTTGTCCCATAGTTAATAAGGTATAATTATTTCAATTAACTAACTCTTCAAACATAATAAAACATTAGCCTTTAATAATATATGACAATATGACCACAACAAAATGCTATGACAACTTGTCATCACTTACAGAACTGACCATGGATTACCCTACCGTATACAAGAGGTCACAACAAGATTATCTTAACTTTTACAAATGAACGTGGTGCAAAAGCCATCAATATCCATTTAACCAATATAATCAAACCGATAGACTCAATGTCAAGAGATGAAGTGTCAAGTGTGGTCGAGTAAATAAAATGTCACACATGAATGAAATACAATACATTAAAAAGCGATCCTCATCTTCTCTGCTTACATAAACGAAAATTAACTTTCAAACTAACGAAATGTTTTCATTCATATTAATGGATTTGGACAGTAATGAACATGACTTATAGAAACTACTGAGATACTAAAGAGGGGAAGTACAATAAAGAGAAAGATTTTTAGAAAAGTAGTTCTTAGGTCATTCAACACATTGAGATAAATCCAATTCATCAATCTATGAGGAAAATGTTAACCGACTATTAGGTCAGCAAGAAACATTCTATTTGCAGATAGTGGTAGTACAATTAACAGTATCAACCAATCATATTCCATTTCAACAGGACAAACTGTTAGTCACTGATTAAAAAATTTAAATCGATCATTTTCAGGGTTCTACCAGTGATTGTGTCTAGCAATACAATGAAAACTTCAATAGTTAACGTTCAATACCGCATCCAAACTTTCCAATGGAAGTTTAATTGTTCTAACATCCCATGTCCTATATTCTATTGAATTTATTAAGACGCTATAGTCTTGAAAAAAGACCTGAGTTGTAATATTTAGATTTGAAAACGCATTGAATATTTTTTTCGACTAATTGATCTTGTTTGTCTGTTTCCCATGACATTAATTTTATTTTTTAGATTTATACGGTCAAATTAACAGTTTTGGGTTGGCAGAGTATTAAGTTGCCTTCAGTATGGAGTATTCAGTCAGGTGATCGAATAGGATTCACTAGTATCTTAGCAGGAAGTATTGGATGTGCTCCTTCCTCATCATATGAAGCTGATGATTTAGAAACCTTGACAACGTTTTCTGGAACTAATGGAAGTTCTGTATTAGGGAGTAGTCTAAAGCGTTTGACTTCTCTACGACATCAGGTAAGTTTAACAACAGATGCTACCTTCCCAGAAGAATTAAGGTTATCTATATCTCTGTTATTGATTTTAACCCAGATTAGCTTTTTTTAGTTTAATGAGCTCAAAATTAAATTAATCATGAACAATGCTTGGATATATTACTTATGATAGATTCATATTGCTGTAACATTCGAAAAAGTATATCTTTATTTCAATAATAATCAACAATGTTCATTCATTAAAACTGAACTTTTACTTCCAGCTAATTAAACAGAACTATCAGAATCTATTCGCACATTTATAATAAAGGATAAGTGGTTGAATACAGTTATTTAGAGAAAATATTCAAATTTAGTTTTATAAGATAGATGGCCTACACGTTAAAATTACAGTTATAACATAATGGATGTTGCTATTTCAAGAAACATTTTATGAAACACGTAGGGTTGTATGACCGCTCAAATAGCTCTGTATTTAAAACTATCTATCTCCCGAAAATCACTACAATAACAATATTTTCAATTATAGATTGGGGCTTGGATCAGGCCAACTCATGATGCATTATTGACTGGATATATAAATACGACAGGGTATCAAGACGTCTCACTTCAACTGTACAGTTACTGGGGCAAGAACTATACATTACCGGCTCTCATTAAAACCACTATTTTGATAGATGAAATTATAAATGAAACTCAGCTAATATTAAACGTATGTGCTACAGGAATACAATGTTCATTAGAACTCAAAAGTCATACAGGTAATTAATTGCTAAACAAATTTTCTCATAGTGATTCATCTGATTTTTCTCAGTGAATTTTGTAGTTTACCCGAAAGTGAAATTTTTAGCTAAACTCAGTACACATTTTGCAGTTTTGCAAACTGAACGTATTCCAGTTAATGCTTTGTACTAAAAGACCAATATTATAAATGACATTGAGCTGGATGAGCGATGGTAACACATATAATACGGTCTCTAACATGATACAATAAAAGTAATCAAACTAGTTTGTAAGAATTTTATGACAATTTGTTTTCTAAATAAGTCATAATATTCCTTGCATCCCCAACAAGTTTGACTTCCATTCAGAATGAGTAACCGAAAAGAAATATAGTTCAAAAACTTGAATTTACCTGGATGATTTAACTGTTGAGTGAACTAACCCTATGGTGAGGATCGAAATTAAAGGGAAACGTTTTATTTATGTATTACATCAGATACAAAAACATATGTATAACTGAACATATATATATATATATATATATATATATATATATATATATATATGTTCATAATGTGTTTTATTTTGACAGGCAATAATGTCACTTATGTTTGGGATTTTGGTGATGGTACAGCACAGAAAACAACATCAGTTAAAATGGTGCAATACACCTACAGTACTGCTGGTAATTATAATTTGACCGTCAATATAAGCAACAGTATCCAGTACAAAATAATTGTACAAAATGTGACTGTGATAGAGAAATTTGTGTTTAATGAAATACAAGGAAATCAGTTTGCTGAATTGAATGGAATAACCACTCTAAAATTAAGTATATCTGGAAATCGATTTATATGTTCCTGGTATTTAAACGGTGTTTTGTCTAAAAATGATAATATGACACAATTTGATTATATACATATTCAAAGTGGTATGGTAGTCTGGAATGTGACTTGTCGAACTCCTGTGGAGACTATTAGTAGAAAACTGGAACAATTTGTACTGGAGCGTTTGACAGGTCAGTAAAATTTCATAATACTTTCCATAGTGAAATGTTTTGACATAACACTGAGATGTGATTTTAGGCAAATGATTTAATCTATAATTACTTTTTGGATCATAAAACAATACTCAATCTAATGACACAGGAAATTTGTTTTTCATTGGGATCATAAGTGAACTTAAGTGATGAATAAGAGCAAGCAACTTGAACTTCTTATTCTATACTGTAAATATAAAGTGCATTATTTATCATGCATTCTTTGATATGAAAGCCTAATATTCTGTTAGTACAAATATCCGCTCTGTCAATTATTAAAATAGTAACACCTAGATATTTTATTTCAGATTACTTTACTGAGTGTTTGAGCAAAGTCACATGATCAGTGGTGCATGGAGATCGAAAGATGAAGTTTGTCAAAGCTGTGTGATGCGCTAGTGAATTACATCTCTTTAAATTTCTTCATAAACATAGAATTATTAGGATAAAGGTCGAATTAAATCTAATGAAACATAAAAACACCAAGAAAAATTAGTACGAAGATACCAATATTATTCACACTAGTATTTGTATTAAAATGAAAATTAATATCGGAAAGGTATCTTTAATATAAATGAAAAATGTTTTCTGGGTCTTTAGGAAAAGTATAAATAGAGTTTGGTTTCGACGACGTATATCTTAAGTTGGTGACCAATATTCCAGAACCTCAATAAAGATATAAGTATGTACTAGTTAAGAGTCACCAATTAAACCTTTAGATTTTCAATGATTATTTAAAATAAAATGAAACACCATGTGAAGCATTTTCACAAGCTATGTTATTCTTCATTTCTCCTTTCCAATAGGACTTTCACTTGTAACCAAAAGTTTACAAGTGGCAAAACCAGCTGAGATTGTTTTTACTTTCATAACTGGGAATAATTTAACAGCTCAGTTGACTTTTTTGAATCAAGTTTTAAATACACGTATTGATTATGTACATAAAACTATCACATCTGAACTGGTGAGTGTGTCACAGACAGCGTCTGTAAACTACAGCTTATGGACAACCAATTCACTTGGTTCAAATTTAACTACTGGTCAGATACAGTTTGATGTACCAGTACTTGGCATGAACATACAAGTTGAGCCAAAGTAAGTTTTAATGGAGAATTCTTCGATTTATAAAAAAAAACTATGTTCTAGAAACATTCACACTGTAACTGAAGTATATTATCCAAGAGATCAATTGTGTAGTTTTTTTATTTATTTTGAATTTATAAAAATTAGCTATAGATTCAGCATTAACGTCAATTAAGCAAACATAACCGGATAGCTCAGAAAAGAACAGTTGTGATAAACAGCTTTTATACTCTTGATATATAGCAGTAAAAGATATGTGACGATATATTCTTACAAAATTTTTCGAAAGAAGATACAACTTCCTTTCAATACGTAAATATAGTGGCTTTAACTAAGAACTTGTAACAAAGATGCTATGTATCTTTATTCGATCATTCTGAATCACAATGTTAATATTTTCTTTCATAGTACATCTAAAAAACGTATGTACGATAGTACCTAATCATCTGAAACAAGGTTTGTCTTTCATGTGACAGAAAGAGACTGAGACTGTCTTGAAGCAGCCAAAGCAAAGATGGAGTTGAAGTTCACTATTTTGAAACAAAATTAGATCATCACTATTTATTCCAATGTTAGTTCACTACTAATTTATTTATAAATCGACTTATATATTTTTCTGTTCATTGTAACTGATGTGAGTTAAGTGCATTACCAAACGCAAACTAACTGTGAATCAAAAGAAATTACCTTGGAAACTTCAATAAACCGGTGACTAACATCATCCAAAAAAACACGATTACTTTCTACAATGATTATGCAGTTACATAATCATACATAAGTCTTGTAACTATCAGTAAGTTTTAAACATTAACTAGAGTTTATATAAACATTTTTACAGATTTGTGAGTCGAGTCCAAATAAAAATAAATATTGCTTTTACGACTTTTAATTCCAAGTACTTAAAACAATGTCGCTTAAAATTTGGGTAGGTTTATAGAAGCAAAGTTTTGCTTAGTGTTAAACAGTTAGACACAAGGGGAAAAACATTTTGCTTGAAACTTCAATTATGATCGTGCTTAACTAATTGCTGTATTCAATTTCTTCATCTCTCCAACAGTTACGTTGGCCCTTCTGAAAATATGATTTTTCGTGTTTCGTTTCAAGAAGGCACATCAATTATTTTGACTGTTAATTATGGGGACGGTGAAGTAATCCAGCAATCTGCTATACAGTCGCAAACATGGCCAAAAGATTATCAGTTAACCAAAAAATATTTAAACACCAGTGAGTACACTGTGACATTTTCAGCATCCTCAGGGGGTAATACAGAGAACAGGACAGTCCGTGTTTATGTAGTTGATAAGATTGGGGTTTACGCGGCTCAAGTCATTACTGAATATGTAGCTGTTAACGATCCGGCAACTTTGAAGATGACAAGGCAATCTGGAAATCCTGCAGTGTTAGCTAAAATAAGCTTAGATTGGGGTGATAACAGTCAGTTCACCTTAGACGATTTCCGCGAAGGTGATGTTTACAGTCATATTTACAAAAGTGAGGGGGATTTCGGAGTTACCGCCTTACTTACAAATCCAGTTGACCAAAAAGTTCTTGTTACCACATTTAAAGTTAGGGCAAGAATTGAGAATTTTGGTTGTCAAGTTGCACCAAATCCAGTTGAGACAGGAAAACTGTCAGTGATTTCAGTGATTTACAAAAGTGCACAAAATGTCATCATCAATGCCTTGTTAAATAACGGAACAGATTCCAAACAATTCAACGTACCAGGTTAGTTTTATATTGTCGAACTTTCTGGAGAGTAATACTTGTACCAAGCTGATAACATCAGCTGCTCTTTTTGAAAAAATCACCTTAGATCACTGAATTGCTTACAGTAATTGTACTAAATGAATCAGATCGATTGCTATCACTGGGGAATTTTACAAATTTTGAAGTTGTTGCTAACATTTCTCATAAATGTATGATACATCTGTCCCAAAGTGTAGGATCAAATGTGTTTGTTGCAAATCATTGTGACAAAAACCATGTTCTATTTCGTATAATCTTAAAAATGTATACTTCATAATGTACTTAAATCAGTAATCCTTAATTTATTTAGTGCGATCTCATATGATTGTTGAATTTTGTAGCTTTCTGAACAATAATTTACTTAAATAAACGTTACGAATCATGGTAAATAGTTATCTATCTTTTTCAGATTAAGAGATAAGTTTTCCATTGTTAAGTTGTTCACTTAAACGAATTGGAACTGATGATGTAAAAAGAACCTCATTTTTGTTCAGTTTAGTCCAAGAAAAGAGGATGATATAATATAGTTTTATAGAAAATCATAACTACATGTCTAACGATGCATCACATCATAAAAATGCAACACTAAAATTGTCGCACATCAATGTAAAATTACTGATCTTAATGATTATGCTCTGCAATTTCGTTGAAGGAGTACGAAACTCCAGTAAATTAATGTTACTAAAATGATTTGTAAATTTTGGTGGTGTTGAATTATTTGATCTGGATGATTTATTAAGGAACTTTGATTATTTTTCTAAATACCATGAAGGACTACTTCATGGACACGTGAGTTTCTGAAAATTGCTCCACACAAGTTAAATCAGTCGATTCTTATGACTTTGTTTGTGACTGCTTTTCTTCTCATATTTGAAAACATATGACTAGAGAAGTTCGTTAGAGTGCGACAAATCACAGTGATGAGTTTGGTAACAAGACTTATAGAGAAGCAGAAACGCATCTTCTCCACATTGTGAACACGCCTTACTGTAGATATTCAAAGGATTCCAACTGAGATACATAAAAATTTTTAATTAGCCTCTTTTGTCTACAAACACTGACGACTGAATGAAAATTATCTTACTCTCCAAAACATTATACAACTTAGTCAATAGTTTTTTTTCGCGATGAGATGAATAACCTAGCAATAATTATAATACATGAAAGTGAGAACATATTATGGTAAATGGAAACAGATTTCTGACGAAAAGCTGGTTTGTCTGACATCTAGAGTTGAATGAAGAGGAAAAATGACTAATTTTTATTAAAAATCAGGTATTCAGTTCATTTATATTATTACTAACCGGTATTTTAACTTCAAAATACATTTTAGCACCGAAATTAACAGAGATAAATTACAACTATCCTGTTGCCGGTTTGTATTATGAGGAAATACAAGCAGTAAACTTAGTCAGTAACCAGTCATGTTCACTTATAGTTGATGTTCGGAATAAAATAGTAAATATGGATATCGTATATGGCGGTCATGCAGTATATCCACCTGGTAAGTATCTGATTTACCCCTTACTATTATTATTGTTTAATGTATGGTTGAAATCATCAGCCAGTTGAAGCTAGACCACCATAAAAAACCTGGAAGCACTGGACGGCCGTTTCTTCCTAATATGGGACTCCTCAGCAGTGCGCATCCACGATCCCACCCCCGCGGGATTCGAACCCAGGACCTATCAGTCTCGTGCCAGACGCTTGACCAACTAGACCGTCCAGTGCTTCCAGATTTTTCATAGTGGTCTAGCTTCAATTAACTCATGATTTCAACTATTGAAATTACCGATTCTCCACAAAACCCCTTCTAATAATGTATGGTTGTAGATTAAATTCGAATATTTAGTTAAAAATATTTTGTTAATTCAAACTATTGAAAGTAGAATTTTGTTGAATGAATTCATTGATGTTTTTCACAAGTAAAACTTATTCATGATATTATTATTAGCTAAGTTATAATTCCAGTAAAGGTATTACATTTTAGATATGCCGATTTCCACATTATGAATGCTGTATTAGAATTAGATAAACACCGTCTTCTTTTTTTGTTTGTTTTACTTTCTTGAGAACATGAATAGTGTTATACAAAAGTATGAATGTTGAGTGGAAAATGTTTAATAGTTTTAAGCTCATCAATTATTTGATAATTTTGATTTGCCTGGTTCCTAGTTTTAAGAAGAATTTGTTCAGTTGTTCAATATTACACATTTAACTACATCATCTTGATATGTACACATTTGATTATAGACTGAATTTTATTAATCAGCTCTGTTTGATGCTAAACTGATCAGCTTAGTCATTGATAAAGTTGAACTGAACATTGTTGAAATAATTTCATATTTACTGGAAAACATAAAGTTGTCTGTATGAAAATACCCATTATACTCATTCATTTTACAACTTTTGGAGCTAAAATAGTTTTTAAATTCACTTGGTATTGTTTGGCTTGTATCTTCCCACTGAGAAATGAGACTGCAATTGATCAGTCTGTTATTAGCATATGTGCATACTGTGCATGTTCCTCGATATTGCCTTAATTCGCAGGCTTTTTGTAAGCAATGATGGATAGTGGCTAGCAGTGGAATCCAGGATGCGCGTTTAGTCCTATTTGGGATGTATGCAGGAACATCCAACTGACGAGTCCCAAATAGGATGAAACGCGCGTCCTGGATTCCACTGCTAGCCAATATCCATCATTGTTTATAAAATAGTTTCTGCCTAACCATTGGTTTTTTTTTAATTTAGGACTAAACAGTATTGTTTAAGTTTATTGTTTTTACAAAGGATTTTAGTTAGATCATCATCATTGTGTTTTGCTAAGTCAGTGCTAACTGTGAAATGTTTATTTGCTTATTCAAATCAAACTCATAGTTCATGACTAATTAACAGATATTGTATACCACCTACTGATGACATAACTGGCATTTACAGATTATTTACATTTAGACCTTTATATACTTCTAAACATACATTATTGAAGACGACAAGCCGGTACATTTGATAATGTATGATAGATTTTTGTGGTACAGTAAAGTATTTCAGTATCTAAGAAAACATTTGGAAAGATCGCAGATGCTAAAAAAAATAATGATAGTTCATAAATCAGCTTTATGTCATTTGCCAAAAATGTTTACAAAATTCTAACTTTACAACTAAATATAATGCTTCATATTTCAGGGTCTGTCACATTTACTTTAACGTACACTGGATTAGCTGCCAATTTTCCAACACTAGCTAAATATAACGTGGTATGGGGAGATGGTAGTGCACCCTCAGAAGGAATGTTAACATTGGCAAATCAACCAGAAAAAATTAGTCATGTTTTAGCTGATTTAAATTACTTTCAAGCTTCTGTTACCTTGGACAATATTATAAGTAACATGACAAAAAATACTCAGGTAAGTCCACACTATTTTATAATTGTTGCCTCATATCATAAGATTTTCTTCAAATCGTATGTTTGATAAAAATGAGTACAACCTAATCCATAGTTGTGATTCCAAATTATTGATAAAAAAATGACCAAGGCAAATATATTTTAAAAATCAAGGAATTTCAACTTGGAGTTATTTTTAACACGGAACTGACTAATGCGTAAAGCTCTCTTCAATCAAACAGGTAGTGAAATAGAATTTGAAGAATCATAATCGAACAAATATAGGTAATGTAGGGTTAGATAAATAATGGGATAATTAATGCTCATATCATATGTTAAGCGAGAGATCATTTACTGTATGAAATAATGTGAGTTGTTCAAGACTATACAATTTAATCAAATAAATATGAGTTGTGAAAATATATAATATATGTTAGTCCATCTAATATAACAGAGATAACTCTTAGCTTATTAAATTTAAAAGCAACAAATTTAGGGAAAGTGACAGAACCTATTTATTTTGATGTTTTTGATTTGTATGGCAATAAGTTTAACCGATCAGGGAGTTAAAGCAGTTTTTGATAGATTTGATCGACTAATGTAAACATGATAGATTATGAAAAACATCAGGTTAAAGTTAGAGATATAAACAGTTTGGATCTAATGGGCTATGACTGAACTGTTGACACTTTTAACAATATCTATCCTCAGCCTCAATCGAAAATAAATTTAAAAAAAATAAATTCTTGGAAATATGGGACAGTATAATTCTCTCCATAGAAGCAGTCAAAATGACTTGTTTGATCAATATTCATTTCAGCATAAAAGCTTCTTACTTACTTACTTACTTACTTACTTACTTACGCCTGTTACTCCTCGTGAAGGAGCATAGGCCGCTCACCAGCATTCTCCATCCAACCCTGTCCTGGGAAATCTTTTCAAGCTCTTTCCAGTTCTTATTCATCCTTTTCATATCTGCTTCTATTTCCCGACGTAATGTGTTCTTTGGCCTTCCTCTTTTCCCCTTCCCTTCAGGATTCCAAGTTAGCGCTGGTCTCGTAATGCTTCTCGATCATTCAAAATGTTTTATAAAGGCAATTTTAATCAATTTCTCAACGTGAAAATGCAAATTATGCTAAATAATATAGTTTTACTTAGAAATACAACACAACATTTTGGATGTATATGTATCTGATAGCAAAAGACTTTCTAAGAATCTTTAAAATGCTAACAGTATTACAATTTCTACGTCTATTACATTCTGTCATGGAGTAATAGTTCTTTTTACGATAGTTAATATCCGTCAAATATACTCCTTTTGACATTATTGTTTCGTTTTCGTATTGAACAATCTTAATTAATTATTTTTAAGGTATATTTAGCTTTGATATTTACTATCGTCTATTAAATAGTGTAATTATAAGTCAGATTATCAAATTTCAGGTTATCAGATTTAATAAATCGTAAGTTATGCTCTAATATACAAATTGTTGGTTAATTATCTTTATCAAGATATTTGTAGAAGTAAAATATTGTTATTATGAATACTCCCTTAAATAGTTAATTCAAACAGGGCTAGTTATATAATTAGATAATATAAAAAATTGTTCTTAATCTCAATCAATCCATAGATTTCAGTAAGATATTGATGTGAACCGGGAAACAAGAAGCCCTGACAAACTACGAAGGCTATTTTTCGGGACGTTAAGCTGATCAGCCTATCGCATCAAGGTCGAAATCTAGATTAGACAAGTATCCTCGGCACCAAAAAGTGGGTAGACAAATCAAGGTCATAACAGATATTAGCTTACAAGAAAATAATAATAAATAAGTTAATTTTATTAAAATTCTTTATGATTATTTCTGTAATTAGATTGCCGCTTTTGGTTTATTCCAACAAATTGATTTAATAATAACAGTTGCATCTACTGGTGATCCTGGTTATGGAGTAGATAGTAATTTATATCCACTTGGAGTTCAATTAAAATTTCAAGTGCTTGCAAATGGAAAACCAAATAATGTGGCTAATATCACTTATTCAATTATAAATAAAACTAATAATCTAATACTGGACTCAGGAATTGTTTGGAATAATTACTTTTTCTACACATTTACTAAGGTAGGTTTTAATGAATAAAGTACATAACAAGTATTTAGGAATTTTTTTGATAATTATTTACTAGAATACAGGTTAGTTTGAAAGTCGGTCATTTTGTTGATTAACAAAAATAAACTTTGTATATTTTATGAAGACTATAATGTCATGTAGAATTAAGGTTTTCTTTTAAAGATTGAAATCAAGTCGGCAAATAGTTGATTGTCGAAAGCCACTAATAGATAAAGTAACTATATTTTGTGTGTAGTTATGAATAGTCCTTTCTCTTATATATCAAATTATCTCCATCTGACAATATTTATAGGATTGGCAGCTTGCTTAAGTCTCTGGGTTACTTGTTTCTGTTATCTAGATATTTCAACAAGTTACCTGGGTTTTTTTATACACATCATTATGTCTATTAATTGTATAACCTGTTCAGGTGCGTTTATGAAAAGTTTGCGACTTTTCGCTGTACAAAAAATTCCAATCAGAGACATCGTGATTGTTAATATTATGCATTGAAAAGAATGTATACTATTCAGATGTCGATTTCTGAACTGTTAATATCTAATTGGAGATCATTCAATATTTAACGTCAGGATTGATGAAGAAATAAGAAACGGAAACTTGTTGAAATACATTGTGCTGAAAATTCTATATTGTACCGAAAATATAATATTGAGTAAAGCTAATAATAATAATAACAATCTCTTACTAAAAAGTCACTTAACTACTTAAAGTGGTCATGTAAAAAGATTGGTGTTGTCATTAATTTTAAAGAAATCATGTTCATAGATTAAACAGTACGGTGAAGTCCTTTAAGTAAAGAAGTTTCTTGTGTGATCCCATTCAGATAACTGTTGATTACATTATGACACTATGGCATCTTAAAGTTTTTTCTATTATCTAGTTTGTCTTGTATCTGTGTGTTAATTTATGAATACAGCTTTTATCAAGAGGAATTACAATCAAATACCGAAAAGTATTTAGTCGGTATTATCGATAGAATGAATAATCAATTAAGTGAAAAATCTTCCTAATTATTTAATCTGATCATAATCCTGAAATATAGGTTTCCATTCTTCAGATTTACTCAAACTAACACCAGATTATTTCAAAGGTTAAAAAAATACCTTTCCAATGAATCCCAGGTAGAACATGATATGAACATATGAATTATTAACATTAATAAAATTAGAAACTAACTGACCAGGGCCGACATCCATGAGGACTAAAGTATTGGTGCATTTGAGTACGTTACGACACAGTTGCATTACTGGAATTTTACTTTGATAGTATATTCAAATGATTTGATGGAACTATCGGTTCACATTAAACAACTATATACTAGAACAAACATGGATATAGGATAGTTGTAGAATAATGATTACTGAGTTTTAATGAGCAAAGTTAAATATTTACTTGTAAGTAATTTTGATGCATGATGATGGATTTTGTTGACCTTGGAATTCCTAGAATTCAACATATCTGGCTTTTATTTCAATCACTTATAACAAGAAAGTTAATCAACAATTAGACAAGTCCATACACTTGTGTGGTGTTGATGTACTTCCCAATCGGTCACATTTCCGTTCAATATACTATACCTCATGGTTAGAAAGATTATTGAAATTCATTTATTTTTGACATTTTTGATTTGTCGCTCTCTAAAGCTGTATATAAGCATGTGAATCAGTTATTGGATAGTGGCCACTACTATTCGGACTCTGGGAATTCTTTTCGCAGTTAATCACCAGCATTGCAAAACGTGAAAATTCTTGACCTGGTCTCTTGAGTATTGACGTTTGCTCACTATTGATTTCCAATATACTATCAAAATTACCTTATACTGTTCTTACACATAGTTCCCTTTATTATTTTAAAGAGAGCAAGAACAAAGGTTGGTGCAGAATAATATGAATTCATTTTATTTCGTTAGGTTCTCATCAGCTGCTTACAACCTAAAATATTCGAAATTCAACGTTATTACAGTTATTGACATATATCAGAGGGTGATAAAGGATGAACATGATGTAGCAAAGATGCTGTTAGAGATAATGAGGTTATAAAATTTGTTTGGAATATATATAGTTTGGGAGGGAAGGTTCCATAACATAGAAATAGTGATTAGAACTCATGGAATTAAAACACATTAGATGATTATGTAATGAAGTGACTGAAAATAGATTAATGGTAATAAAGAGAGATATGAATTGAAATCAGTTATGAATGATGTAATTATAAAAATTTTTTGGAAAGAGTTGGGATGACGTAATAAATAAAACAGGGGTTAATGATACCAGGGCAAAGAAAGATTTATTACTGTTTCTTTTTGTATACAAAGATTTGGTTTTAAACGTTTGATTGCTATCGCTTCGGCGAATTTTAAAAGGTTGGAATTTGATTGTTTGTTGATCACCTTGAAGGACTGCATTGACAAAATTATATCCAGCAGCTAAATTGATTGTCCTGTCTAAAACAACATGTTCTTTGACACAATCAATGGTCGACAGGTATCCCTTTCATGTTACCACCAACTGTGTATACAAATTTACATGTATCTGCCGAAGCAGTTACATTGGTAGAACAGAAAGGAGAGCCTACGTCTGATTCAAAGAACATATTCCGAAGGGTTTGAGATCAAACGGACCAAAAACATTCAGCAGCGCTATCGCAAGACATCTCCTTGACACAGGACACGAAATCGATATACTGAAGCTTCACTACAAAAATGATCAGTAATCATTCTACATTTGCTTTGCTTTGTTTTGTACTACATGAAATGTTTTCGATAGAACATTCTGTAGAAATTCAATAGTTGATATTTCTCATTAGCCTATTTACTGATTAATGATGTAAGTTAGTATTTCTCTAGCATTATCATTAATCATTTATTATAACTTTCAATTTGATTTCTCTCACAAGTTACCATTTAGAGGTTTAAAAGACTTTCTTGTTCTTTGATAGGTTATAGTTCATTACGATTTAAATTTAGTTGCAGTCTAAACGACTGAAATTATTTGAAAGAATATTTGTAAAACAAATTGACTTGAACAATGATAATAGAATGATTTTCTCTTTCACTGATTAATATTTTTCATTGTTTTTAAAATTTAGTTTGGAGAATATAATATTGTAGTATTGGCTTCAAATCCAGTGAGCACGAAATCAACTTCAAAAGAAATTTCAATTAGAACTTCTATACGTGGGTTAAAAGCTTATCTTGTTGGTAATGGTATGTTGGAACCAAATCAACAAGGTATAATACGTATTTCATTTGAAGCTTATCCAAACGATGCGTGTTTGTGCATAGCAAAATCAGATGGAGTTGGTCCAGTTTATTATCCGAAATTAACAGATCCAACATCTTTCTGTTCATTATGTCCCAGTTACTTACGTTTGCAAGATGCACCAGTCAATCTAACATTTTCATTAAGTGTTCAATATGGTTTAAGCGGACCTCAGTATGTATCTATCCAGGCTATTAGTGGATCAGAAATAGTCGATACTAAATTATATATCCCTGTCACATTTTCAACCTGTCCTCCACCTAAAATATCTATGTTGAATGCATTATCACAATTAACAAATTATCCAATTAAAGCAATTACCTCCGAAATTATAAATATTGAAGCAATACTTACCGTACCAAATTGTTTGTTATCAGTACCGAATGATAAACTATGGACTTTATACTCCATTGATTTAGATACTACACAAACATTGGGACCAATCTCATTATCTCAAGATCTTAGTTCGAAAACACTAAGACTTGGTTTACCTGCTAATTTTCTTCTACCCGGGTCATATAAAGCTACATGTTCAGTGCATTTTACTCCACCTCAAGGAGTACCATATATTGTCTCAGAAAGCGCATATATAATAGTTGTCCCACCACCATTATTAGTTCAGTTCGATGTGGGTAATCCAATCAGTAAGACGATTGATTTATCTATGGATGAGATATGTTTAAAACCTGAGGTTTATTCACTTGATCCTGGTATGAATAACCTAAATGTTCCACAGGTATGTTACTTGTTTTATTGTAAAATTCAGTTATTTTGACTAAACAGTTACACAATATTTAGTTGGATTTTACAGGTGATTCACTCTCAAAAAAAGAAACTATAAAGTATTAACTTACTTGACAAAATTGTAATTGATTTATATCCATGATCTCTATGATATAATATATGCTAAGGTTAAGAAATCAAATACTTTGTATATAAGTTAGCTTCAATTTGCAGTATACAAAAGTGTTATCGTTGAACTGAACAAATGCGTTTTTATTTCTGAAACATAATGAAATTCATTGATTATGAGTGAAAATGTGATTGATTTCAGATATTCTGAGACATTGATCCATATACCATAATAGGTTTCAATGAATCATAACAACTATTTCAGTAACCCTATAATTCTAAACAATGATGTCTAGATGAAAGGCAAGTATGTATAATGAAAAGCTTAGGATATGAGTTTACATCATAACACTTCAACTAAACAGCGAATTATGCTAGCATTCAAATTTTCATTGACCACCATAGAAATAAAATGTTCTTATTGTTTTGAGTGATTTATAGTTGTTTGTTAAATGTCTCGAACAAACAAAATTCTCATTCAGATGAATGGTCACTCTTTACTTCAGGTGAAAACAACCTACTGTTAATTGGCTTTCCAGTAACTTCGGTGGTTTATGGTATGTGTTTATCCTAGATAGTTTCAACAACTTGGGTGTTTCTTAAATACCCTCGAGATTAGAGTTTGATTTTCTCATTAAAAAAAGATATGACTGAAAACAAATGAAGTTAGGTCAGTCCACTATTTGCAAAAGACTATATATATAATTAGTCAATCAAACCTCTCTGTTTGGTAAATCAACCAAGCAAACTAAAATAACACTAAACTCTACCAGATTATTCAAGTTTATCTTCTGTGAATTCACTAAAGTAGTAGCGAGGGTAAATGTTATAAGGAGGTAGCTGTGTCATAACAAGACTTTTGTATCAAAACTGGGTTTGTCTATGATCACTGTTTTTTGAGACAATTCATGTTTGACAATAATTATATGGATACATAACTGGTAAACGGAAAACCAAAACTTTACTATTTATCATATAAATCATAAACCGTGCTACGCGCTAACACCTCAACCGACTATTTAAACGAGAACACAAGCGTGGATAAGAAAGTGTATTGGGCTATCAATTAAACTGCACAAATATTCTTATATATATTAGAAAATCAATCCATTTCTTAGCCAATGATATGCACTTGTCTTTGAGGCCATTTCTAATTGCCGTCCATTTACGTTCTCCTTTAGCTTCTGATTGGCTCACCACATAAGTAATCTAGATTAAAGCCACACTATAAGTATACGTCGCTATTTGGTCATTTAATTACCCTTCTTCTCCCCAATGATTTAGTCACGCTCTTTAATGAATCTTAGTCTAACATATTCAGCCAAACCTTATAGAATTCTAATCATGTTTGAAATCACATGATTTTGTTATCTTTTTATCCATCTATGTATTCAGATGTGGGTATCGTCGCTTTCATGGTGAATGGTCAAATCATTAGATCTCTTGAATTTCATTTCATCAATCCATGATGAAATAATTATAAAACACAGCCCTTATATTACTTTTTCTAGGGTATCGGATCTTGGATATGGTATTGCAGGCAAGTCGGTGAAGAACTGTCAGGAAAGTTGATTTTGCCCAAACCTCCGGGTTATCAATATAATGCAGATTATACTGGTTGCTTTGGTGATGGTCCAGGAGTAATTGATACAAATAATGGTACTCTGTGCTTCACAACGGAAAACTTGAGAATAAATAAAACATATGAATTTACAGTCTTCGGCAGTAAACCACCCAAACGGATTGGAAAAGCTACAATGCAACTGTTGACTACAAATGAAGTAACCCCAGTCTTTACAATAAGGCATGTTTTTGATCACTGGAATGAAATTAACTTTTTTTTTTCACTAACATACAATGAAGTTCTGTTAATGTCGCTAAAAAAATTAATAAAACAAAGTTTTCGGAAAAGTGACTTCAGTTGAAGATGTTAAGGAAAAACCAGAACATGATAGAAATTTTTTTAGTTTGCTTCTGTGATCGAATATTTACCTAAACTATAATAAACGGTGATCTTTGAAACTAACTTTTAAAATGGGATTACAGAGTTAAAAGTGATAATTATGGACTATCAAGTTAAATTATAGTCAATTTAAAGTTGAAAAACGTAGATGAAGAGTCCATGATGGACATTTAAACGTGAAATGAGACTGGCTGTTCTGTTTAGTTATGCCACATAACCAATATCTCAGTCATGAATTTCGGCTTACATGTATAGGTATGAGGTGCTAGTGCACCAAACCATAGTTAATAGTTTTGACCAACTGACATTAGTTACTGAAACATAACTAACATGGCTGGAATGAAACTCCACCAATCTTTATCGGACTCTTTCGGCTTCTGTCAACCTTCTATTGAAAGCTAAACTCACACTAAACTTGTAAAATAATTAATATAATCGTAACACTAAACTCGTTTGTTGTAAAAATTTGATATTATCATTTTCTGGAGGCTTTTTTTTCAAGGTGACCATAATTTTAAATCCAACATGGTGTATACAGTTATGGACAAGTTCTAGTTTGTACTAGTTTTCCGGTACTGATTAAACTAAAAGTAATGAAACACATTGGAGGATAGAAAATGTTTAGATGTGCAATCCCTTATGCATTTTATCCTGTTTGGAAGTCTTGGGTGCATTTAGTTTATTATTTCAAGCGATCATTCGGTCCTACTTCCTAATAAGTTTAATAAAAAAAACAATAGACATCTGTCCTATAACCTTGTCTTCAAGTGGTTTCAAAGTGATTTGGATTAATGATTCGAGTAAATATGTATATTTAACTATTAAATTACAGACACCTTTTGAAACACATTTGTGGGTTCTATCAAAGTTAAACAGTGTATACTTATATTTTGTGAAAGGTTTTATCACTCTAGATAATTAGAATATTGTACACTTGAAATTTATGTTTATGCTTAAGTGAATGCAACGGTGAGGTAAAGAATTTATTTTTGATCATCTGAAAATTGAATTCTATTGAAATGATATGATAGATTGATGGCAGACATCTTATTTGAACAATTTAGATCAATCACAAAACGAGAGGAGAATTCGAATACAGTGCTCACTGATAGCTTAATCATTAGAAGAGAATGTTCTAACTACTGAAACACATCTTAAAGTGTACTTGTTTTTTATGTATTGTGAAAAAATACCGTCAATTAACAACCTTTCTTATTTAAATTTCTTACTTAAACACAATTATAGATGCAGCATACCTTATCTGTGCTACAATCTAGAATTTGACTCATCCAATTTAACCAGTTGGTTTATTCCTGAATCAGATGATCTCTATGTGACAGTTTTTATTGAGTTTGGAACCCTAAGCCCTGATATGAAATTTAAATGGAATATTAGAGAAATGAATTCAGACGGCACACTTTTACCATTCGATCAAGTTCAACAAGATACTTATACAGAAGGTAAGTAGAAAAATGAAATTTCTCTCAGTTACTAGATAATTATTTTTGACCTTACCAGATGAAAAATAATCATTCAGTAATGTTTAGAGACACCGATTGTCTTAGAATAATTCTAATAAAAACAAAAACAATGGAGCATTATATCTCTATGATAAATCTGGATAATGCAATGAGAATGTGAAGACTATCAGAAATATACAGTTTCTTCTTTTATGTTGTAATGTGCTCTTCAAACAAAATAGGTATCCCATATTTTACTTTATAAATAACTAGGTATATTTAACCAAAATTTCTCTAAAATGTTTAAAAGTCTATAATTTGAAGCCTATTCTATTTACTAGTTTTAATTTCTGCTACTTCATTATTACCATACTTGATTGTTTTCTGTTTTATTTAAACAGGGACATTTACATCATCATGGCGAATAAAAAAAGGGTATTTTGTCAATAAGTCAAATGATGTCAACGGATGTATTGTGTGTGCTACTTTAACTAGAAACACTGACATAGGAACATCTTGTTTACGATTCAGATATTTGCCAAGACCCACACCAGGTATATGTACATATACGTTAAACGATACAAATATGTGTGTAAACTGCGTAAACTTCACTAGTATTGTTAGTCCACTGACATATACATTCTTTCGTAAGTCATTGACCATTGTTTTTATGATTTAATAAATACTTTATCAATAATATTTACTTAATTTTCAACAATTCATTTCAAGTATTTCATGATTATCAGAAGGATTATTTACGCACTGATTTGAGCTTTCTCACACCTATGAACCGTAATCTGTTTGCTGACAACAATTAACTGACCGTTAGAAAGTCAGCTGTCAAATGAATATAGGAAAATTGACTGGCTTCTACCGAAAGATTTGGAATTCCAATATTTTAAAGTAAACTAAATTGAGAGAACTAAAGAAAAGTATAAAGGGATTTGCTGAACAAAATGTGACATCAACCACAGGACACTGTCCTTTCAAAGACTTAATAACCTATGATAATTTGAAAATGGTTTTCAACAGATAAGGAAACTCCAGTGTGATACCCATGGTATGAATTCTAAGTTTGAGTGCATTTTTATCTTAGACAATGATAAGGAAACTTTTTGATATCAATGTAATCCCAATAGCAGTAGGAGTATAAAGAAAGTGAGAGATTTTATTATTATGTAACTTATAATCAACTTTTCATCAATTTACGTAAATTTTTATTTTCCAAGACAAAATAAACGGATTATGAAAAGTGTAAATCTTAAATCAGTGTCCTAGTTCTCTTTTTTCTTTTTGGAAACGGTCAATATTTATATAAATAATCGATGACAGTTATTAAAAAAAAAAGAGAAAACTAGTACACATTATTGACTTTTTAATTCAACTATCTTTTTACCAGGAACTTAAATGGTAACTAATTTTTTAGTTTTTAATTGAGATGGTAGAAATATTTTGTAGTTTAGAGTAAAGATAATCATGTTTTTGTGTTCTGTAAGTCATAATGTTTAATTGTTGTCATGACTACTTTCACTAATTAGTCAGTGAATTATAAATACTTGCACATTTTTGAAAAGACTCATCAATGAAATATTTGAATTCTTTGCTAATTATTCTTTACAGAATTATTTTTAATTGAATAGTTACCGTTTTATGAGTATAATTGAAAGTTATTTAAAAGTTGAATCATTCATGAAATTTAAGAATGAGAAATATTTCATTATTTCAATAATTTATAGTTGCTATGATAATGTATTTTCTTTATCATAAATGTTCATAGTTATAATAAGTTGTAATGTATTGAAAAATACAATTTTGGTCTCTTTTATGATAGAATATTAAATTATTGGTAGTTGGATTTATGAAGAAACCTTTAAATAAGTGATTTTACAAAACAAATAGTAGTTCTGAGATGGTGGAGAAGATTTGTAGCTCAGGTGGATGATTTTAATAGAGTTTTGTTCAGTGTGTATAGAACAAGCTGTGAAACGCATATGAAGAAATTTGAACATTTCATTTCTATCTGAAGTTTGTGCTGATAATGTCGTTCAGAAGAACGATGAAAGCTCTACGATCAAACTATCCAGCTCAGAGAACAAAACTCCATCAAGAAGTAGTTCTCCACTTTATCTATTTATTATGATTGATAGTCAAATCATGTTTAACAACCAATAGTTGATCACAATTGATTGATCACTGGGTGGTGACCAATGTCATGCTTGTCTAGTCCTTATTATTAATGCAGATCGAATGCTATCGACCATGTTGCAATGTGGCCACCAGTCTAGGTGACTCGACACTGCGGACACTATTGTGAGATTAGATGGTGATTGGAGGTAGTCGACAGGAAACCCTGGACCCGGGTTTCCTGTCGACTACCTCCAATCACCATCTAACCAATAGTTGAATTCCAGTGTTAGTAAAACATTATTAAGAGTTTAACATAGAAAAAAATTATTGTAAAATTAATTATTTCACTTATTTTTTTAAATATTCTACTTATTTGATTATATTTTTTCAACAATCTTATTTACTAGTTAAGAATTCATCTATCAAAATTGTTCTTGCAAGTGGAAATCTTCCTAAAACATGTTTCGTTGTACCATATATGTATAGTCCATTAGATGCTTGTGTTTATGTTTCTGATAAATTTGGGGGTTCAATAGAAGTATGCTATGCGAATATATTTGTGAGTTTATTTATTTATTGATTGATTGATTCTTCCTTTTTAATGGTGCGTTTTATTAATAGACAGAAAACTAGTAATTATGTTTATGAGAAAGTAACCAGATAATTAATGTTTCAGGGTCACGATTGACGAGCATAATTAATTAATTGAATGTTCAAAATGCACCATATTTCGAATATTAAGAAGTATTTTGATGGAGTTTTGTTCTCTGAGCTGGATAGTTTGATCGTAGAGCTTTCATCGTTCTTCTGAACGACATTATCAGCACAAACTTCAGATAGAAGTGAAGTGTTCGAATACGACCAAACCATCCAGTTCAGAGAACAAAACTCTATCAAAATCATCCACTTGAGCTACAAATCTTCTCCACCATTAAGAAGTATTTTTATATAGATTTTTATAGTCCAACAGTCTAATATAAAATAAATTAAAAGTCATTTGAACTTTCCATCTAGAACTAGTAAGTAAAAACGATTTCCAAGGTGGTGTACATCTCATTTATTTTCTACAAGCATTTGTGCATCTATAAAAATATTGAGTATTTACCAGGTTTCTTTATAAAATTGATAGCATACTGTGAATAATCTAAGTTTATGCATCAAAGAAACATGTAAAATGTACCTGAATGAATTAAAAGATCAAAGTGCTCTTTTAGAAGCAGAAATCCTTGGTTTCATAATTTAATATTAGTAGAAGGACTTTCAAGTTAAATAGAACTTAAACAATATTTCTCTATAAGAAGAGCTCTAATGATTACCTGTCCATCATTTTTAATACATCAAGACCATAGTTATATGCTTCATAACTAACATGAAACTCTTTGAATTTCATGAAGGCAGATCGAACTATCAATAAAACTATAGTGAAAATGAAAATACAGTTCAAGAGGTTCAGCATACTGGTAGTGATCAAAATTTAAATTAAAACTGTCATTTGTTTTATTTTATTTTGGTTCTGGACTTACAACTACCATTCTTAATATGACTAGTAATGTTATAAAAAGCATCGAATAACATTTTTATTTTTAGGTTCAAGCAAAATCACTGGATCTTATGCGTGCCGCAATACAATCACTTGTAGAAGACAAAAACACTGAATTAAATAGATTGATTGTTACTGGACAGTTGACAGAAAGTGCTGATCTAGTTACCAGTTATGCATCTGCTGTGCAAATGTTCTCTACTCTTGAAACTCGGAGTAAGTATAAACTAAAACAAACACTATTCACTTGATTAGTTGTGTTAATCAGGCTCAAAACTTCACACCCCTATTCTGTTTTAATGAAGGTATAATTTTTGAATCGATAATTTTAGATGACGGCAACGAATAGGTACAGATTCTCTTATTAATTTTATCTTAGTTTAAATTGCAACAAATGAACATTTCAGCATTCAACCAGAAACTATAATTAACGCAGTGTGGAATATCTGGAAATATCATACTTGGTTTTTGATTGTTTTTTAAGTGTAAGAGAACACTTGAATCGAGATGCCCTGTAGTTATTATAAACGCATTTGAGTTTGTCGTGTCAAATTTGAATTAATACGAGCGACAAATTGTTTTAGTTATGTTACTGACTGTACGACACCTCTCTGTTTGGTAAATCAACCAAGCAAACTAAAATAACACTAAACTCTACCAGATTATTCAAGTTTATCTTCTGTGAATTCACTAAAGTAGTAGCGAGGGTAAATGTTATAAGGAGGTAGCTGTGTCATAACAAGACTTTTGTATCAAAACTGGGTTTGTCTGTGATCAGTGTTATCTGAGACAATTCATGTTTGACAATAATTATATGGATACATAACTGGTAAACGGAAAACCAAAACTTTATTATTTATCATATAAATCATAAACCGTCTAAGCAAGCGAGGTTTAGGAATGACCCTTTTATAGTTGTTGGTTCCATGGTAATACATATAGTAAATTTTAGACACCAAGAGCAAAAGGAACCAATTGGATGATTATGAAGAATGAGACAGATCAGAGAAAAGAAATTTTCTTTTCAACGGTGTTATTTACTAAAGCTACATAATCGAATTCTTAGTTGTTTAACTTATTTAAACAAATAATGTTATAGAATAGATGCTATGTTATCAGCAAAGCAATATTTAGACAATATGTGGTCCTTCAAGTTTATATAAATACTTTCCTAGAATTTTCTGAATATGTTCACTTTAGCAAACTTAACTAGTCACAACTTCTATCTCAATATTTTAAATTCAATCAAAGTATGCAGTCAGTGAATTATTCATTATTTCATTTCTGTTGAAACTATGAGTATGAGTTTCTTTCGACAAACTTCTAGTGAGAAGTAATGACCAGTGGAGTTCAACCAGGTCTGTTGTGAGATAGTAACTCACTGAAGACAATGGTGGATGTGTCGCTCAATTTCGTGGATTAGTTGAAGTTAGACATTAACACCGTTGGATGCCGGCCGGCTCAGTGGCCTAGTGGATAAGTGATCACGTGCGAAACCAGTAGGTCCTGGGTTCGAATCTCGCGGGGGGAGCGGGGTTGTGGATGCGCACTGCTGAGGAGTCCCACAATAGGACGGAACGGCCGTCCAGTGCTTCCAGATTTTCCATGGTAGTCTAGCTTCAACTGACTCATGATCTTAATCATTGAAATTACTACAATCTCCACAAAACCTCTTCTGATATTAAACATATTTAAAGTCTAAAACATTCAAGACTGTACTTCGTTTGTTTGTAATAACAGTATACGGTTCAATAATTGTTTCTGTTTTTGTTCACCTTTTTTCAGACTCCACTAGTGCAAATAATGTAAGTTATATTTTTATGATTAAACTAATTTATAATATCAGTCTAAAGAATAACTAATTACTTATTATCGTTTATAATACATGATAAATTGAACATCTCAGCTAGCTCTGATAATTGTATGCATAGGTTCATGAAAACATCAAATTCTTTATACCATTCACTTAATTGTATTAGAATGATGTGATGGAAGAGTGTAATCCAATAAAATTGTTAAAATGAATAAATATGTCAACTCCTGATAATTTTCTAGTTATTCAACAATGATTAACTTCGCAGATCACAATTATGGGTTTGGCAATTTAATTAACAAATAATTGTATTTCAAGCATCAACGAATAGAACATCTTGATGACTTGATAATTGTATTTTTAGTTTTAAATTCTATCCTTGTAATTTGGTTCCAATGAGTGCTTGAAGTCAAACAATAACATGCCTGCTAAATAAGTCTCGTTTTAATTAAATATTATCAAGCTTGAGGAAAATTTTCTGTTATAAATATTTAAAGATGGTTCTTAAATGCATTTAAAGATACGTGCTATACAGCTGACCATCAATGACATAGTAGTATGCATGGTTCAGTCTTGGTATTACTCAATCAATAAATTCTAATCAGTATTAAGGATTTGTGCTAGGCTTTAGTTACCACATGACTATTTTGAACAAAATCATATCTTACAGAAGAAAATAAGATGAAAATGTCACTCAAACAAATCAGAGACAAATATTCTATTTGTAATCAATCTTTAATTCGTTTAATTATATCAAACCAGTATTATTCTATTCAGTTTAGGTGGTGAGATATGGTTGGATGTTTAAGATGAGTCCAACAAGATTGATCAATAATAATCTGGCAGATATGTGCCTGAATGTTTATAACCAAATTAATTGTGTCCCCATTTTACTTCACTCATGTCATTTATTGTCCTTCCGTTTTCGATATTAAATATATTATAATCTTTGGTCTCAGCTGAACAGATTTTCTTAGTACTCATGTGTTATAAAACCTCATTTATTTAAGAAAATTATAGGTAAGCCTTACAGCTAGTAGATGTTAATTTGTGAAATGTTTCACCAAAGGACATGGTTAATTTTACTTTCTAGTAAAAACTGCAATTAAAATTATGAACTATTTTTTTTTTCTCAACAGTAAGTAGGCTAACGAGAGATTTCTCTTATTTCAGCTTATGATTTATTCTTTTCTTTATAAAGTAACCAAATGAACATTCGATATAACAGATGACGTATATCTTTCAATCAATGGGATTGTTTAGTGTAATGTATCTAATAAACATCTGTATTTCACTGTATTGTAACTTAAAAAATATTTTAATATTTTTCAATCTGATTATTTAGTCAAGTTACTCCTGTGTATTTAAATGTTTATTTAATTTTCTTGAGATCTATTCAGTTCTAATATGATCATGATCCTCATCATGATAATATTGATTATACTATCAAATATCCCTATGTTTTCCATCCCTCAATTTTTTTATGTGTGACTAATTTCGCATTATTTGAAAGAAAGTCGAACAGCTTCATCTCACTAAAATAGTGTAAACGCATGAAAAACCATGACCGAGATTTAAAACAATTTGAATTTGAGCGTTTCCTCAAAATACATTTCCACAAAAATCCATCATATGTGTGTAAATGAATGACAAAATGTTTTGTTAGTTAATTTTCCTCTAGCCAAATTATTGAGATTATAAGTGATTTCGTTTATAAAGTGTTTATTCTTTTTATCTGTTGTATGTAGGTAAACAACGGTCAGCAAACAGGTTGAATCATACAAACAACGTCTATCTTGATTTTAGTGGTGTTTAGGACCTCACTGTATAGTTTACCATAATAAGTAAATCTAAGTCTCGAAGAAGGTATATATATATATCATATTTAGAACTACGGTTTTATTTCATAACGCAAAATTGTGAAACACCGAACGTGTTAACTACACAATGATTTTTATTAGATTCTTCTATGAATAATATATAATAACTTCAATTTATTTTCTTACAGACCTCAGATGCAATTTTAAATCGTGATTTACGTTCTGCGGTAAGTGATGATAATATGTCAGACTGACTTAAATTATCAGTATTTAGAACTCTATAATCCAATTAATTGTTAAGGATGATGTATTCTGTAATAATGTTCTCTGAAATTTGGTTGTTATGGCAACTATTTCAGTTTCATGTTAAACCTAGAATTTTTAGTCAGAACATATTGATGACTAGAAAATATCTATTTATTAACGATACTGGTAAAATGAATAATTGGCTTTTCACAGTGGTAAACATAAGCTGATTGTAAAACATTTTGATGAAAATTGATTAGCACATGAATAAGACCGAATGTACTATTTTAAAGGGTGAATAACAAAATGAATACAGATTTATACGTTAGGTCATTAGTCATGGTTTTTACAAGACGGTTAAGAAAATTGTGGTGCGGATGATAAGATGTTCAAGCCTGTTAGATAACTTGAAGAGACTATAAGTCTTTATCCGAGAATTTGTGTATATGTTTTTCATGTATTTTATTTGTTTCCTTTTTGAAAATGCATGTTTCTTATTCCTTAAGTAATGAGGGGGAACATAATCAATTTTGGATACCGCTAAAATGAGTCTGAACGACCATAGAATCTAGTTCTGATAAGTAACAGAAATAACTCACACATTGTCATTAATGAATTTATTTAAGAATAATAATCCATATGAGCTCGGCCATTATTAAAAATCAGGAATCATTGGATAGCTATCTCGTTCTAGTGTGGTGATCCTCAGCAGTTTAAAACCGCGATCCCTCCGTGTCGGATGTGAGACAGTTATTCATCAGAGACTATGAAAGATGGTCAAGCAATATCACGACTTGGCTAAAGTCGAATACATACATTACTGACTGCCGGATAAGTGTTCTAGAGGATAATCGTTCTTAAGCGAGACCGAAAACCCTGAGTTTAATTTCCTGTAGTGAGGTCGTGGTTGCTCACTATTGAGGAGTTTCATACTAGGACAAGATAACTGTCTAGTGATTCCTAGTTTCCAACGGTAAGATCAATTTACGATTGAAACTATGAAAATTCTACAATCTCCCAAAACTGATTACACACATTTTCATTGAAAGAGAAATAAACTGGTTAAACAACGTTCTATGACAACATAAAAGGCATTTCTGAATGTAGCAGATTCATAAAAGTAAACTGTTTAACTTTCTCATGAAAATATTTTTTGTAATATAAATCATTAAAGATATTCATCTTCACGTAATACGCTAAAAATCAACTGAAGTTAAAACTAGGTTGCTTACTTAAATGAGATGTAATGAGTTTCGGAACTACAATTTTTTAATGGTTGAAAATCTAATGCTGAAAATCATAAGATATAATTCTACATAACTACATCATTTTAGATTGCAGATTGGTGAATGTTGAAAATAGTTAAGTTATGGAATGATCCCTCTTAGTACCTAACTCACTTTCCCTTAGCTTTAAGTTATATCACCCTCAATCAGTTATGAGCATAATCTTTTTAATAATCATTGACTTTTAATTCAGAAACTGCAGGAATTTGGAAAACTCTCCCAGTCTCCCACATTGTATGAGCATTCCATGTACCTAAATAAATGGTTGCTCTTGTTGTCAGAAGGGGCATCGGCCTCGTGACTTCCGAAGAAAATCGGCTTTCATCATGAGGCGTCATAATTCTTCTAAACGAAGACCTTCTAACTCCCAGGGTAGAGTTTAAATGGTTTGAATAATTTTTTCTGGTTAGCATTTTTTAGCGAGTTAGTTTTCTACGGGATGGGGTCGCTAACCCCATGCTCAACCCTCCTCCTTTACCCGGGCTTGGGACCGGCAGTAGCCCCCTGAGGGACTCCAGGCAGAGTTAATTCAGAAACCAGTGTTTCTAAATTCGGTCATGTGTATCAATTTAGACAATAATTTTACCGAATTATTTTACTTTTCTAGTGATATCCAATTTGGAAATTGAATCTCCAGTCTACCATATTCATTGTTTGATTCTAATAATTAAAACTTTTATACTTAGATCTTAATTCTCCTTTTTTTTTTTTCTTTCTCTTCATTTACTTAATAGGTTATTCAAATGCTAGTAAATGCTGTCAATAATTTTGTACCGACTGATTCAAATTCATTCATTTTAGCAATGTCATGCACTGAGAATATACTTGACAATACATTAGACGTGGATAGAAGTTCTCAGTCAAAATTAAACACATATTTTACAAAAGTAACTGAATCTTTAGAAACAATTGTTTGTGATAATACAAATCAATTGTTAAAAATGACCTCAAGTATATTTCAATCAGCGCTTCTTTTAGCTAATGTAAGTTCTAAATTATATTTTAGTACATTTCTAATTAAAAATGATCTTTTAGCTGGATCATAATTTTTTTAGCATACACCTGAAAATAAATAGTGATACATCAAAACCTAAATTCCTTTGTTAGATGTTTAGTTAACATGGGTTGTGTTCAACTAGTCTTTTGTTATTATCTGTTATGAATAAAGGTTAAGCGGTGAAATTATTTTGTATAACAAATGAATTATGGCTTATTGCTTATAAATAATTTTTTAGTGTCATCTAACACTGATATGTAACATATATTTATAAAAAGATGCCTTGGTAACAGAATAAATTTCATAGTCTGCATTGATAATAGATAGTTGACAAGAGGGTACAAGTCATTGGAGTGTGTCTTCAGGCTCAAGTGAATTGATATTCTTTATGGGATTCAAACCTATTGTCATCCAGTTTCACAGTTAGAGATGTTACTACTGGGTCAATAAGACGATAACTGAATTGAAAAATAGGTTGTTTACAATGAAGGGTTAGTGATCACTGTTATTGGTTGTCTGTTGCTTGGAGTTGTGGCTCTACCTACTTAACTCTAGAAGATGATATAAATACCACCAAATGGCATAGTTTTTGTAAAATTAAGATATTTTATGTAAAAATTGTAATACTTGTTGTACGGGAAATTACATGTTTGCAGGTAGAATTGATTTTAGAACAAAGCCATTAATTGCTCATTATTACCCATTCATGACCAGTCTAAGTGTTTTAGTGTTACAGTTTTATGTAAACTCCTGTAGTTCAGTAGTCCAAATCTTTTATATATATATATATATATATATATATATATATATATATATATATATATATATATATATATATATATATATATATGGTCAATTTGTGTTCTTTATACAAAATAAGGAATATTCACCCATCAAATAACCATAATTTTATTTTTAGGCTGGAAATAGTCAAATTAATAACCCAATCTCTCTAGACATACCGACAGATCCAGCCATACTCGATTACAATGTCGATCTTGAGAAGGCAGGTAAGTTAGTGTAAAGCATTTTAAAAGTATTTAATTCTATATAATTAGTCCCTCGGATAAATTTGTACGTCATAATAAAATGAAGATCATCATAAGTATGTGATATATTATAAGCAAAGATGGATAGTGGCTAGCAGTCGAATCCAGGACGTGCGTTTCGTCCTATTTGAGACTCGTCAGCTAGATGTACCTGCATCTCAGAGTTGATGTTCACTCTGGATTCCACTGCTAGCCACTATCCATCTTTGCTTATAATGCTTGTAAATTAAGGCAATATCGAGGCAATACGCACAGTATGCACATATACCAATATGAGAGACTGATCAATTGCAGTCCTAAACATCAATGGGAAAATTCAAGTAAAACATTATCAAGTGAATTATGTGATATATTAATTGAAGGCAAAAGGGAACAAAGATGATGAAATCCTGGCTATACGATCATTAAAATCCCTTTTATGTATTGAAAAACAGTTTATTCTCACTATAGACCTACCCAGCGTAGTGAACTGAAAACAGTTTAATAACAAACATTTAAATAAAACTCATATTCTGGTAGTTTCTACGCCAAAAAATGTTGTTTATACGTTTATTTGGGAATTTTCATTGTGTACCAACATCCAGATATTATTTGCTATAATGCTCTTATCGAATAAACCCCATGAATATATTCTAATATTTGATAAATGTACAGTTGTCTTGTGAATCTTAAACTAACTTTTTTTTTGTTGGCTAATAGGTCTACAGACATCAGGTTTAGATCCTATGAATGATTTAATGTTACAAAATAGTGCAGATCAACAATCATTACTGGTAGGTTTTTCGTTGGGATCATCTTAATTTCATATGAGCATAAATTTGAAATGTTTTTGATAGATTATTTCTTACTAAAAAGTCACTAGTGTTAAACATAATAAATTATTAGTCTCACTTTCTATTCTTTATTTTCATTTTTTATTACGTGTGAAAGATGGTTGTTAGTTAATAAATAGCACAAGTAAATTGCTGGAAATCAACCCCATGCTACTTGTTTTATCTACTCCATTACATTTAATGGTACAAGTAATAAAATTTGGCACTGAAATGATTACATATTGACCCATTACAATATAGAAGTCATCAAACAATAGAAATCAGACTATTAGAATAGATTTTAAACTCTCCAATTCTTTAAATATGGGGATAGAAATCTTATGAAAATTCATTTAAAGACGTTTGATTTAGTCTAGACCGGACAATGTAAAATCTTATGTTAAAGTATTTTGTTTAGAAATTGATATGGCTACAATAAAACCTTTTCGTCGAATATGTTTCATTAATTAAATTTATTTGATTTTAACTATTGGATTTTGGATGAAATAGGTTGGCCAGACATTAGATATGATCCGTAATTTGATGACCATATCACAAAAAGTCACACAACGTTTGTTAATTGAAGGTGCACCGCCAATAACATTTCAAACGTCAAACGGTTTGATTAGTCTTTCTAAGATTTCACCAAATAATCTGTCAAATAGAATTGCTGTATTAGATAGAAGTCAAAATGATGTTTTTGTAAACAATTTATGCAGATATATTCAAGCTTTAAATGAAAGTTGTTCAGAACCATATAACCTTCAAGTGAGTCTATTAATGTGTAATGTAATGGTATTTATTTTATGATGGTTTTCAATAGAAGCTAATTCTAGTCATGCAATCACTGGTAATCAAGGAGCGCTATTACACCTTTCGAATATGGAACAACATAGTTCTAGATAGCAATGACTTATTATTAGAATATAATCTAAAACATGATATCGAATCAATTCCCTGACAATTGCAGCTTCTGTTATATCTGCTGAACACCACTGTTCCGATAAACTGATACAGTTATAGCTGAATGAATGGTGGCGAAAAAATAAGGTGTCTTAAATCATGAGTTGACGTGGGTTTAAATTTTCAGTTGTATATTCAGAAGTTAATGTTCTATCAAAAAGTCTGAGAGGCACGTTTATTCTTAAGTGTTGATGAAGACTTTACGAACAAAACGTAATAAGTGTACAATGGTATCCAACGTTTAGTAGTCAATCAACTACAGAAAACCAGTCTCATTTTTTAGTAGATACATACCTAGACGTGGGACCTCGTACTGTTTACATTAGATATTAGAAATTGCGTTTTGCTTCAAAAGGCTATGTATACCTGAATAATCTTCAGTTAGATAAACTAAAGCTCAGTCAGCAGTAATGATCACAACAGAAACAACTAAACACTATTTGGAAAGGAAAGCTATGGAAATTTGATCAAAAGATATAGTTTATTAGTCCTACTGTAAACATGCTGATGGTTAGTAACAGATAAACAACACTAACTACTTCTACAAACTGATTGTACAGAGAAGTAATAAGATACGGTAATAGTATAATCACCAAAACATTCTCAAGCTTGACAATTGTTGTAACCACATAATATAAGACTTATAATTTAAAGCTTGAAGAATGAACACTGAAATTCTAGTTGGTTTTCAAAATACATTGAATAATGATTCCAGTTTACTGGTACATTGTTGGAACTTTCCAGACTGCCCACAAAGCCTGGTTTCAACCCCTAACTACCAAACGAATAATTGACATGATTTTCACTAGCCATCTGATTTTACTAACATACATGTTAGAAAAATGAAACAATTACTGGACATTTGTTCACGGAATTACTTATGCGATGAACGAAACATACTAAATTAAGTTGTGCAAATAATTTAACATATTATTTATACCTAAACAATGACAAGGCAGTACAAAAACTTAACATAATGCGGCTCATATTTTTAGGCAGATGAATATTGATAAAAAATAAAATATTCTTACGTTAACTGTTTTATCAGAGAAGCAATAAAATGGATACTGTATACAACATCTCATGATCTTGGTAACAAAAAATAAAAAGAACACTATACACTAGAAATTTTGTTTAGAATTAGAAGTGGTTCTATAAATTCCACTGAATTATAACACGATACAGATATGCTACTTACTGAATAAAAGTTAGGAAACACTGACCAATCATCCATAGAATTTAGCTCAAACATAAAGATTTTGCCTAAAGTCCTAGCTACAAGAGATTTCATACCAGCAGAAAGTAATATTTGTATACTATAAAAAAATACAACGAACAAATCCCTAACCTTCAGTTAGTATAATGACACTTTAAGTCATGTCATGCCTTAGAAACTATATGTCTAACATAAATAAGTTATTTAAATGAAAACAGTTGATTTTTGAATTGTTTTTTCCCGGCAAAATAATATAGTAATTACTTATTTTAAAAAAATATACTGAGAATTCATGTATCCATATGAAAATTGGTAAACTAATTCATTTATTAATCTTATTAGCGGCCTGCTTGAATATCTGGGTTACCTGTTCTTGCATTCTGGATATTTCAACAAGTTATCTGTTTTCTTGTTTGTTTTAACACATCATTATGCTTATTAGTCTCATAACCAATTTAGGTGCGTTTGTGAAAAGTTTACAACATTTCGCTGTACAGGTTACAAAAGAGCTCAATCAAAGACATTATGGTTACTGGCAATATGCATCGAAAAGGATATATATTTATCAGATGTCGATTCCTGAACCGCTAACATCTAACTGGCGACGACTCAATATTTATCGCAAGGAACTGACTGATCAAGAAATAAGAAAGGGAAACTTGTTGAAATACTTTGTGCTGAAAATTCTATATTGTACCAAAAAAATATAATATTGAATTAAGCCACTAATAATCATAATAATAATTACTTAAGTGTGTCAAATAAGTTTTATTATAAAAGCATTATTCTTATTTTTTAGACATTCATATCAAATACGAACCTGTTCTCATTTCGTACTGGTTCACCTATACCAATTCCATTTCATACTGAGACTATTTCATTGATTTTATACAATAACAAACCAGTTATCATTAAAAATGTCAAAGAAATAGTTGAAGGAATTGTTCATAGGGTAAATTGTTTTGATTCTTTTTTTCGTATATGTAACACTACTGTTTAATTAACTCATCATATTTTGTTTCAATAGTTAAGATCATGAGTCAATTGAAGTTAAGCTAGCATGGAAAATCTGAAAGCAAAGGACGGCTTTTTCATCCTATTATTGGACACTTCATTTTTCGTTAGTTGTATTAAATTATATAAAATTGTTTGTAAAAATCAACTTCAGTTTTTAAAATGGGATACTCTTAGTGAATGTCAATATCTTTTATTCGTCTAATTTAATTTTGTAAACAGCATGAAAAATGATTCTAGTAGAATAGTATGAATTCATTTTATTTTGTTCGTTCTCGTCACCTGCTTACAACCTGTGGTATTTAAAAATCATAAATACGTAATGAGTTGAGGTTAGACATTAACACCGTTGGATGCCGGCTCAGTGGTCCAGTAGGTTAAACGTTCGCGCGCGAGACTGAAGGCCCTGGGTTCGAATCCCGCGAACGGGGTCGTGGATGCTCACTGCTGAGGAGTCCCACAATAGGACGAAACGGCCGTCCAGTGCTTCCAGGTTTTCAATGGTGGTCTAGCATCAATCGGTTTATGATCTCAATCAAAACTTGGCAATATCCACTACATCTAAATTAATAATTACATGAAAGTGTTTCATCGGAAGTTATGTTGAAGAGAAAGGTGTAAATAAATTTAATAGACTGAATATTGTAAATACATACCTTATGTAAAGGGAAATTCTACAAGATTGATTGTGATAACAGTTCTAACGGCTAGAAACAAGTGATTACATATAATGAGTAAACGCTGATAGGAAAAAAATGAGTGAAGCTTAGTTAATAAAATAAGATTACTAATCTAGAAGATAGTTGAAATTAAAGCTCAATAATATAATAAATGCAAGAAAGAGTTAAAAAAGGGTTTAAGATGCAACGAATAAATATTTGTCACCAAAACAACAAAAGATTAATACCCATCTCCTTTTGAACACATAAGCCAGGTTGTTGATGCTTGATAACAACGGCCTAAGCAAACTTCAGAAGACTAGAGTTTGGCTGCTTATTAATCAACTTGAAAGATTGCAAGTTATCGGCCTGATGTTCTGTATCAAGGAGATGTTTGGTAATTGCACTGTTTAAAGTCTTACTTTCCCTTGTTCTGAGGCTTTTTGAGATATCCTCAAAGAAATATGATCAGAATTTTTTTTATCTAGTTTGTATGATAAACGAACTAGATGTTGGAAGTTACACCAAGTAAATAAAATACCAATCTATAAAAAATAAACTCTGTAAGGTATTTCAATACATTACAGACTACTATACGTTTAATGTGTACTTCAATTAGTATAATTTGTTGGATTTTTGTATAAAAATTGTGAACATTCCTTATTAACTAGTCAGAGAGATTGTATTTACTTTTTACAACTGTCATTTTAATTTGGTCTTTCTCCTAAGTTATCAAACTTCAAACATCCAACCTTTACAAGTATGGATCCAGGAACAAATCGACCGCAACTACCAGCTGCACGAATAGCTGTGGATAAAACGGAAATTTATCAAGCTCTTTTAATGAGTCATCAGGTAGTACCAAATGATGTAGCTGTATTTTTCCAGTTGTACCCTGAAAATATTTCTGAATGTCCACAATATTTACTGTTTCTAAGGTGAGAATTGATAAAATTTAATTTGTAAAAATAATCGTATCGCTGAGGTGACTGATATAGTGAATTAGTGCTTTTCATTGTTCATAATTCACCAATTAGATAATACAACATAGTAACCGGGCTGTGATAATAATAATAATAATAATAATTATTATTATTATTATGTGGTGTTGAAAGATACAGTGTTGCATTTGGTTTGGATACTGACTAACATTCCTGATAAACAACTTTCTGAAGCCTCTGAGAAGTGAGAATTTCATCATTAATTTTAATAAAAAACATTACTGACGCTGAGATATATAACTATTCAAAGAGTTACGCACATCAGCAATTGAGATCAGTGCTAAATAAATTTTATCAGTCGCATTTGTAATATAATTACTAAGCAACATGGCTCAATATTACTGTTGGTTCTATTTCGGATTGAAAAGTAGAAAACTAACAAAATTCTAAAAACCAAAGATTTACACCTGCTGGTATTCAAATTTTAATGTGTGCATTAAGTTAACTTCAAAATGAGATTGTACACGCTAATCATCATCATCATCATCATCATCATCATCATCATCATCATCATCATCATCATCATCATCATCATCATCATCATCATCATCATCATCATCATCATCATCATCATCATCATCATCATCATCATCATCATCATCATCATCATCATCATCATCATCATCATCATCATCATCATCATCATCATCATCATCATCATCATCATCATCATCATCATCATCATCATCATCATCATCATCATCATCATCATCATCATCATCATCATCATCATCATCATCATCATCGAATGAACAGTATAGAGCTTCTAATTGAATTTACACCAGCTATGACTGACAAATTTCCTTATCAAAGTTCAAAATAATTATCTGATTTTGTAGTCACTGTGATATGGTCTTATGTTCATCGCGTATTGATTGAGTGATATAAATGTACATCATATAGGTACTAATATTGGGTCAAAAAAGAAACTATTCCTTTAGCGGTATTCCAGAAATGTTTATTCCTTCAAATTGAACTCTTAGATACCCATTTTATTACATATACAATATTGGTAAAATTGATATATATTCTTCCTTCATATAGATTGATTGATCCCCCGGTAATTTCCTTATCCACTGGAGGATATGATATATGGACTACGTTACCTGAGGATACTTCACAATGTGGTAAGTAATTAATTGTCAGACTATATTGTAAATTTCTAATCAGTCGTTATTATACCATGTTTTACTTTGCATATCTATCAAAGTTAAGTTGTTCATCTTAAATAATGATTCAGTATTTATTCAATGGTAAATCATAAACTATATAAAATGTCCCGAATAGCGGTTAAACAACTATGAAATATAAACCAAATAGGACACTGTTACAAAATTCTAAATAAAATGAGTTTATATGGTTATAATAAGGATAATCAAGAGAAATTAAGGAGATGTAATAAAATCATGTAGTCTATACCAAAACATTTCCAATCACATTTTCTGTAAATAATCACTTTTGAAAAAGCGTAAGGTCATCTTACTCTTTAGTAAACTATCACATTGTTCATTCATGAAAGTGTTAATAATCAAGTGAATTCATAAAATAGATTAAATTCACATGACTTATCAGATTTTCCAGATTATTGAATTCGATAAATGATAAGTGAATTAAAATAGATTATCTATAGATGAATGAATGATTTTTATGGTATACAAGTGCGCATCCACGGCGGGATCGTGGATGCGCACTGCTGAGGAGTCCCATAATAGGAAGAAACGGCTGTCCAGTGCTTCCAAGTTTTCCATGGTGGTCTAGCTTCAATTGACTTATGATTTCAACTATTGAAATTACCAGTTCTCCGCAAAACCCATTCTAGTAATAATCATCTGCTCACTAGTGACTGACTTCAACAGATACTCCTGGAGTTCTAATGAGAAGCCGTGACCAGTGGAGTTCAACTAGGTCTGTTGTGAGATATCAGCTCACTGAAGACAATGGTGACGGTGGCGCAACTTGGTGGATTGGTTGAAGTTAGACATTAACACCGTTGGATGCCGGCTCAGTGGTCTAGTTGGTTAAGCGCCTGGCGCGAGACTGATAGGTCCTGGATTCGAATCCCGCGGGTGGCGGGATCGTGGATGCGCACTGCTGAGGAGTCCCATAATAGGAAGAAACGGCTGTCCAGTGCTTCCAAGTTTTCCATGGTGGTATAACTTCAATTGACTTATGATTTCAACTATTGAAATTACCAATTCTCCACAAAACCCATTCTAGTAAATATATCAGTTGATAACTTATTTGACTGATACCAATAAATGGTGACAGTTATTAATGCATTAACTGAAGATGATTAGCCTTTTAACTGATTATTATTACCATCGAATTATTAGCACCAGATAGTTAATGTTCTGTAGGAAGTTGTTCTGAAAATGTGGCTATAGTCTAATATTGTAACTTAAGAGATTTCAAGAGCTTTTTAAAAATGGCAGTAATATTTAAATTATAATATGTTCAAAACAATGTACAAATTAACAATAAATTTAAACTATCCTGATTGAATTCATTATCTATATGATTGTTGAAAAGTAACCAAGGCTGAAACAAGGGTGTATTCATGAAGGTCGTCATTCGAAATCTAATATTTGTATATTACACTTTTATTCATTTATTCCAGTCACACATACGGAATAATAGTGCTGCATAAACGACGGTTTTTAACTTATTACCTAAGTGAATAACTCATAGATAGACCATTTACTTCATATGTTCCGGAGGTTGATAAATTATAACCACGTTTTGAGACTATAAGCTACCAACTAACTCAGACTACAATAACTTCTGTCCAATGAGTTGTAAAATACGAATTGTACGAACACATTTTGACCACGATCGTAAATTCTGCTCCAAGGAAGGCCTAGAAGAACTTGCTCTCATTAAAACCTGTTTAGGTGAAAATGGATGCAGAACGAAATTCATGGAGAAGTATGCCAAAACTGACGAACATGTTAAATGCGATAGAGCTAAAAAGAATACCTGCCTCCCATATATTTACTTTACTCGGTACCATCGACCGCATTCACCAATTCGCATATACATGCGAAGTTACATTTGTTGAGAGAATAGAGAGAAAAGCACATGCTCACAATTTTGAGCACGTTCTAATGAATTCGAAACTGAGGACTAAAATGGGCTTAAACAGTGCAATAGCTTTGCATTCAATCGGTATACGGCATATCATTGAAATTTCCCAATAATTCACAATTATCAGCAGACAAAGAACTCAAACCTGATTTAAGTGTCCAGAAAGAGACAGTAATCAATTTGTCGTTACCTTGATAAATTAAAAAATTTGATTCATATCGCCTCATCAAAAAGACTTATTGGGAGTTTGTATTTAGAGATAAGGTCAGTATATACCATTCATTTTTATTTCACAAAGTAATCAGTTATGTAGTGTCGGTTACTATGTTAAGCCAATAGACCACTAAAGTGTTGAGCCCGTCGATAACATCGTCCGATATAACTGACGTCAAAATGAAGCGTTCCACAGTTATATACTCCTCTGTATTTTGTTTTCAGATTGTCTTTATTCGTTATATACTGCCTGTTTTCAAGAAAATGTTTAACTAACCCGACTTAATAACAATAGTTTCTAATACTGATAAAACGTGATTGTTTTGAAAGCAGGTAGAGTCAGTCAGTCAGCCGCAACGTAGGACCAGGCACATATATGCATCGGTCCAAGTTGCCATACCGCATTAGCACAACAAGATGAACACCGGATTCATAGAAGTAGTTAATTCAGTGGTGGTAAAGTGAAGTATCACAAAAAACGTTTTATGAACTTCTCATATCCCTTTATTAATCAGCGGAAAATTTCATTTTCCTCTTTTAGTTAATATGACCACAAACCCAAATGATCCAAACTACAGATATACATTTATGCTGGATAACCGTCAATTAATGGAGCTTAGATCTACACAGAAATATAGTGAAAGATTTGAACTTCTACAAAAGTCTGTAGCTCAAACAGTTTACATTGGTTTTCGTCAACTGAATCAGTATGAGATTAATATGTATAAAAATACAAGTCCTCCAATAATTCCTTATCCATACAGAGACCAAATAAACAACACAGCTCTTTCACGTTGGTTTTTAACATCTTGTGTATCTGGTCAAGTGGATTCTTCGAAAAAATGGTCCACAAGCAAATGCCGAGTGAGTTTCACATAATTAACATTGTTATAAACTAGATAATTAGATCAATATTCATGGATTTCTTCCTAAATTATCCATGTATACAAAAGTACAGATTTCATCTCAATGCCCTATCAGTTGCACTAAAAAAAACTAAATGAGTAATAGACAGCTACTTTACAAAATTCTAAAGCTTCTAAGTATTTAAACTCTATAACTATTTCTGAAAAGCAAGTAAATGATCTCTAGATTCATATATTTACTATTCGAAAATATCTCAAGAATTTGGGAATCATTTTTCAAATACAACAAACCTATGTACTGCATTCAACAAGTATTGGTCTAACATTCTTAAATGATCAGTGTATTTTATTTAACGTAAACTCAGTGATCCAAATACTTATCTACAGGATTTCAAACTAGAATTGAGCATTTTAATATTTAATGAATCGTATTACCAGTACTTTTTTCTATCAGGCACAAACAATAAGCTAGGAGAAATACATATATTTGGAGCCTAAATTGATTCTACCGAAGAACAGGGCCTTCAGTCTCGAGCGCGAACGTTTAACCTACTGAACCACTGAGCCGGCATCCAACGGTGTTAATGTCCAACCTCAACCAATCCACGGAGTTGCGCGACCATCTTTCATTGTACTAAGGTAGACACCTGTTTCTACCCGACACGGATTAGCTCCACTGGTCACGACTTCTCACCAGAACTCCGAGAATTTTCTCACGAAGCTAGTCACTAGTGAGCACATTGTAGTTATCAGTTTAGGGGTGGATGTGCGCTGCTGAGGAGTCACTAAATAGGACGAAACGGCCGTCCAGTGCTTCCAGGTTTTCAATGATGGTCTAACATCAATCGGTTCATGAACTCAATAAAAAACTTGACAATCTCCACAACCCCTAAACTGATAATAATAATAATAATAATAATAATAATAATTAATACTGTAACAAAAATTTTCATATATATACAATTGTACAGCTTGATAATAGATTCGTTAAAAAGCGATCCCTTCGCTGAACTTCGTGATTATAATTTTTAATGTTTAAATGGGAATTATCTGTCAAATAAAGTAGTACATTATGAAGAATATGAACATGGACTCGGTCCAAATAGTTTGCAGTTATCAAAACATTTATTATTCGTAGATGTTTAGTAATAAACTTTGTTAATCAATTTATACACTGAAGAGGAAAAATGTATTTGTAAAATCTAAGAAGAAGAAGAATATGAAGTGAATTCAACGTTTCAATTAGCAATCTGGTCCAAACTTTTTTATGGAAATATACATTGGTTCAAGTAAAATATTATAAAGTTGAAATCAGTCACATTTAGCCTTTTATACTAGATCATACTAGATATCAAGTTATGCATGGATAATTCTTTTTTACAAATAACTCATAGGAAAGTATTCATTAATTCGCGTTTTCGTTATTCTCATATTTGTTAATATGTAATAATACTTCTTCTTGAATCTTAAAATGAATACGCTGGTCTATATATTTATTGTTTTCTTACATTTAAGGTTGGTCCTAAGACAACCGTTCAACAGACTCAATGTATATGTGATGAATTTTCCACATTCACATCTGGATGGTTTGAACTACCCAATAGTATCGATTTCAATTATGTATTTGCTAATATAGATTTTAACAAAAATCCTACACTGTATGCTACAGAGATTTCTCTTTGTATCATATTTTTATTAATACTTATCTGGGCACGCAGAGAAGATGTTAAGGATATAGAAAAGGTGAGATAATACTTTTAAGATAACATTGAAGCATTTTTTGGTGAAAAAACTTTAAAGTACAGCTAAGGTAATCACCAGTCACTTTGGATTTACTTGGCATGGATTTGTTGAAATAACATCGAAACTTGGTTATAAGTTAGATATTACTGTTTAGTTGGGAGAAAAGTGAACTGGCAAGATAAAAGGTAACGATTTAAACATAATTTATGTTTCCAGCTTCAGTTACTAGTCTTTAGTACATATTGGTCACGAATGACTTGTATAATATATGCATCTCACGATCTACAAAATTAAAAATAAAGGTTAGAAGTTCATGTCATCAAAAGATAAGTATTAATTGAAATGGAATAGTTATATTTAATATCAAAAATGTGCTATAATCAAGGACTTGGTGAGAAATATTAACGCATGGATAATCATCGCAACATATCCTGTTTACAAATGAACTAGTAATTAATAAATCATGTTTTAACGGAGCAACATCTAATATTAATTGGTATGTTAGGCAATTCTTGTTTAATCAAATACTTCCCTAAAGCAACAAAATTTAATATCCGCAGTCCCATGGCTTAAACTTGAGAAAGTGGACCCCCGTAATCCCTATGGTGCGAAGTGTGAACATTAACACTAATATGATCTTCAAAACAAGTCCTCAAAATAATTCGCCTAAAATCACGCCGTTATTAGACAAAATTAACTCATTACTATGCTTATCTTGCACACACTCGATGGTTAATCAATAAACACCATATAAACGAAAAGATACACATGGTTACTGTAAAATACTTACAAAGTTCACATAGAATAATACAATGAATATAATTGTCACGATAGAAGGAAGTTTACATCTGTCATGCTGAATAAATTTCACCCTTAACTGTTACAAAGCATATCTGATATTATGTTGCACTGGAAATAACCCCAATATTCTACTGACTTAATGTTATACTGAGAATGAACTTATTTCATAAAATGTTACACCAAGTTAGAGGTAAAGTGAATTTGCCTTCTTATCCTGACTTTTCAATTTATTATTCAACTATATAACTGCATATTGTTATTATACAATATGATTTTTTATGAAAAGAACAATATTGACTTATTGATTCCGGGAGGGGTTAACTTTATTTGGAGTTATGAAATGCAGAAATTTCTAGGTATTCCCAAGGATTCAGTGTGAAACAGAATATTGTTTGAACAAGAGCAAGAAAAATCAAAATACTTCTTAATTAAAAAATAGACATTTTGTTTTATGATTTCCTTACTTAACCAAAGATAATATTCAAATTTAACTTACAAATGCATAGATATGCCAAAGCTGTTAGTATATAATTCATCACAGATTGCTATCAACTAGAACTTCAGGGAGACTGGGCAGCTATGTTAACCTAGCTTCAATCTCTTGTATACAGCCATAACCTTATCAGGAATTAAACTTAAGGTTTTGGGATCCCTTGGGTGAGTGAGTGTTACATTTACACAACTGAGAAGCCCAATGGTTCACATTTCTAAATTTGGTTAGTTCGTTATATAGCTCCACCCTAAGTTAGTCTTTAACGGGAACTTTCAAAATTCAGTTAGTCTTCACAATTAAACAAATTCATTTCAGCATGATGAGAGGTTCGTTATTATGTCTTTCCTTGTAAATAGGTTATATTAAAAGTATTTATCATCAATGATTTTTTGGACGTTGGAGTATAATGAGTGTCACCAATATGTGATATCTTAAATGTATAACGATGAAATCGGTAAATATGTTGCTTTTCACAAACAAAACCTGTAAATAATCTCTGAAACATGACAGATTCCTCTTTCATATTTCTTTCTTTGTGTTGCTTTCTATGAACTCATGCAAATGAATAGATAAAAATATACATTACATTAGGAATGATATATTGTTTGTTAGCAATATACCCAGACAAATGGATACTTTCTAAAAACGTGTTATATCTCGTGGAAACTCTAATTAATACCTTATTTTCTGTCTTTTCATATTTAGCTTACTGTCACACAGTTGTCTGAGAATAATCCAGATTGTGAGTATTTCTATGAAATCATTGTGAGTACTGGACATCGTAGATGTGGGGGCACTGATTCTAAAGTCTGTTTTATTCTTTCTGGACAATATGGTGACACAGGCTGTTACGTTCTGCAAGATCCCAATCGAAAAGTATTGTGTCGTGGTGCCACGGATCGATTTTTACTTGCTTGCCCAAGGTAGGTTTCTAGTAATTCAACCTAAAAAGTGAAATCGTTTGGCGATTTCATTCATTTTATGTTTGCATACCTTTGGTATCGTTAATTTTGATGTCGTATTTGTAGGAGATAAGTCATAATTGTATAGCGTGATTACCGAAATAACCTTAATTCAGAGATTTAAAGAACAACGGGATTTTTATATGCATATAGCAATACAAAATGAAGAGATTTTATTCAAATATGTTCATGTAAATAAGTGTTTAATGCTCTAAATATATATGAAGTTTTTAGTAAACACGTTTATACTACTTAAAGTATGTTTCGCGGTATGTTGACGGCCAACACTTGGAACTGTAAACACTACTTATGTGACAATCACACCACTAGCTACGACTGGAAATGAGTGACTGTAATTTGATCATTAACTTTCACGAACCACAGTCATTTGGACAAGATAAGAATTGTCATCGGTAATTCAAGCTAAACATAAAGTCTAAATATCAATGATAATAATAAATAGCATTGACACTTCTAATTGTTTTACCATTAGCCACTTTATGACCTAACTATGATCCGAGTATGAAAGCGTGATGAGAAAGTATTCAAACTTCAAGTTACTTTTTAGTTAAAGGTAATATAGCCTGATTGAAAGAATGGTTTCATAAACGTACTTGTTGCTTAGAGACAGGTCTCTAGTGTCTATAAAAATATTGTACAATCATGTGTGGTTGAAATAAAAACTTCCAAATAAATTCATCTTCTAAACTCTTAGGATTAAAGCCTCAGTTATCTACGAAATCCTAGAGGATTAAATAACAAGAAACATGGCCTGTATTCTTCTGACGGTTAACTCTAATCATCAGTTGTTACCACGAAAGCAAATAAAAATATTTTTGAATCGCTAAACAACAATTCTAAATTTTCACACTACATCTCTTATTACTCTTGATTTCATATGAAAATCTGATTAACGCTTGATACAAATCGATGGGTTTATCAATAAGTTAACCTTACCTAGTTAATACATCTCATATTTACGTTCATCATCCATTACAAGTATAAATATTGAGTACTATAACTTTAATAAAGTTATGGTCTGTAGAACTTTAAAGTAAACCTGGAGATACTATAAATGTTTTTGGTAAAACTCTCAAGTTACTTTGTATTCATCCCGGTTATTTACTAATTATATTAGTTGGTTGGTTTAAAATAAGCTAATATTAATTAATTCCCTCAAATAATCAGTTAGATTAAAACTTTTATATAAATAACATGTTATGTAAAAGATTTGAGGAAGTAGGATTGACAACCAAACTCTTGTATATTTACCATGGCTATTGCTATGCAATTAAGAGCATACAACGAATCAACAAAACAGCAAGAATTAATTTTCACATTCAGGAAACTAATTCATATAAATTAAATTTGATATCGGAGAAATTAACATTTCTCGCTAGATAGAGTATGGTTATCTGCATAGAGGTTCCAAAGCGAAAAGACCATATACAATTGATATACTAATTGATCATTATACACCATAATAAAATTCCAGCAGTCGAATCTCAAAATGAATAAATTCCAATGTCATTTAATAAAGGTGGTTTCAATCCATAAAACTTCAAAAATTTCAGATTGGGATCAAATTTACTTTCAAAAAGTTAACACATACTTTATGTAACACAAAATTAATTTTCTGATTAGCTAGCAGACGGTCGGCTTCAATATATGAATTAACTTTAAAAACAAATTGTCATTGTGGTGTTTGCCACTTATGTCGACTGACGCAAGTAGTATGTAACACCATTCGAAAGTGGAAACCAAGGCAGCAAAAGACTAAGAAGATCAAGTTGAAGAGAATATAATGGAATTGAGATTAGGAAGAATCATACAGAATGCGAAGGACAAATAATGGAAATTCGTAAATGAAGTATTGAATATATGGTTCACGTATTTTACCAAGATATTCGTTTGTTCCTACTTGTGTTCTCGTTCACAACACAGCTACTACTGGTTGGATCAACAGGATTGTTATGAAAATGAATTAATTATAGTAACTCCACTGACTATGAATGTACAACTCTTTTAATTACTAAATTATAGTTAGTAATATAAAAGTCTATCCTAAAATAGTCACTCTTATTATTTTGCATGCGAAAATTATGCTATTTATTGATAACATCTATCATATTTTCATGAAACTTATAAAGGTCCCAATTCTCCTCTATTTGTTATACAGACCGCTGGGGCCGTTAATCTACATACGTTTATGGCACGATAATTCTGGTGTAGGTGATAAAGCATCTTGGTATTGTAATTATGTTGGAGTGGTTGATTTGCAAACTAGAGAGAAGTCACATTTTATTGTTGAAAATTGGTTTGCAGTTGAAGAAGGTGATGGTCAGGTAAATTGTTATAAATATGCTAACAAGTGAATTGTATTCGATCATAAATAAAATTAATGAATGTTATTATCGTCTAAAAAAAAAGATTTTTATGAATCGTATTCGTCACCTCTCCAAGGATCTTAGAGGAATGATATTAGGGAGCATTAGCGCTCCCTGGTTTCCAGCTTTACTACAATTGATGTCGACTCATTATAAAAACCATTCCAAAATTGGATTAATATCCGTAAATATTTCAGGCAAATTAGTATTAATTTTTACATGTTTCGATTATTGATTATTATTCACGACATATCTCAATTGAGATATCAGTGTATTTAATACCCACATTACTGTTTACATCAGTATATGTTCTTACCATCGACAAACAAGTTGCCCTTAACAAAAGACTGTTGGAAAGATCAGTTTTTATAAAATCAATTAATATCACTATCAAATAGAGTATAGTTCAATCAAATATGATGTCTTACATATAGTTAGTTAAATAAAACAATCTAGAATCTAAGATTTGGTGAACCTAATTATAAGTTGAATCAATGCACTTCAAATAATGTGTGATTGTTAAAATACAGGTGATGAAGAGACTCATCTTAGTTTCGTTATGACTACAAACGTCAAATCTGAAATACTAAGAATTGTGAGATATATTAAACTTATATTGTAACAATGATGAAATATTTGTGATGAATACTTGATCGAAAGTAAAAGTTGAAGCATTGACCATAATCATTATCAACAATGAAACCAATTGTGTTTAATATTTTAATCATAAATATAATTTTGTTTCAGTATCTGTAGTAATCATAAAGGTAAATAATAAACACGCTCGGAACTTCACAATTGATTGATCACTGAGAGGTGATCAATGTCATGTGTGTCAAATCCTTCTTAGTGCAAATCGAATGCTATCGACCAAGTTGCAATGTGGCCACTAGTCTAGGTGACTCAACATTGCATTCACTATGTTGAGATTAGATGGTGGTTGCAGGTATTCAACAGGAAACCCTGAACCTGGGTTTCGCGCTACTTGGCACTCATCAGCAAGGTGTACCTGTAATCTTGTGGGAACTGGTGCACCAGAAAGATTGACACACATGACATTGATCACCACCCAGTGATCAATCAATCGTGGTTACATCTCAGTCCTACAGGGGGTCAGTCACGGCCCATATAGCCCAGTGGTAACGTCTCTGACTGTGAAGCTGGGTGATGCGGAGTCGAATCTGTCAGGGAGCACCAGTTCCCTCAAGATTACAAGTACACCTTGCTGATGAGTGCCAAGTAGCGAGAAACCCTCATCCAGAGTATCCTGTTAGCTACCTCCAACCACCATCTTACACTCGGAACTTTCTTAATCATAATTTACTGAGTACAGAGGAAATGTAAACATTGAATTAAATATTTTAATAGCCAACTGAATAAAATCATACAATATGAATAATGATCACTTATATTCTGTTTTCTAACAAATAACTTCACAGCAGATTATTAATTAAGCTTTGAAATATTAAGTAGCATTGTAAGAGGATTTATCTAAAAATGATGAAAATTGTGTAACAGAAATTACAATAGTGTTGTGAAAGGAATACCAGAATAAATGTAACTGGTAGTGAACTTCACTAATGTTTCTTTAACTAGACAGTTTTCCTGTAAGTAAACCCTAAAATAGATATATGGAGTGAAATGCTTGTCCGTTCAAAGCTTTTTTTTTATGATATGATGTAAAAAAAGCATTAATGGCCCTCACTGACTTGTTAAATCTGTAAGTAAGCATGTAATGTTAGAATTATCTATAACTGGTAAACGATTGTTTTAAAATTGTCTATAAACTCCATAATGCTGAACACAAGAGTGTGAAGGAATGGTAATGATATTTATTAATGGAACCTTGTTATTTACTTACTTACTTACTTACGCCTGTTACTCCCAATGGAGCATAGGCCGCCGACCAGCATTCTCCAACCCACTCTGTCCTGGGCTTTCTTTTCTAGTTCCATCCAATTCTTGTTCATTTTTCTCATATCTATCTCCATTTCCCGGCGTAATGTATTCTTTGGTCTTCCTCTCCTCCTTCGACCTTGAGGATTCCATATGAGGGCTTGTCTTGTGACGCAGTTCGGTGCTTTCCTCAATGTGTGTCCTATCCACTTCCAGCGTTTCTTCCTGATTTCTTCCTCCACTGGGATCTGATTTGTTCTCTCCCACAGTAGGTTGTTGCTTATAGTGTCCGGCCAGCGGATCCGAAGTATTTTGCGTAGACAACTGTTAATAAACACCTGTATCTTTTGGACGATGGATTTCGTAGACCTTGTTATTTACATTGATTTAATTTTAAGGCTTCCTAAAAACATAAATGACAGGCAAACATCTTTATATTTATTGTATCCACTGTAGAAAAACAAAAATAATACTTCATTTTACAATCCACGATTCATTTATTAGTAAAAGTATTTATTGTCTTTGTTAAAATATTATTTAGGTGGATCGTATTATTCCTGTAACAAGTCAAGAAGAAATGTTAACATTTATGCACATGTTCAGTACAACAGCATCTCGAAATATGACTGACGATCATTTATGGATATCAGTTGTAGCTCGTCCAATTTTCAGTCGATTTACAAGAGTGGAAAGAGTTGCCTGTTGTTTACTTTTACTTTATCTATCTATGCTTGGTTCATGCATGTTTTACAAAGGTGAAGGATCTGTCAAACAACCAAATTTAATTAGTCTTGGACCATTTGGATTCACTCCCAGCGAGGTTAGTTATTATTTTGCAATTATCTATTAATAACGAAAAAAAAACATTCACTAATCTAAATCAGAATGTATCTGAAACTATTTGTAACAAAGAGATACATATCTGCATTTCTCTTGGAAAAATGTTGATTCATCAATTCACCGGTGTTGTTAAATCTATCGAAGCATCTAAATCACATCATTGAGATATACGCGAAATCAAAGTTCAGAAAACAGCGATTTATCTAAAAAGTGGTTTTCTATTGAGTATTATACATAAATTAGATACAAACCTTAACTTGTGAAGTATCTGTAACGCCTTAAGAGTCTGTAAGTCTGAATTAAAAAAGGCTTCCTACAGTAATAACACAAAGAATAATCACAACATACTATAGTGCAAACGACAGCTGTTAGCTGTGCCTAATCTTGATAACAGTTTATCAACATGCGAAAATGAACCAAGAGCAAACAATATGGAAATTGTCGCGTTTAAACAAAGGTTAAATGACCACAAAGAAATTGAAAATAACTGCTACAGGGATTTAAACAAAATAATTATAATGATAAATACAATAAATGTTATAAGAATATGTAAACGTTTTAAAATAATACATGGTAAACTTGTGTTACGATATCCACGTAGAAATTGTTAGGGATACAACTGTTTACTGAATAAAAATAATAAGTAGTTTAAAACAATACATAAAAGAGTTGAAGGAAAGTGAGTAAAGAAAGGAAACGTAAAACACAATTGACAAGTGATTTACCGGCTAGAAATCAAATGGTTAATATGTTTTTGAATTCAATCACGTACCAACTTTACGCCAACTTTCATCGACGCCACTGGTAGTAATCTTTGTTTGTTTACTTATTTCTTTCTCTAAAATTTAATTATGTTCTACTGAAGTTTCAAATGTTCATTCTCATGAAAAGGACTTATTATTGACCAATGGAATGTCATACAAATTGAGTTGAATAAAGGTTTAAATTGTTATTCATTACATATCGGTTAAACAAGTTCATAATATTGTGATCTCGAAAACATTGCGATCACTGAGCTTGACTGCTTGAAGATACAAGAAGTTTCTAGTGTTTTATAGACTTTCGTTGTTCTTCGTGTGATATGGTTATACAGTATTAACTACTTTAATGAATAAATGGTTTGAGTATTGGATAGGCTACAGAATTTTCAACCTTGTTTATAGGCTTGCTCAACAACTAAATGTTATATCATATTTATCCATTATTTAGAAATCTACTCATAAATAAATCAGTATTTCACTATTTTTTTAAATCTATTACTGTTACTCTGGTTATATTACATGAGTTAACTGAAATATGGTAACTAACTAGTAGAAGAAATATTTGCCATACTGAATATGACAATAGGACTGTACATTTTAATCACTGGTATCATCTACACAATTTACATGATGACGAATTACATTCAAAAAAGAAATACAAACTAATTTACTGCAGTAGATTATAAGCTTTGTATATTATTGTCACATGTGTGCTGTTTATAATGGCCTTTGAAGTTTTATTTGATTAGGAAGTGCTTTTGTCAGATCCTATTGTTAAGTAAAGAGAAGCTGTAAAATGTTTGTAATTCATAGAGCATTATTTTCATTCTAATATTTAACTAACTCTTCAATGATATGTCTCATTTCTCAATATAAGTTACCATCTTAAGGTGATTATATGACTCAATATGTCATGATTTCTCAGTAAAACTTCAAAGAACTATTCCTTGTACTAGTTATCCATATATGTTGGAAAGTAATTACTAATCTTCGATATCATTTCATTTGATTTATATTGAAAGTATCAACCAAGAAATCAACATCTATTGATTTTTCGAGTAGTACACTTCGTATATAGACTCAGACTTCCGATTTTCTCATTGTTTCAAATTAGCGGAATGTTCAGAAAATGTCTCATTGTAACACAGAATAAATTTCCAGGATTACTTGGTTTTTTTTTAATGTGTCCAACCGATTGCGGTTTATGATAACGAGTTGATAAACTAAAGAACTCTACTAAATATATAGCGATACATTTAATCTAAGTTTTTTTTTTACAAACTAATATAAACCGAGGATTTATTTAGTGATTAAAAAGTAGCATTTAACAGAGACAAATATCCTCTCATGATGAGGTTTGGAGCTTTACATTATCCTGATTGTGCAGTTAATTTGGAACTCGTTTACTCAACCCTAAATCGTAGCTGAACAAATATAAATTGGAATAATTTTAGTCTAACCAATGACATTTTCTATCTTGTAGTTATAAATATTAACTTTCATTTATGTGTTTTTCTTCTTTCCATCTATTTTCTCTCCATAGTTTTATATAGCTATTGTTAACAATCTGCTTACATTCATTCCATTGTTTCTAATCATTTATATATTTCGTAATTCACGTTTACGGGTTAGTCATGCAACAAAATTACGTCATGCTATTGAAGAACATTTAGATGAAAAATTATATCTTGGAAAAGCTTCATTTATTTATGGTACTCAGTCAGCAATACAAGACACAAGTAATGAGGATGAGTAAGTTCACTTATTGTTTTTAGCTGTAAATTAATGAAGTAAATAGTCTTTCTATCTGTGGTACCTTGGAATGAGTCAACATAATTTGTCGCATACTTTTCAGAAATCGTCTGAGCCAATCTATAATAGTAATAGCCGAATTGAGTGTCCAGACTAATGAATGGTTATAAAACCTGATTAATTCAATCAATACAATTATGGGTATTTTCATCTTGTTCAGAAAATCAGAGAGTTTATGTACTGCTGTTGGTATTCAGTATTAAGGGATAAGACTCAGAAAATCCAATTAATTAAGCTCAGAAAATATAGACTCTCAGATGGATTAATCTGGTCACAGATGCTTACTACAAAAGAAAAAATTGGCATACATTTTTCATATAAATACATTTATCAGTATTAAAATGTTCTCGAAAACTCAATATCCATATTTAAAACTGTAACTTCCGACTAACTACAGCATGATCTACAATATATTTCACTATTATCCTTATTGATAACATCTAAAATAGTGACTAACAAAAAGAATATTAAAAGAAATATTTGTGACTTTGAATTACTAATAAGAATGGTCACATAGCATGGGGTAAAAGAACTATAGATTTCTTTAGTTACTGAGCAACAGATCACAAACAATCTTGTGGATTAGTTAATAATATCTAAATAACACAGTTTTTTTTTAGCTGTTTGTAGTGTTGAGAAATGTAATGTAACTTCATCTAGGTACCGAGTTGATATCCAACACTATAAATAACTTGAACGGCATTGAACAGAAGTAAAATTTCCATATGCACTTGACTACACTACTAGTCTTGCTATTCTTCAATGCATAATTCCATTTACTTGAAAGCTTTATTGATATTCATGTTTCAGAGTATTGATTTTCATAGTTGCCCTGCTCTACCTAAATAGTTATGAATATTGATTTTCTAACTAAAAGGGTTTAGTTAATACAAAGTTGTAGTTCAATGATCAACATTAACTGGAAAGAAAATAAAGTCCTGTTATGACGTTATGTGAAAGGCAAGAATACTCAATCCATTCGAAAACAAAGTTTAACAGCCACAATAGTAAGAGATCTAAGTGTGAGAATGTAGACCAAATACAGACGAGGGTTATTAGACTTGATGCGATAGGTCAATGATTTAAACTTTCTCGTTAGCTTAAAAAGGTTTTGAACAAGAATTATCTTAAAATCTAACTCATATACAAAATTCTACAAGTCTGAGTCTGAAGGATGACTACAATAACTGTTCAATGTTTAGTTATCTCTGAGTAATCTCTTGGGTGATGTTACTTCCAGCTAAAAACTGTCTACATGCATTTAGACGACCAAGTTTAACAAATAAAGGCACATAAGGCGGTAGCACAAAATGCCCACTTAGTATAACATCATCTGAATTTCCTCTAACACAAGTTGATTTTTGTTTTCCTTTTTTATTTATTTTGATATAGTCCTGAGGCTTTGGATGAAAATGCTGACGATACTGAAGGTAAAGAAAAAGGACGCACTTTGTTTTGTGGATGGCAAATGCGTATTCTCGCTTGGTTACTTCTTATCATATGTTTGGGCATAGCTGTCGCTTTTACAACATTCTATGGTGTGATGTTTGGTGAAGCTACATGTAAAAAATGGCTGTCATCATTGTTTCTATCATTCTTTATAAGTGTACTTCTAGCTCAACCAATAAAGGTATACTTAGTTGCTTCCTTTTACACATAAGAAATATATTTTTTCAATCACTATTTATTGATTGTGTTTATTCAGTTCTAATTGTTATAAAATACCTCAATAACTGAAAATATGTCATGTTGTAGAAGTATTTGTAAAGTAAACCTGATCTATCACAAGACATTAGGGTTAAGGTGAAATATATCACTGAATCAGTTAAGTGATATATACGTTATCTACATTAATTAATAAGAACTTCTATCAAGTGGATTGTAGTAATATGAACCTTGAGTAGTCACTTTTATTGACTGAGTCACACCAAATAACAAAGGATCAACCAAAAAATGGTAATGAATGCATTAATATTGTAATGATCTTTCAATGCTGTCTGTGGTATCAAATAGTGAGGCTATTTGTAGACAATTCATAAAAGGCACAATATACGTTGAATTTTCTTAAAACCAACTACAGAGTTTAGTTTTTTTCTACAACAATGAATCTATAATGAATGACCAATGGCTTAGTGACAATCTTTCATAAAGATATATAAAATAACTTAAAAGTGCCAATTTTGACACTGGTTTTTTAAAAGAATTAGAGAAAATCCTTTGCCCTCAGAGTAATCAGACGATTTGTGAGAGATGTACTCGAATAAATTGTTGCGCATAGTTTAATATAGTCCAAATCCCTACTTAGAGTTACCAGTTATGTCAGTGCGTGTCAATCGCAAAGATTGATGAAAGGGAATCTACGAATTTCTTGAAGTCATCTTAATTCCTATTCTTATCAGACAATGATTTTAAATAATATACTTGAACAGTTCATCTAAAACCAGTTTAAGAATAGAATGATGATCATGATAATCATAATAATGTAGGTTATTTATATTATTAAATCAAAATTACTTAGGGATACATTTGTCATTTCCTTTAAATTTTCCGCTAATTTCTACAGGTACTACTGCTAGCCGTGTTCTTTTCATTCATTTGTAAATCAACTGATCGAGTAGATCAAATAGAAATTTTTGAAGAAGAAGATCGGATAATCCAAACATTAGGAAAACGGTATCAACTTCGAATGGATGAAGAATACTTAAAGAATAACTACTGTATGTGAAAAAGCTTTTGTAATTGTAAATTCTTTGCTATGATCACAGCCAATTTTAATAGACATGATACTTCTTTATAAATGTGTTTATCAGATTAAGTTATGAGCGTCATGTTAACTGAAGAGTATTTTTAATAAGGTATTCAGACACTCGATGGGTTGTAGAGCGAAAGATTCTTATCATTTCCAGCAGGTGCCGCAGTATGAAAAAAAAACAATAGAAGACATCTTACTTGTGTCGGTGACTTTAAACCTATAAGATTATGATATACACGTATATCCGCTGTATTATAAATTCCTAGTGATGTAATTCACTTTCACCAGATTGATGTTGTTAGGAGGAAGAAACTTCACAACATTTCAGATATAACAGTTAGCTGAGAACTTTGCCGTCAATGAAATATTAAAAAACTTCAATAACATCTGCTTCTGTAGAGATACTACACTTTGAAAGTAAATAAGTATTCGGAACATAACTTTTGTTTAACGGTACTTCACAAAATGTATTTCTGTGGTGATGAAATTAGTATTTCTGTTTGGATTATGGTTGTTTAGGGTAGAGATATTATTATTGTACTAGTAGTACTCTTCAGTAATTAAGCATATTGAATTAGATTTTTTTCACCGGTTGCTTACGAACTGCGAGTATAATTTCCTGTAAAGTGTAACTCAAATAAGAACTTGAAGAGAAAGTGATTTTATCTCACTAACATGTTATTTTTTTTACAAGATGACTAAACTTTTGTCTCATATTTAGTACCTGATGATTTTCGTCCACAACGTTTGGCAATCTTACCGCCGGATCCATCAGACTTGGCACGTGCTCGAGCTTATCGACTAAAACAAAGAAGAGCTAATGATATCATTCGTGAAGTTATACTTTACGTTTTCTTCCTCACACTTCTACTAATTGTCAGCTTAGATTTCCGTGATTCTAATGGATTTCTCTTGAAATCTAATCTACAACATTTGTTTTTTCCAGATTCATTTCAAAGTGTAAGTACATTCTAACTTACTAGAGGCCTTTTCATATCAAAATGATTATTTTGTGATTTTGATTAAGTTTCCTAAACGGTTCTATAAACCATTCAAGGCTCTTATTTACTCCTGGCCGTAAACTATATATATATATATATATATATATATTTGCTGAGTTCTACCTACCGCCGGATATGTCAGACAACTGGCAAAATCTTTCAGGAAGGCTAGATGGACAATTGTACTACACGACGATGCTTGACAAACTTCAGAATAAAGCATTTATTATTTAAATGCCGTTAAATGATAATAACTACTCCGGTGTTTTAGATTAGTGTAGCAACTAGTAGGTACCAGAAGGACAATAAGTCGAATTATTTAGTGGGTAAGTCATTATGGTCTCGAGGAATCGGAAAACGACAAGCCACTTGTACAATAAAACTTTCAGACAATATCATTTGAGGTAGTCATTTATACTAAGCAATCAAGTGAAAATGTGAAGTTATGGATCTAGTCTGATACTCAATCTATACTCATCATCACCTAATGGTTTCCAAACCAACAAGCAAGTAGCTGTTCCTAGATTTTGAAGACAATACTGGTTCATTTACAACAATTAAATTTAAATAAATACTATCTCTTCTACAATAATAATTATAATAAGAGATCAAGTTCTCTTTGACGATAATTTTCATCACAAATGAAATACAGTTACAGTAAAACGGGAAACTATGAAACACTGGATAGACGTTGATACTTTGTAGTTAACCCTGAAGATTGTAAAATATATATCATGAACTCTTATATAAAAAAAAATTGAAGGTTAAATAACAAACTTACCGGGAGATCTGAACAAAAAGCCCACACCTTAACAACGGCTAGATATTTTGATTCAATATATTTACGTAAGGAGAATAAGGGCTATGATTTCTTATCATCGGTAGTTGATTACAAATCGTCTAAAGGATATTAAGAAGAAATACACTTCTGACAATCGTTAATTTTTATTCAATTTATTTAAAGATCAATCAGCAAGTTATAGGTGTTTATATAAATAGTTCACGTTCTAGGGAAAGAACATGTGAGTTTCTTAAAAAACCAGGTGTAACTTTATTGATTTTGTCAGATTATTGCATAAACCTCAAATAAAAACTATATCTATTAAGTGGCTAATTAACTGACTTGAATTTTGTTAAGGATCACACTGGTACTTTTCATATGTTAATATCCTCTCACAAATTAAAAGAAAGTTATCATAGTAACAAAAAGCGACTACATTTTAAATGTAAACAGTTGTTGTAAAGTGATAATGAACGATCAATTATTTTATGTTCTACCATGGACGAAATGATATTGTTATTGATTTATTTACTTTAAGTCTACTATTATAAATTGAACAATCTTCAAATTCAAAATTATTTCATAAACATTGAACATTTACAATTTCCTAATTATTGTCTTTATAAGAAACAAAATTGTGTAACTTTGTAACTAACCAACTGATTTATCACTTGCTAAATTTTGATTTTATTGATTTACAAGTTTACGTTTAGATAAGATTAACTAGACTAGTAAATTAGTCAGTAGTTATCTAAAATAAAGGAAAGATTATAGTTTATGATGATTATTAAGAAAAAAGGTATCATTTAATTAAGAGATAATTTATGAATGTTGATTACATAAATTGTAAACATGTCTTAAATAATTCACTTGATATTGTTTTACTTGAATATTCCCATTGATGTTTAGGACTGCAATTGATCCCAGAGTGAACATCAACTCTGAGATGCAGGTGAATCCAGCTGACGAGTCTCAAATAGGACGAAATGCGCGTCGTGGATTCCACTGTTAGCCACTATCCATCTTTGCTTGTAATGCTTGTAAATTAAGGCAATATCGAGGCAATACGCACAGTATGCACATATGCCAATATGAGAGACTGATCAATTGCAGTGCTAAACATCAATGGGAAGATTCAAGTAAAACAATATCAAGTGAATTAAACTTCACCTGATTGCACGAGCAAGTGGCTATCAGGACTCAGTAGCTAAGTGGATAACGCGGTGGCGTTTGAAGCGGACGTTACTGAGTTCGAGTCCCGGAGTGAACATCAACTCTGTGATGCAGGTGCATCCAGCTGACAATTCTCAAATAGGACAAATGCGCGTCATGGATTCCACTGTTAGCCACTATCCATCTTTGCTTATAATGTCTTAAATAGTTAATATTTTGAACAAATTCTCCAGATTTTAATAGAGTTTTATTCTTTGAGCTGAATAGTTTGGTCATGAAGTTGTAATAGTTCTTCTGAACAACATTGTTAGCACAAATTTCAGGTAGAAGTTTGCCAGAGTTTGTTTGTACAAGTAAACTATAGGAGTATGTCACTTTTAAATCTAATTTAACAAGGATGTTTATCATAGAATAATAATTATTATTATTATATTTTTTGGTACAATATAGAATTCTCAGCACAAAGTATTTCAACAAGTTTCCCTTTCTTATTTCTTGATCAGTCAGTTCCTTGCGATAAATATTGAGTGGTCGCCAGTTAGATGTTAGCGGTTCAAGAATCGACATCTGATAAATGTATATCCTTTTCGATGCATATTGCCAGTAACCATAATGTCTCTGATTGAGCTCTTTTGTAACCTGTACAGTGAAATGTTGTAAACTTTTCACAAACGCACCTGAATTGGTTATGAGACTAATAGGCATTATGATGTGTTAAAACAAACAAGAAAACAGATAACTTGTTGAAATATCCAGAATGCAGGAACATGTAGCTCAGATAATCAAGCAGGCCGCTTGATTGCTCTGTTCAGTTTTATATGCTCGATAACTACTTGACTGTATAATTGAGTAAACATAAAAACCTGCTTTAGGAATTTTTTTCTATTGCTGCTTCAAATCAATTCATTTATGGAAACAATGTTATATTACTGCATATCAATGATACATTCATATAATTAATAATGTGATTATATTCACAATTTTAAATTAAAAATCCCATGAATCTATATTTGATTATTGAAGAGATCAACTACAACACAGTGAAACTTTGGTTTCAAATGAAGTTTGATTAAAATGAAAACTTTAGAAACATCACTTTAACTATTATATACTAGTACTTTTAGAATGAATATATATACAAATTGAATAGAGGTTTTTAATTAGCACACACTTCATTTCGGAGACAATATGTTTTTATTGACAGATGAATGATGTGGATAATTTCTATAAATGGGCCCAAAATGTTCTAATTCCTGGCTTACGTGCGGATCGATGGTATAATCGTAATCCACCTTTGTTCCAACGTGGTTTCCTGCAAGACAGAACAGATCGAATAATTGGTTATGGAATGATGAGACAACTACGAACTAAAAAAGGTATTTATACATGTATACACTCCTCTATCTTACATAGAAAGTATTTATTATTTTCAATGGTTAAGATCATGAGTCAGTTGAAGCTAGACCACCATGGAAAACCTGGAAGCACTGAACGGCCGTTTCGTTCAATTGTGGGAATCCTCAGCAGTGCGTATCCACGATCCAACCTGGCGGGATTCGAACCAAGGACCTATCGGTCTTGCGCGCGAACGCTTAACCACTAGATCACTGAGCCGGCATCCGTGATCTCAGCCATTGAAATTACTATAATATCCACAAAAGTCCTTCTGATATTTATTATTTGTTGAAATTATCTACTGATTAGTGTATTCATGTTTATGTAAATAATAATATTCCTAACTCAATATTTCTCAATATCGTGTTATCATATTTTCGACTTGACACTCGTTAGTCGAATAGCATTGAAGTTTAATGTATAACGTCAAAACAGTTAAATAAATGATTCATATCCATAACAAATGAATCAGTGTTAATGTTTCTTAATATATCATTAGATAAGGTAAGTATGTTTCCCAGAAAGATTTGCCTTCACAAGTTTGTATACAAACTCTACTGAGAACTGGGAGCAAACGCAGAACTTAGATTCAAACTTTGTGATGATTTATTGTTATGTATCTTCACTCAGCTAGATGCCTCAGTTTCATTATTTGATCACGATTCAGTGGTCAATATCACAGGTAACATTATATCAGTAGTAACCATTGAGTAAGTGACTCATAGATAAACTAACTTTCAAGGTTATGTAACGAGTCTTTGATGGTTGTCATGCTCCACGTTGTGTAAACTTATTGTTCGAAGGAATGATCAGGTCTTAATATGGAATCAAAACTTTTATGAGGAGATAATGAGGAATCCCTACCCCCAAATTCATTATGTGTAAATATAAAAATTTGTCGATGACATTTAGCTATTTTTTGAAACTACTTAAATAGCAAAATTACAAAAATCCTGATCCTGACAGATGAACAGTATTTCTTCTATAAAGATTGGTGTTTTAAGCATGTGTCTTGGATAGGCTGACGAAACCTTGAGTATTTTATTTACAACATGCTGTTTAGTTGATGCTGCTGGGAAAAATTTTTCTCAAAAGCAATCTTTAACCCCCTCTAAAGCTTTGTAGGCACTTTTAAGAATTCTAGAAATTTATCAATAACCCATATATTTTTTTATGCACCCTTTTTTTCTTTTGATCAGATTCATGTAACGTACACGAACTCGCAAAACATTTATTCAAACATTGCTACGGAAGTTATGATATGTTTAACGAAGATAAAGAAGCGTATGGAATATCATGGGCTAAGTTTGAAGGGGATGATAAGTCGAATAATTCTGCACCAGAATTTGTTTATCAAAATTCATCACAGTTAAAAGGTTATCCATATCTGGGACAGATTACATGGTATTCTGGAGGTGGATATGTTCATTTACTAAGAGGTTCAAAGGATGAAATGTTAGACAGGATGAGTTATTTAAATCAAACTCACTGGATCGAATTTTCTACACGTGCAATAATAGTACAGTTTACAGTGTATAATCCTAACATCAATCTGTTTGCCATTATAACTGCTCTAATTGAAATGCCTGGTATCGGTGCAATGATACCATCGTATCGTATCGAAACGGCTAATTTGTTCGGAGTACTGGGCTCTAAGACTAAGCTTTCGCAAATTACATCTCAGGTGGGAATATTTTAAATGTTAATTTAGACTCATAATTTTGCATGAGGGATTACAAAGGTTTACAAAAAGCTCTTAAGTTTCCAATTTGTTTTTCTTTTGTTCTTTTCGTATGTTCTTAAGCAGGTCCTAGTCTTTGTTAGATTATTTTATAGAAAATTGACGTTAGCATTTTACGTATTGATTGTGGATTCCAGGTAAAATCCACTGATCTGTAGAATAAGTTGTTGGGATTAATTTTAAAGAAAGAGAATTCAGATAACTATGACCACTTGAATATAATTGAAACATAGCTGTAGAATAGATTCAACCATGAGTATGCTTGTTTGAAATTTCTAGTTCCAAAGGCATTATTGTTTACAGAGTTAAATCCATGTTTTAACGGTTTTCAGCAAACCCATATATTTGAGACATTTACTGATGATAAACGTGTCTATTATCTAGTTAACTAGTTTTCTATTGAACAGACAAACTGTCAGTAAAGTTTTAATTCATTTTTGTGTTGGTTATCTGAATCCCTTCATTAATGTTTGGGACTGAAACTGATTAATCTCTCATTGACATATGTGCATCCTGTGAGGATTGCCTCGATATTGCATTAACCTACAAGCATTATAAGCTAGCCACCATCCATCTCTGCTTATAATCCTTATGTCAGGACTTCATTTAGTTAGCATCCGGTAGTATATGTATATCTAGATATATTACTAATTCTAGCTATGGATTTAACTTTATCTCTGAATATCTAGTAAGATACCGCAGAAAAAAAGTTGATTCAGTCAAAAAGGAACACATTTTACATGCATGGTAGCTAGAGATAGTTCACAGGAAATCATACTATTTAACGCCTGCAGGCATGGTGTGCCTGTAATCTTGAGGGGACTTATGCTTCCTGGTGGACTCCATCTCGTTTTGCCCAGATACCACTGAGTTATTTCGGCCACTACTAACCTTCTCTAAGACTGAGATGTATTTGAAATTGATTGATCACTGAGCAGTGGCTACCGACTGAGTAAAAGCTTAGAATGTAGTGTTATGGAGAACGTCATACAGTTTTGGCGTACGACTGATATCCGCGTAAAGTAGTCTTTTTTGTAATCAAGTCAGTTAAACTTATCAACAATGAGGTTAAGTACCAGTTAATTTATATTTTGACTTGGAAATTAAAAACAAAATATAAGGTTATATTAAATATATTTTATACAAACTGTTATCCCCTAAAGCACTTAAAATGTAAGGACGGTATTGGGTAATCATTCATGTAAGTGGGAAACACTGGAGACGTACTTAAAGAACTACGTAGTGGTTGGAATCTAGGTTTCTTTTATAAATATTTTCCACCTATTTAACAAGGTAAGATACCCAAGGAACAGTTCTCGTGCTAGAATCACAAAATGATGTTTTAAAAAGACTCGATCCTTTCACTGTTGATTGCCGATATGTACGACAAAACCATATGTAATCCTTTCAATTAATTTTAATCCATTAACATGGTTAAAATTTAGCGGTATTGATTTTATAGTTGTTATTCTTAAATTTATCCTTGGCATATACATGTTAAAGTCTTCCTATGACAAACACTGTGTCAGGCTTCCTCTACCTAATATTGGTTCTTTAATCCCATGTAATTTATTGGGATAACTTTTGTGCATTTGGGTGAATCTAGATTTGAAATGACTTAGGTTGGCACACAACCAATAAATTGTACTTCAGCAAATTGCTCAACACAATTATTATGTATATAAATTTACAGGTCATTACCTAAATTACGTAGATACCAGTTAAATCACACAGTTCGCACAGATCAACCGATATGAAAAATACTTCATCAATTATGATCTTTAGATCAATTCATTTGTTGTTGTTAATGAGTTTAGGTCCCTTTAACCTATTAATGATATTATTGATATTATTGATATCGTCTATAAATATGCACAAGCCATGGACAGCACATATTTGAACTTCAGGACTGAAATAAAAATCACTTTCATGGATATGAACATAAGTAAATAAGAATTTTCATAATCTTCACACAGAATTTATTATAATTAATTAATAACCAAATAAACAAAGAGAAATAAATTTTGAAAATTATTTACCCAGTTACGTTGTTTTCTTTTTCTTTTTTATTTTTTCTTCTGTTCCTCTAATAGGCACTATTTGCATTCATACTATTTTGTTATTTAATCAAAGAAATACGCAATATGTTCAGACAACGATTGAAATATTTCACAAAATTTTGGAATTTTGTTGAGTTATTCATTATTTGTGGCTCTATAGCTGCTATCGCTGCATATATTTACATGATATTAAGTACAAAATCATCTATTGAAGAATTTTCACGTACACATGGTAATATTTATATGAATTTTCAACTATTGGCATATTGGAATGAAAATCTTACGTATTTAACCGCTATAATTTGTTTCTTTGCTATGTTAAAACTTGTATACTTATTTCGTTTTAATCAAAGAGTTGGTTTATTAGGATCTGTGTTAAAATATGCAGCAACAGATTTAAAATATTTCTGTTTTATATTCTTGGTTGTCTTTTCTGCATTTGTATTAGTCTTCTACTTACTTTATAATGATACACTAAGTGGTTTTAAGACAATTTTAAATGCTATAGAAACAAGTATGCAGATTATTCTGGGGAAATTCGATTTCACAAGTATGTATGAACGACAAATGGTGTTGGGTCCATTACTATTTGCTGCTTTCTCTTTATGTGTTGTATTTGTAATGGTCAGTATGTTTATAGCTATACTTGATGAGAGTTTCCAACGCGTCCTTAAAGATTTAAGTCTTCAGTCAGATGATCATGAAATGACTCAGTTTATTGCAATTCAATTTATCCAATGTATTGGTTTAGATAGAACAACATGGGGTAAAAATTTTATCAAAAATGTCAATACACAACAACAAGAACCAATTTATGATCCAGAAAGTGAATCTTCAAAACATGTTGCTCAATTAAAATCACTAATGAATGAATTTTTAGAGCATGTTCAACAAAACTTAATTACTGAAGAAAAAAAATCTATAAATTTGAAATGATTAATTTCATCATTACTGTCATGTCTATTTGTAATAAGAAAATGGATAAACCACGGTTAGCATAGAGGAACTCTATTCAAAATAACACTTTTTCAAGAATTCTGCTTCTTTATTCATCGATTATTTATTCAAATAATAACATCAGTCTATATATTATAGTTATACTTTGCACTTCAATATTAACTATTCATTATTTTTTCACACCTTCATGTAATACTAACTTCTTTTTATCATTGCAAACAGTATGTTTAAAAACAATAATTAGTATTGAATAATGTCTTATTTTAATTAATTAAAGAAAGAATGATTCTAGCTATATGTAAAATCAACAGGTTTAGTATAATTAAGAGAATAGAAATTCAATATTTTCCTTATTTAAATTTCTACTGTACTACTTATTTATAGATGTCTTTGGTCTTCAAGATGTAAGATAATGTGCCAGTTTAATACAGTATCATAGATTTTGTGGGTTACAAAGTCATAAGTTATTGAAGAGTGTGCTAAGTTGACATAGTATTTTTTTTTGGAAACTCATTGATATATATATAGTCTATCTAATATATACATAAACTGAGGTCAGAAATACTTTATTTTGCAAATTTTAGGGTACAAAAATCTTTTATCTTTCATGATACTACCAATTCGTGTTAATGAACTTACCCCCCCCAACATCGTTTATACTGTTTAAAGGAGTCTTCTAAATCCTCAGAAATCAGGATCTTTAGCTGACTCATTGTTCCACAATTTTTGTAGATAATTTTCTCGACTACAGCGTTCTGTTAGAATATTGTGTACAGATGACTATCTCAGTTCCAGATCATCAGAAATCATCTGGTTAAGTGAGCGGCTATTAAATAGTAAGGGCTTGTAAGAGTTTGATTTTTTCATGATCAAAGGAGTTCGAAGACCTCCTCAAGTCACACCGAAACACCTGAGCCACTTGAAAAAGCAGTTTTCGTTAACACATTATTCTCGTAATCAACCCCAAATATTCTGTTAATTTCATGAAACTTTAGTCGTATTTATAAATACCAACCTTGGTAGCTCAGTTCTCGTATTTATTAATCTGACAATGTAGAGTAAGTCAAAGGAATTCTGCAATTGCCCTCATTGAATATACTACTTTTTACATCCTTTTCACTTAAACAGACTTCCATTCACTTTTGTTTTATTCTACCTATAAATAAACACGATTTTTCAAGATAAAAGAGAGTACTTATAGAATAAAATGTTTGAATATCATTTTCATGTTGCTCTTCATATCTTTCATGAGGAATTTCATCAGCGAATCATCATGAGGTTTACTCACAAGAGGTTAACAAATTTAAAGTGCTGAGTAACGTTAGGCAATAAGTAGCCTTGACTGTGTTATATGAATAGATAATCATGGATTGCATGTATACACCGAGTTTATGAGTAGTACAAGACTAACTTGAACAAGCATCTGACCGCAATCAATATCAGTATTTGTAAATTAAAAACGGATCCGAAATTGCTACTTCAAGTATTTGACCGAATTTCGGTGACAGCGTGATGTGTGCTACTTATGTAGACATAAGTAGTATATGACGTGAGTACTGAACAGAATGTCTGGCAGCAGAGAGACGAGAAGATCGAACAATAAAGAATGAGGAAAGAATGCAATTTGTATGGAAATGCAAGAACAAAGGGATTCTGAGTCATTTGAGACAATTGATGAACAATTTGCAAATGAACAATTTAATATATGGTTGTTGGATTTTAATAAGTGGTTCTGTAATTGTATAGTGCGTTCGATTTATCCCCATTGATGTGCTATTCGCTATAGCAGTGATATATGTGCATGGTCATCCTGCTATTGGAAATCATCTTCGTACATCCATGTGAACAACGTTCTGATCAGTAATTAAAAGGCTGTTCACAGTTCATCGACTTTTATACTCTAAACTGAAAGGCATCAGAGAGTCCACAACGAAATTTTGTACAACTGTTCATACAACTCTTATACAAGTAACTTATAGTTTTTCGAATATGATAAATGTCCCTATAAGTAGGAGGATGTTAAATGACAAATAATATGGGTAGTGATAAAAGTAATCAGATATTCAACAACGTGAGGGTTATTCACAAATGACAATTATGAGAGTTCAGTGTCTATCCTAACTGAAAAAATATTGTGATCACTGATTATTGAGTCTTGGCAATTTGATAGTAGGAAGAAGACGAAGTAAAAGAGTGTATGTACCGACTTTTTACATTACATTAAACCTTGAAATGTTAAATTACCAGTGTCATCGTTGTGAACACGTTATGCTTGTCCATTTCCTTTAAGACATTTCACTTAATTTTGTAAATAATTTCCATGGTCAGTTCTTATAAAATTGTGTGGCTGGGTTCGACCAGGCAATTAACAAAGTGTTGAATTGTTGATGATTAAATCTTTCCTTTGTTAGTCATAAAGGATATTTCTAGAAAATGTGCTTGGAAACATCATTTTTTGTACTGCTAGTATAACGAGCTTCGTGGAAGCAGACACGAAAAGGATGAACGTCAACTGGAAAGGATTACCCAGGACCGGGTTGGATGAAGAATGTTGGTGGGAGGCCAGTGCTCCCCCACTAGGGGTAAAAGGCGTAAGTAAGTAAGTAAATATGTAATGACAATGAATTCAATACTAAATTAACAATTCTATAGAGATTATAGACGCTATTAATAGGTTATTAAATTGATTGATCGCATTTTATTTTATTGGAACAGTTCCGGTCTCGCTATGTTGAAAAGTATTTAGGTTCGTAGAAGTGGGAATATACATGAACTATACATTATAAGATTCACATATCACTTGATGAATGTTTTATTATTATTATTATTATTATTATTATTATTTTCATGACCTCATAGATGCTATGAAAACAAGATTTTTATTAGATTCACTTTATTTCATATGAAATAAAATCAATTTTCGAGTGTAAAACATAATCTATTTACTCTATACCTAGTTTTTGACTAACGAAATATAATGCTTAAAGTTGTTTTATGATATCTAGAAAACATAGAATAGGTTCATGACTTTTTTTAATACTTGAAATTTAAGAACAAATTCACCTACAATATCAGTAATTTCATGTATCACCTTTTGCCATTAATAACAGTGATATTTTAATTAGGTACATCTGTTTTTATGTAAAACACGATATGTAATCAGAACTCTGTTTTATTGCCGGTTTTCTCTTATGTTGATCTACGTGAAGCTAGTATCATTAAGTTTAGTATATATATATATATATATATATATATATATATATATATATATATATCTGTCGTGGTGTGTGTGTGAGAGAGACAGAGAGAGACAGAGAGTAATGGCATTGTTCATCAATCAAGCATTTCATCGATGAGATCGAATAATTAATCATCACCAAATTTATGAAATAACAATTCAAAGGAAATGTATCTCTAATGATGTACTTGTTATGAAATTCATACTAAATACAAAAATTAAACTTCCTAAAATACTGAGGAATATTTCCACATAAAGGTCTTTTTTCATAATGCAAAAGTTACTGTACTAAGTATGTCAATATATAAATGGATTATGCAGTCTTAATTCAAGAAGAAACGGATTGCCTGTAATATTGAATAACTTAATGCATTTTATTTGATAATCGATTAGAACTAAATGTCAGAAATTTAAAGACCCTATTTTTAACTTTCAAAGAATCGTTAATAATGAGATGGCGCAAATACATTCCAAATCAAATGAACATCTCATCAGTTTCAGTAAAATTTCGGAAGGAAGACAATTTTTTGATAAAAATGATTTATGTATTAGTTAGTGATTCTGATGATAAAAATGGCTGGAACAACAACGAACAAACTAAGAGTAACCTATCACATATAAGGAATAAATGATAATTAAATAAGTATTTAATAAATTAGTGAAAAACTACTTTCACAAAAGTTTAAAATTTGTGGTGAAGACATGATGATCCCCAGTTATAAATAATTTATATAACAGAAAAAATTAACAATGATACAACGAGATGAAAAAACATATATTCCAAAAAGTTAACAATTAGGTGAGGCAAAAGTCTGTATCTAAGCTTCCTCTATTCCTTCGATATCAGAATCGTTTTCATCATCGACTGTTGCATCTTGATATTGTTGATATTCACTTACCAAATCATTCATATTTGATTCAGCCTCAGTAAATTCCATCTCATCCATACCTTCACTGGTATACCAATGTAAAAACGCTTTACGACGGAACATAGCACTGAACTGTTCACAAATTCGTTTAAATAGCACTTGCATTGCCGTACTATTACCAATAAAAGTCACCGACATCTTCAAACCACGAGGAGGAATGTCACATACCGCCGTCTTCACATTATTCGGAATCCACTCGACAAAATAACTCGAATTCTTATTCTGCACATTCAACATCTGCTCATCCACCTCCTTCATAGACATACGACCACGGAAGATCGCCGCCACTGTCAAATAACGACCATGACGAGGATCACAAGCAGCCATCATATTCTTCGCATCGAACATTTGTTGTGTCAGTTCAGGCACAGTTAATGATCGGTACTGTTGACTGCCACGACTTGTCAGTGGGGCGAATCCTGGCATGAAGAAATGAAGTCGAGGGAATGGGACCATATTCACTGCCAGTTTTCGTAGATCAGCATTCAGTTGTCCAGGGAATCTGAGACAGGTGGTCACCCCAGACATGGTTGCACTGACCAAATGATTGAGATCTCCATAAGTGGGATTGGTTAACTTCAGTGTTCTGAAACAGATGTCATAGAGTGCTTCGTTGTCGATGCAGAACGTCTCATCAGTGTTCTCAACAAGTTGATGTACTGAGAGTGTAGCATTGTATGGCTCGACAACAGTGTCGGACACCTGGATAAAATACAGATGCAAATTTCGGGTTTCATATTCTGTATCATTTATTGATAGAAAGAAAACGAGAACTGTTTCAATATTTTAGTTCCAAAAGTATTCACTTGAATCAGTGTTGTTAGTCAAAATTATTAAAAGGAAATAATTACTTAGAGAGAAATCAGATCTCCATGACAACACTTCTCAGTCTGTAAAGATGTGCAAAATTTGTTTTAACAATAAACAGTCAGTGACCGAGATCTATTCCCATATATGATCGCCTATAATCACGGTATTTTACACCAGCACTCTAATTATCATATCTTCTTTATTTCCCATTTCTGTTATGGTATGCAGTGGATTTAAATAGTGATGTCTGGTGTTATACAGGAATAGGAAAACAGTATTAATTATGACCTAAGGGTTCAGTAAGATTCAGATTACCTTATCAATAATTGAACATTCCACATACTCTCATATACTCAGATTCACAAAGCGAAATCAATCAAAATATGATAATTATCAAACCTTAATTCTGAGATCAAAGATGTTCATTAAAAAGTAATCATAAAATATTAGGAAAGCGGCATTTATTAATATTCATTGTAAACAACTCCTTTATATATATATATATATATATATATATATATATATATATATATATATATATATATATATATATATATATATATATATATATATATATATATATATATGTATAGATTAGTTAATTTTAATGGAGTTAAAGGCTGTTGTTGTACTCTGAGACTAAACAGCCTTGTCTTTCTATACTTGCATTCACTTTTGAAAATTTCATAGTTAAATTACATATAGAATGATCTAAGTACATATACTACACAATGATCATTTTGAACACTAAATCTCTCAGAAGGATTATATTTTGTGTGCTGGTCAAACGAATATCTACTCAATTTCATAAAGAAATAAATTATCACAACAATTATCTAGTTTTCATTCCTTAACAATTCCGCACTATTTTCTAAAAAACTAAGTTCACTATTTATGTCTCCTTACATTATCTTTTGAATTAATATAAGGATTATTAGTCAACTAAAGTCCCAAATAGTCCTGGAGACAATAACCATAGTTGTATATTAATTAGATAGTAATAGTGTTAACAGTCTAAATATGTTCTCTTATTAAGGATTAGAGATGAACACAAAGAAAACTAAAACGTTTAAGGATGCGATTATGCGTAAAATGAATCAAGGCCTAGTTTTTTGCGTGTTCATTCGCTTTAATTCATAATCATATTTAATCATGTGATGCAAAATCTAAAAACTTTTGGTGTTTAGTAAAAATTGTCCTTGACTAGTATTATTAAACGTAACTGAATTACAACCGGTCTTGTACTCTCAAGCTATAAAATATCAGTCCGGTCCTTACATAAGCTCATCTGGAACACCGGATTGCCGGAATGCTGTGATGAGTATAGAAGGGCCTTCTTACTTTATGAGAATGTCTAGAAAACTTCCTGTAGTCGATAATTCAAGTAAGTTTAGTATCCATAGTTCAGAAATCAACTTAATTAAAACTAGTGAAGTATTGAGGTAAACTCCATTTTGTCTTCTGTTGTCTTAAAAACACGTTAATATTCCCAATTTTGATACATGGGGTGTAATTTGAAGATTAGTGTACCAATCTTTTAATTGATAATTAAATTCTGTTACTATCATTGTATTAGTAGTTAAACTGATATTCCAAGAATCAGTGCTCAGTACTCAGTAGTACATTGAAATTTTATCATTTATGAATCCCGCAGTCTAATCATTAAACTTATTTTCAAAAATAAAAAAAAAATCAAATGGATATGAGCTATTTTCTATTCTTTGTGGATGTATCAGAACTAATAAATATTGGAAGTATATTTTGAGGAAACTTTTTAAGAAATCTCAGGCAACATATAACCATTTAGAAGAAAATTTTGAAAAGTAGATATATTTCTGAATACTTTCCTTGCATTCAGATTTCTCAATAGATAAAATGTTGCCGATGTAAACACTAGACAGAGTAACTCATGAATTAAATATGTCTAAAACGTTTCGCCTCACCTTAGGAGATGGAACAACTGAAAATGTGTTCATTATTCGATCAGGATACTCTTCACGAATTTTCGAAATCAACAGTGTTCCCAAACCTGAACCAGTTCCACCACCAAGTGAATGAGTCAATTGAAAACCTTGAAGAGAATCCGTGTTCTCTGCCTCCTTACGCATCACATCTAATACTGAATCCACAAGTTCAGCACCTTCAGTATAATGACCTTTAGCCCAGTTGTTTCCTGCACCACTTTGTCCAAATACAAAGTTGTCTGGACGAAATAATTTTCCAAAAGGACCTGTACGAACACTATCCATTGTTCCTGGTTCCAGGTCTACTAATATTGCACGTGGAACATATTTCTGAGAAGATGATTCATTGTAGTACACTGTAATTCGTTCCAGCTGTAAATTAGATTCACCTGTATAATTTCCCGTAGGATCGATTCCATGTTCGTCAGAAATCACTTCCCAAAACTAGAAAAAGTATGCAATTAGGATACTCGACTATTAAAAGTGATAATATATATATTTGAGGTTTTCAGTACACTTTATCGTTAATTTACTGAGAGCTGTTTCAAATCAATAAATTCAGTGAAGTAGTTAGATTAAAAGATGAATACTTATAAAATTAATTCAATAATAATCGTGAAGAAAACTGATTCATGTTTCAGGATGAGAGAAAGCTGGTTTCTCTAAACTTTTAGCCGAATTCTGATGATGAATTTCTAAAAGCTAAAGGTAGAAGTACACTTTTCCTGCCAACTGTTTGTACTCACTTAAAAATCACACCACATTTACTAAAAACTTGTTGTACATGTTCTCATCATTGGTTGAAGCTATCAGTAAATGACATGATAGTCCATCGGGAATCCATGTTCTTATTTTGGTTTTTAACTCTATCTGATTAGAAGTATTTTGAGAAATCACTTTGACACTGTAAGTGGAGAGATTGCATGTAAAATTATGTGTGAACTATCCAAAACTTAATAAAAAGTTTACTTGTTTGGGCTAGGAAAACAACTTATTAGTTTGGTACTTTTTATCTTCAAAAAGCCAAATCGCGAATTATGTGTTCTTAAGATATTCAAACACCTTATTTATGTATTGAACTGAACAAAATGATCATTTCCATGATATGAGTGAAGCACTCTTCTATTCCAACCTCATTAACCACTTTATTACAAAATCAATGAAGTCCTTATTCTTGTTAGTAATAGTTAGATTGACTTTAAGTGTTCTCGATTTCTAACCCAAGAGCAGGTTTACACTGATTTGATTTATTTTCTATCATGAGATGGAGGAAGATGGTTATTGATTTCATTAGTGGAACAGTTACTTTCAGTTGAAATCTTTGAATAGATGGGTTGAACCGAGGGACACCAAACACTTACTCAAGTACTTTGGATTGTCTCGAAATCGGATGCGCTTTAGACTCAAGACCTTGAGACTTAATGAGGACCCCACTACTGGGTTGGAGTCTGTTGACCAACTTGTTGCAGCTTAAAGCTCTTATAAAAACTGTATTCAAAGCAGACAGTTACTACCACCAATTTAGATCGTCGCATAGGCTTATTGACTGCCTTATCGTAGGTAAAATATTACTTGGTATGAAAAATCTAATAAATGAAGTTTGATGATCATGAAATACAATGATTTCTAGTATAAATCCATGCTTTATGGTGAACATACTATTAAGGTGTAAAGAAGCGATTCAGTTACTTTGCAGTTCATTCACATTACTTTCAACATCTCGGTAGGATTACAAGTCATGATACAACAAATGTACTGTGGTATGGAACTTAACGTCATTCGTGATTACGGGTTTATATTATTTTTTTTCTATGCTTCTAGTCAAGTGAAATAAATGATTCATTAATCTTATCAAAAGCAGTTAACCTGGAGAAAACTAATACCTCAAAGCTATATAACTCTTCATCTAAATCAAAAGAAACACAAACAATTACGTGTAAAATGAATTATTAGAAATCATACAAAGTCATATTTTAACACTTAAACTATGCAATTATTTCAGTTGTCAAACCCTTTTCAAGTTTACTTTTGATGTCATCAAGTTAAAGTCATTTGGTTATATTCACACAGGCTTGGTGCAACGTATAGTACTTACAAATACTAATCACTAATATGAGTAGTTGAAAACCACCCACAGCATTTTCCAACGATTATTATTTGGATCAAGGTCATTTTAAACATTTGAGGATCAGTTCACTGTAAGAATTACGTGAATGACGTCAGTGATAACGGTTTCTTGATTCCAGAAGTAAAACAGTGAAACGTTTGTAATTGAGTTGTGCTGAGAATTCAAAAACATAAATCAAAACACTTGTGAATCAGGTTATTATTATTTACTGTTTGTCTTTTAGAATATAACCATGTTTTGTTACACAAACCCAAACGTACTGTAGCCTACAGGTTTCACTGATTTGTGGCAAATTGTAAACCCCACTTTGTTTCTTTAAATTAGCGAGTTCAATCTCACCTCCCCTGAAAGAATTGAATTTCATTCGATACATGTTTTGCAAACATTTCAAAATCTCTGTGCACATGAACACTTTATCTAACCATAGTTATATCTCACGAGAAAATTCATTTACCTAATGCAAAAATGATCGTAAATGTACTCGGAGAAAGTAGGATATGTGCTAGCCGATTGTGTCATACAAGAGAATCTATTCAACGATGGGAATTTTCTCGTTTGAACAATCCTTTAATTGTTTGTAACTACGTATATATGTTTACGAATAATAAAGGAAGGTAGAAGTTACAACTTTCCGCTCCATCACTGAATAGATATTTAAATACTGTGCAAAAATTGTCATTTTTAGAAATAGAGAAGCGTTATTTGATCATTTATGATGGGATAAAAAATTAAGAATGTGATTAACACTAATCAATATTTTTGCTGAGATGAAAAAATAGTGAAGTAGAGTTTTTCAGTAGATTTTTTGAGGTTCTCACTAAAATTCATATGGAACAATCAACGTCTGAATAAGCACATTGTTATCTTCTAAGTTAGTTATATGAGAGCGAAACAAGAACAAGACATTTTGAAATAGATACTGATTAATTCAAGAGACTTCTTGAAAGTTGTATTCCAGGTAATGCGATCATTTAAGCACTGTTTCGATTTACCATCGTAAATATCTTAAATGAAGCAGATCTAAAGTATCTCCTTGTATGTGAAGACTAATGGAAGTGAACTAAATAGCTTCAACTTAGGTTTACTTGGTATTAATTTGTTCGATAATAGATAAGCTAATAATATATAAAGTGATAAAGAGTTATTTGGTTTACAGAACAGTAAAATTTATCCCAAATACATTCTAATAAACTCATACATAAAAATGAACTAGTGTTGTATCATTGAGATTTTGTGTGCTATCAAATTAAAGTTTCATAACATTCGAATATAAGCACTGCACAAATTTTGATTTCCATGAATCGAAGAAGAAATTTTATTAGGAACTCTGAAGACACGTTGATCCTTCGTCAGTTCATCTGGAATGTCATTCCAAAAGATCGTAAATACTACTCATTATTTTTCAAGATCAACTTTGTCTAACTTAACAGTTAAATTTGGCAAATTAGGGAAAACAATATAAAGACTAAGAATACATCTCCTTGTTAATCTCTGTTGAGGTGGTCTTAATATACCAGTCAAACCGGATTGTCATATTGAATCATTTTATTGAGAACTGATGACTAAAGAATAACAATACCTAAAAAAAAGACCAACATATTTGTTTAAATTATACAGAAGAAGTAAAATGAATAGTTTAACCTATGAAGGAGACAATTTGTTAAAAACAGAAACTTCTATATGATATTCGACATGATAAGACAGTTATTTAAATCAAAACTATCTACTCACTTTTGACCCAATTTGATTACCACATTGTCCAACTTGTATATGTACTATTTCACGCATCTTTAATAGAACAATTTTTAGTTTATTGAGATAAAAATTTACATATAGGTTTCATCACTTAAATAGTTTGATTTCATTTCCTCTTCATCAATAATTGGTTACTGGAATTTTTTTTTTAATATGTAAGAAATTAATTATTGGTTACTGAAAACAAAAGAAAACATCAACACTTTAAATGGGTATCATCTAATTTACTTTAAAGATAATGCTTTCATTGTCACAGTTACACATGCTTACATGAGTAGATACTTTCATGAAATAATGAACAACAATGCAAAATGCATTGGTATACTTTAAAAAGTTGGAAGGATGGTCATCCTTGTTTATTTATAAAATTTTCATTTCATTCTAATAATAAACATCTGTTCAGATGTCTTGGTTGATTTCATGCATACTCACAAATTTGTACACGTACTATATACCTATTTAATAAAAATATAACGAGATTCTTATTAGATTTCCGATAATTAGGCCAAACAATACGTTACAAAATTTTCACTCCTAACTTTTCTCAGCACCCCAGATACCTTATGTTCAAGTATCCTTATTGTAATTTGTACAGGTTAAAGAAAAAGGGTGAAAAACATAATAGGACAAAGGTGACCATGGTTACTTGTTAGTATAACCTTGTCCTGTAAGAAGTAATTTTGGCGAAAGAAAAATAAGATTTGAGTAATTAATGTTGACCAAATTTTATAATAGTACATTCTAACTTACCTGTCCTCTACATTGTTTTTTCTACTTATTGAAAAAGGTCTCCATGAATAAATTTTGGTTCTAAAAATAAATTTCTAACCGCAGAAAAAAGTACAAACAAGAAAATCTTATAGATGATGCTTTCAGGTTTCTACCCATACCCTAATGAATATGATAAAAAATGAATCCCTATTTCTAATATAAATACTAATGACAGATTGTTTAAAAGTAACTGTAAGACAGTGTTAGTGATAGGTTGATAAAAATAGTTAATTGTGTTCCATCAACTGAATGCAAATTTTTAGAGCACAAAAGAAAATAAATTATTCTAAAAAAAAAGACTATATGTAATAATATACTGTTAAATTTAAACTGCCCTGTCATGAAACCGACTAAGAAAAGCCTTAGTAATTTCTAGAAAATAATAATATATCAGCTAACTGGTAGCGGTTATATCATTACAATTATCAGTTGACTTTCTAAGCAATCATTATCAAAACTTGACGAGTTTACATGAGTTTTAGGAATTGGTTAAGTGACGTGAGTAGATATAAATGCCTTATAATAATTAGTGTTTCTCATAAATTAGATACAAGTCATATGACTATCAACGGAATGTTTCACTCTCCTGGAACTCAAATCATCAATAATGCACTCAAAATTATCAAGCCGAAATAATTAAATAACTTAAACCATTTTAAAGGTAACTAGTCAAGTAGACGAACTGAGTAACACCATTCGTGGCACACTACTCATTATATGAACCTCAAACAAAAGACTTAATTGTTAATCGTTTAGACTGAGGTGCCATTTAATGGATCAGTACTTCCAACTGATGAGACTTATCAATACCTACGCGAGGTAACGATAGATAGACTAAAGCTTAAAAGCGCCTGCTCATCTTCCAATTAGTTCTGTGATATTTAAATAAATAAGCGTTGAACTTAACTGTCGATGAAGAAGTAAATGAAAAAAATGTTTGTTTATTTGATCAAGCCCGAACAAAATAAAACAGTTTCACTGTAACCCACTATCATGTACAATGTACGATTAACGCTCATTTTAAATTATCATCTTTACATAAGGTGGAAAAGAGAGAGTTGCATATAACTGAAATTGAAATCATCAACCTAAAAATGATAGGTCATTCAATCTTTTCTTCTCTCTACCTTATACATTCCTTGCGCTTTAATAAAACAACCAAACATTCAATAGAAAAAATACAAAATAAAACGATTGTTATCAAAATCTCAATTCACTTGATTGTTTTCATTGTATCTGAATAAGGTCTTACAATTATATATATAAACTTTAATAAAATGTTGTCATGGCGTTGAATAAGAAAGATGCAAATAATAGGGTAGCATTAGCATTATTGGTAAAGCAGTTAATAATTAAACTTAAGAAACAATGTTTTCTTTTCTTACCCAATACTCCAGTTGTTTTTCTTCTTACTGACTTAGTTAAATATTTTAGCGAGAATTGCTTCGATGCCTTAATTATTCTGATTAGTGGAGATCTCATTAACTATCTGATTCCTAGTATCCTAATACAACCTGTAAATACTGTAAAAATGTTTCAGTTGCATGGCTAATAGTATTTGTCTTGAGTTGCATTTGTCATTAGAACTGGATTCAATAGTTCAGTAGCTGACATTTTATTTTGAGAAAGTTAAGTATTGTGTCCAACATAGATTAGATGTGAATATTGTTGAGAAGTTCAGTGAAATAACTGCTCAGTGATCGATAATTTTCATTCACTATCCAGTTAAACTTGTGTATTGATCTGTTTTGAGATATACCAATAATTTCGACTATATTGCGTTATTTTACTTAGTGGAGAAACTGATTCAATAATTATTAGGATAACTTCTGATAAAAAAAAAAAACGAATCGACAGAATTGTAACAAGGTGTACCCAGATATCGCTTCTATTTGTATCATTTTCTTATGTTTAGTTGATAAACTATTTGTAAGGATGGAATTAAAGGCTAATTAATGATATGGAAAAAGTTTCACTTCGATAAACAGTTGAATATTTAAATCATTTTAAAAAACCTTTCCACTGAGTGGGAAAGAACAAACGTCCCATAAAACACAGTTTCATGGCTGTTGACTAATATTAGTAATTGAAAAGTTTAGCAGTAAATAGTTTGATTTGTAGATTGTTCTTGTCTCACTTAGATAAAGAGTCTTTTTCTAGCTTTGAGATAGGGTAGACGATTTTATTTGGTGAGTTCATTGCCTAACAATTTAAAGTTAAATGTTTTATGAATTTGTTATCACATCCTTGAATATTCACAAAAACTCACAAAATATCATATGACCATTATGGTAGTGAGTAACAAAAAGCACATAATCACTCGGAATTCCAAAACACTATTGTTCTCAAAATGATTTTCACTACAAATCGAAGTTAGTTAAAAGACAACTAAAAACTATGTAGCATTGTGTATCTTACAGCACCATAGTTTTAAAATTTCTCATAGATCAACATCAGTACAATGAAAAATTGTGGTTTAAAATAGGCATGAGTTGTAAATATAAAAACTATTAGAAAGGTTTTAGAGCTAAAATTCTAGTCATGTTCGTGTAATTAAATTCAAAAAAAATTATTTTATTCCATCTATCTGGGTTTATCAGATGTGAAATATTGTTTGCATATCCTGAAATTAAGTCACGAATGATATGATTAATAGGAAGGGGCATAACCGAATGCTTTTTTTAAAGTATCTGTTGTCACTAGTTATACAGTCAAAAATTATGCACACGTTTATAAGAGTAATCAAACAATAGACTAATAATCATCAAACAGTATCTGCATTATGTTAAACTTATACTGTTCCCCTATCTACCAGCACATTAAGCTCTGTATCTTTGAATTATATACTAAAGTCAATAATAAAAAACAATTTTCATACTTGATAGTAACTTTCAATCATTCGGGAACTTCTCCTTTATAGTTATTCTTAAGGTCGAAATTTGGACTGGTACGTTCCACCGACAGTACATTGTCTCGTGAATTTTATGACAAGGAGTTTTAATCATATTCACGTCATTATGTATCCTAAATTATTATCCCAACTAATCACGAAATCATGATTTCTTAGTTGATTTATAAATTCATTTCAACTTCCAATTTTCATAATGTCAATTAATGAGTAATGAACAATAAAGTTATATGAGATATTAATTAGATATGTTGATCTATGAATCTGAGTCAACTAATCTGTGACAAACATTACTGATCAAGTTGTGAAATACAGACTAGGCTGCAAATACCGTTTACTAAAGATTACTTTAACAACTAATGGTTGAATTAGCAATCGCTTAATTTGGTCGGGTTAGTTAAGATTTCAAGGCAGATCGACTGAACGTATTTGTAAAGTAATATAATAGAGAGAAGATAAAACTATTCACTGCTGTTTGCTTCGCAATAATTATTTGGTCAAATTATCAAGGTTTAAGAACTTTTAGTGAAAATAAAAATAAATGACAATAGTAGTGTGTTAAGGTCACTTGACCAGTTATTCTTTCTACAAGTAAGCCATACATAAATGTCCTCAAATTTAGTGAGTCAATAATCCCGAGAATAGTTGAAATTAAGCTAACCGTACCAATCTAATTTTTAATCGTTAAATGTACGGTAACACTAAATGAACATTTTACTTTGACTGATACAAATCTGCAACAGATTTTGATTACCACTTAACTGCTTCAAGACATAGATACCAGTGAAATATTTAGAGAGATATTGGGTGAACATCAATAAGGACCGACCGAGTAGTTTCTAACAATAACCCTGGTCATGTAAAACTAAACTGTGACTAATCACCCAGTTATCAATATAGGGGTTGTGGAGATTATTAAGTTTTTGATTGAGATCATGAACCGATTGATGTTAGACCACCATGGGAAACCCGGGAGCACTGGACGACTGTTTCGTCCTATTGTGGGACTCCTCAGAAGTAAGCATCAAGGATTCCGCTTGTGCGACTCGAACCCACGGCCTTCAGTCTTGCGCGCGAATGCTTAACCTATTGGACCACTGAGCAGACATCCAATGGTGTTCATGTCTAACGTCAACCAATCCATACTTACCTAGTTGTCAAGACCCATAATGAAGACTGTAATATTTTCAAAACCGTTCTAAACTTCTACCATTTCATTTAAATTATGTACTAACATATTGAAATGAAACATCTGTATAACTTAAGGTATTTATTGACATTTATAACAAATCGATCCAGTCATTAATTGATTGTTTATGTACGTGCCATTTGTATGCAAGACGATATTGACCTTCTCCATATACTAGTACACTGCTATGTCCAATGCATTGATTAATCTATCTAATAATATCTAATAGTCCCACCAGTCAGTGATGAAGGTATTTTCGATCAGTTCTCGGTATTAGAAATTCAGTTAAACTAAAAATAATAGAAATCAATAAATTTGTTTACGTTCACATTGTTTTCATGAATGTTTGTTGACTAACATGCAAAAAAAACACAACATAGTGGATTTGATTGACCAAAATATTCCGATTATTATTGACTTAGTTGCATTTACTATGCGCTTTTGTCTGGATTTTTAATTACTAAACATTAAGGGCGTACTATTTACTTACTAAATGTGGAATAAACATACTAAAATTCTGTTTAGAACAAGCTTTAATCTCCCTAAGATAGTAAATCAAAACGAATGAACTATCACTTATGCTTCAGTTACTAAACCAACACTCATATAATAACCTAATCCTCTAATATTATAAATAATACTCAGAAGTCACTTCCAGGCCTGTGTTTGATGCCTAGAAAAGGGATCATGGATGTACATTGTTGAGGAGTTTATTATTTGTACGAAAGATTTGTCCAGCGATTCATACTTTCAGTGGTTATCAAACTACTTATACAGTTATGTAAACTAGAGAATCCAACAGTTTCTACAAATCTACTATACTAATCATGACTTTAATCATTAAGCTTATTAAGTAAGCGTCTTGATAGTTTCTTGTATTCCATTATTTGGTGAATAAATTTTTATTGCCAAAATAATGTTTTATTTATGGCTATATATAAAAATCATGATTTAGGGGTCATATCAACACTTTAGATAAATAATATTTATTATGACAATGAATCATCAATTACCATAATTATTTTACGGTGAACAGTATTCCTCACGCTATTGGGACTATAGAAGTACGTCAGGGTACTCATTGCAAAAGTGAGGAATATCCATAATTGATTATATTAAAGCGAGCTATATATTATGCTAGGAACTTCAAATAGATACGAGGTCCTGTTAAATCGGTTGTCATTAGATTGTGAGCTTCCGATAAAATACTCAGACCAGACACTGAAATAAATGGAATTTCTGTTTCTTTCTCCGTTCCTACAGTCTGTTTATCCCTTGTCCAAAGAGTAGCTTATAGAATAGTATAAATTTTAAGAGCTCTCCTTAGTACTACCACATATATTCATCTCAGTGATGGTAGATAAGGTTTGTAGCTCAGGTGGATGTTTTTGGTGGATTATCGTTCTCTGAGGATCAAAGAAAGAAAGAACAAGAAGACAGCAATTAACAACAGTCGAACAAGAGCAGAGAAAGTCCAAGCACAAGCAGAGTACATAGAAGCAAACAAGAAAGTGAAGAAGAGCATTAGAGCTGATAAGCAAAAATACGTGGAAGAACTAGCAACGACGGCGGAAAAAGCTGCAAGAGAAGGAAATATGAGACAGCTTTACGATACGACGAAGAAGCTTGCAGGGAAATACAGTAAACCAGAGAGACCAGTCAAAGACAAAGAAGGAAGACCGATCACTGAGATTCAACAACAGCGGAACAGATGGGCAGAGTACTTCGAGGAACTCCTGAACAGGCCGGTTCCAATGAATCCACCGGACATCGAAGCAGCACACACAGATCTTCCTATAGATGTCAATCCACCAACGACAGAAGAAATCAGAATGGCCATCAGACAAATCAAGAGCGGACCTGACAATATACCAGCTGAAGCACTGAAGTCAGACATCGAAGTAACTACAAACATGCTTCACCTTCTATTCAAGAAGATTTGGGAGGAGGAACAAGTGCCGATGGATTGGAAAGAAGGACACCTCATCAAGATTCCAAAGAAAGGAGATCTGAGCAAGTGTGAAAACTACAGAGGCATTACACTACTGTCAATACCGGGTAAAGTCTTCAACAGAGTGTTACTGAACAGGATGAAAGACACAGTAGACGCTCAACTTCGAGATCAACAAGCTGGATTCCGTAAGGACCGGTCGTGCACAGACCAGATTGCGACATTACGGATCATCGTCGAACAATCATTTGAGTGGAACTCGTCACTCTACGTCAACTTCATTGATTATGAGAAGGCATTTGACAGTGTAGATAGGAGGACGTTATGGAAACTTCTTCGACACTACGGAGTTCCTGAGAAGATTGTCAACATTATCCGGAACTCATACGATTGACTACAGTGCAAAGTAGTGCATGGAGGACAGCTGACTGACGCATTCCAAGTAAGGACCGGAGTAAGACAAGGCTGTCTACTCTCTCCTTTCCTGTTTCTTCTGGTGGTCGACTGGATTATGAAGACCTCGACATCTGAGGGAAACTACGGCATACGATGGACAGCTCAGAACCAATTAGACGACTTGGACTTCGCAGATGACCTAGCCCTCCTATCACATACACACGAACAAATGCAGATAAATACAGCCAGCATAGCAGCAGTCTCTGCATCAGTAGGCCTCAACATACACAAAGGGAAAACCAAGGTCCTCAAACACAACACGGAGAACAGCAATCCAATCACTCTTGATGGCGAAACTCTGGAAGACGTGAAATCCTTCACATACCTGGGAAGCATCGTCGATAAACAAGGAGGTTCAGATGCAGACGTCAAGGCGAGGATTGGCAAAGCTAGAGCGGCATTCCTTCAACTGACGAGCACATGGGACTCAAAACAACTTTCAACCAATATCAAAGTCAGAATCTTCAATACCAACGTCAAGGCAGTTCTACTGTACGGAGCTGAAACTTGGAGAACTACAACAACCACCATCAAGAAGGTACAGGTATTTATTAATAGCTGTCTACGCATGATACTCAACATCCATTGGCCGGATACCATCAGCAACAGCCTTTTGTGGGAGAGAACCAACCAGCTTCCAGCTGAAGAGGAAATTAGGAAAAGACGATGGAAATGGATAGGACATACATTGAGGAAATCATCAAACTGCATTACGAGACAAGCGCTAACTTGGAATCCTGAAGGGAAGCGGAAAAGAGGAAGGCCAAAGAACACATTACGTCGGGAAATAGAAGCAGATATGAAAAAGATGAATAAGAACTGGAAAGGATTGCCCAGGACAGGGTTGGATGGAGAATGCTGGTGAGCGGCCTATGCTCCTTCACGAGGAGTAACAGGCGTAAGTAAGTAAGTAAGTAAGTAAGTAAGTAATCGTTCTCTGAGCTGGATGGTTTGGTTGTGGAGTCTTCATCATTATTCTGAACGACATCATCAGCACAAACTTCAGGTGGAAGTGATGTGTTCGAATTTCTTTACATATGGCTCACAGTTTGTCCAATAAACCTCGAACTTGTTTGGTTATTCTTGACCTTTAACATGTCATTTATCTCTAAAGACTATGTCATCTGAAAATCAAAGTTTCATACTATTTTCAACTCGAACTGCTGGTATTTAGTTTGGAAAATAAATTTCATCTGAAGTGTCGGGAGTTTAAAGATTCATCAATAGAACAAATACGGCTTCTATCAAAGTATTACTCTATCTTTATTATTCATCCCATTATTCAACCAAATATTTATGGAGGTTTAATTTATTCTGAAGTTTTCAACAAAGACTGGTATCAGCTAGAGAACTAGTGAACAACAGGAATTTACTTCAATATACAATAATATTTATATGCATATATGAAGATCTTATTAAAAACAATATTGATCGCTTATATGTGTGGTTCTAATTCACAATATGGGAATTTCTAAAATTGAAAACCAGGGAGTAATAGACCATACTGCTCATGTGTGAAACCACACAGGATCAAACCCAGAACCAAGAGCCATAAGAAAAACACTTTATAACTGAACTACTAAATCTCAATCGATGGTTTTAAGTTAATATGTGTAGAGGCTATTATTCATTGCTTTTGATAAGGATCTATCTCAGTTTCGACACAGTTAAGTTGGGGAAAGTTTAGTAATTTGGTGATCATCCCTAAGTCCGAAAATATACTATAATGTCAGTAAAACCGGAAAATTAGTGGTTCAATCTCTTGTTGATTGTTAAATATCCGTAGTTAAGCATTAAATTGTAGAAATATACATCTATTATTACCTAATTTTTGTTTTTCCAGCATATTTATTTCTTTATTCGATCTTTTTCACTTCGACCAACCACTCACACGAAATAAAATTTCACGAGATGATCACTGATGAAAGTCTTTGATGTGCTAAGAAAATCATGAATTTAGGATGTAAAAGGTGTACTTATCTTAATGAAGTAATCCTTGTTACATTCTAATATTGTTCTATAAAGTGCAAGGTAAACACATAGAAACACCATTTAAATTGACGACATATTTGATACTGATGAATAACGTTTGTGTGATTACATATTTTCGCAAACAAAGAAGACTAGTGATAACAAGTTATGTGCAAAATAGATAGTTTTATTTATTGGATGTCGAATAAAAACCTCATTCACACATATGCATAAATGATATAATTTTCATAAAGAGGTCTAACTACTGTTAAGTAGTGTGAAACAATAAGATAATTAATTCAAGTTAATGTTCATTAATTTTCACCATAGAAATTTTTGTAAAATGGGAACTACTCAAATTCCCCATCATCGACTGTTGCGTCCTGATACTGCTGATATTCACTTACCAAATCATTCATATTTGATTCAGCCTCAGTAAATTCCATCTCATCCATACCTTCACCTGTATACCAATGTAAAAACGCTTTACGACGGAACATTGCAGTAAACTGTTCAGAAACACGCTTAAACAACTCTTGAATAGCTGTACTATTACCAATAAAAGTCACCGACATCTTCAAACCACGAGGAGGAATGTCACATACCGCCGTCTTCACATTATTCGGAATCCACTCGACAAAATAACTCGAATTCTTATTCTGCACATTCAACATCTGCTCATCCACCTCCTTCATAGACATACGACCACGGAAGATCGCTGCCACTGTCAAATAACGACCATGACGAGGATCACAAGCAGCCATCATATTCTTCGCATCGAACATTTGCTGTGTCAGTTCAGGCACAGTTAATGATCGGTACTGTTGACAGCCACGACTTGTCAGTGGAGCGAATCCTGGCATGAAGAAATGAAGTCGAGGGAATGGGACCATATTCACTGCCAGTTTTCGTAAATCAGCATTCAATTGTCCAGGGAATCTGAGACAGGTGGTCACCCCAGACATGGTTGCACTGACCAAATGATTGAGATCTCCATAAGTGGGATTGGTTAACTTCAGTGTTCTGAAACAGATGTCATAGAGTGCTTCGTTGTCGATGCAGAACGTCTCATCAGTGTTCTCAACAAGTTGATGTACTGAGAGTGTAGCATTGTATGGCTCGACAACAGTATCTGAGACCTTGAAAAATAAGGAAGAAATGTGTAATTTTGTTCTAAAATCATATAAATTACCTTGTTTAGAAAATATGTAATACTTTTTGTTAGTTAAAATAGTTTCTACAATGTTCACTGGTCATCACCAGTATCAATCAGCGTGTTCAGCCGGCTTTTTTTTATAATAATATTTGTATTTTCACATAAAAATATTTCAGTAGATTCTACTCGTTCATTATCTTGGATGCAAAACGCATCACCAATTTGTCGGTTGATGTAATCCCTTAAAAGAGAAAGTTATACTAAGTGGTCAATAAGCACGTCATAAATCACGAATATTTTCATGACTTCAAATTAATGAACATAAATGGGTCTAGTAATATGTTCAAATATAAGTAACAAGAGTTTCTAAAATTTAATTTATTCAGATCCGGTACACCAGAATAATTTAACACCAACATATATTGACGATTTTGATGACTAAAGTATCTGTGCCTAGGTTTGTTTTTCTATGTAGCTCAACTATACTGGCTATCGGTCAGATAGTGTGAATAAATATTTTTATATGAAGCTCTTGTTAAGGCTTATAAATTCAAAAATCTCCCCATTTGTTAGGAGAAATAGACAGTTATTAATGAGAGGTAAGCTAGCGGGATTAAAAGTTGTATTTTACACTCATTGTTGAGGATACTTTGAAATATCAAAAGTGGATATTCTTAATATCTACTAGAATATTATTTCGTTGGTCAATAAACTTATAATTACAGTACTATAATTCTAATGGTTTTAATTTTTCATATTGCTGATTTTCAAGGCTGAGTCTGACCAGTCTCTGATAAAACGTCGGATGTCTCAATAATGCTTGTAGCTACAAGTTGGTTATATTTTTAACGTCAAGTCTAATGACAACTGTTTATCGCGAAAAGAAAAACAATCGAAAACCTTGTGTAAACAGTACTGAACATCGACATACCAAAATGTACTAGTCATTTACCTTTGGTGACGGAACAACTGAAAATGTGTTCATTATTCGATCAGGATACTCTTCACGAATTTTCGAAATCAACAATGTTCCCAAACCTGAACCAGTTCCACCACCAAGTGAATGAGTCAATTGAAAACCTTGAAGAGAATCCGTGTTCTCTGCCTCCTTACGCATCACATCTAATACTGAATCCACAAGTTCAGCACCTTCAGTATAATGACCTTTAGCCCAGTTGTTTCCTGCACCACTTTGTCCAAATACAAAATTGTCTGGACGAAAAAGTTGACCAAAAGGACCTGCACGGACACTATCCATTGTTCCTGGTTCCAGGTCTACTAATATTGCACGTGGAACATATTTTCCTCCCATCGCTTCGTTATAGTAAACGTTAATCCTTTCCAGCTGGAGATCTGAATCACCACGATATGCTCCTGCTGGATCGATTCCATGTTCGTCAGAAATCACTTCCCAAAACTGGAAATAGTAAGCACTATAATGATTTACATAAACAATGGACATTTATTTAAAAATATGATGTTTTTTCTGACATAGATTCTTGACTCATTTCATTATGCAATCATCATACTGATAAAGTAATTTGGATATGCGAACGAGAAAATCTGATATAACAGGTATTTTGATTCAAAATAATCGTCATTATATTTTTTATCCATACTAAAAACAAATGAAACAATACGATGACAACGTGGAATAAATCAATGTTCATTGACCAGGCCGTTTATTTCGAACTAATAAATAAGTCATAAACAGGTTTTCTGTAGTTGTATTTATATATATAAAGCTACACTCTTTGTGTGTGTGTGAGAATTAATGTTGTTACCCAGCTATTAAGCCTGACGTAGATGTATTATGACCTGAACATAAAAGAGCATTCAGGAAATTGTTTATTACCTGAATGTATTTTAAAGTTTGATTCAGAAAAGTTTTTGTAGTTTATAAGAGACCATAACAACCCGTAACAAATTTATCCACTATGAAAGAGATACACATAAATTTGCATAAGTACACATAGTTTTTTTTTAAAAAAAAGTAGTTTAATCTTGAAGAATTTGTTTTAATAACACCTACCTTAGATCCAATTTGATTACCACACTGTCCAACTTGAAGATGAACAATTTCACGCATTCTATAATGAACAGTCCCAATTTATTTGTCAGTTAATTACTTTTGATTTATTAATAATATCCTTTATATATATATATATATATATATATATATATATATATATATTTTTAAAGGTGTGTGCTTTATAGTTAATCTTTGTGTGTCCTGGTATCAAATCAACTCCGCTATTTACCATTGGTAGACTTTTATTTATTTTCAAAGTTGATTTGATTTAATTAAAGTGTTATAGTGAATGACACAACGAATCCTATTGGTTAAGCTCAATGCTTCTACACAAAAGAAGAAGAATATTATTCAAGAAAATTAATAAGACAGGTCTCGTGACATTAATAAACAACTTAATGAGATAATGAAATTCATCGTAATATGTAATTATTATGGTCTCCTAAAGAATGCCCTCGTTTTGTATATTGTTTCGGATATATTAGATATTGTTTATAGACTGACGATCTTTAGTTCTCTATTCTCTGTACACAAGATCAAATCAACCTGTTTTGTTAGTTATTAAAATAAATAGTTATTTAGGTACTTAATATTGAAACAATCGTGTTCACATTTAGGAATAATCTATCAAACATTACTTTAGTTTCAAGATAACCGGCAGATAACAGTAGTGTAAAGTAGAACGAAATTATAATTTTATATATCCTAAAACGTGATTATCTGGGAAATATAAGAGATCAATAAAAACTTTAGTTAGTTAATAAACCAGAAAAGTAACTAACATATGACTGATACGTGTTGTTTTAATACAATAGTGATTTTAAATAATAATACTAATGATTATGACCATAATTTTATCAATTAGATGACATAGAAATCAACTAACTTCTTGATCTAAAAATGCTCTCCTCAAAGATAATTCATGCAAATAAACTTACCGTTAGACATTTATATTTATTCTATACTCACACCAAAATGGTGTAACATAAAAATTTAACTATTTTCAGATACCTATTGGTCTTCAGCGTACTTACATTTAAGTCAGTTAGTTAGTATTATCTATTGAGGTCATGCATTTTTCTGTACATTATCTTAAGAGCCATATACGTCTGATCAATACTATAATGTGGTCATCCATTTGTGCTCATTTAGAAGCATATATTTGGTTAGCAGCTTAAACAACATTTACAACCATATTACATAAACACAAGTTCTATGTTATTATTTTATCAATAACAGTTGACTAAAATGAAACTAATACTCATCAAGTAAATCACCGCAAATTAAAATACTTTTAATTAAACAACTAAGTCTTACTATCACAAGAATTCAAGTTTTTCCAAATATTACCCTTAAAAAGTTTGAACATTATTTTGTGAGAAATTAGAATTGATTATAAAGCAAAACCTTTTTTTCAATATATTGAAAATTCCCATTTCGACATTTGGTAATTAAAGAATATATATATATATATATATATATATATATATATATATATATATATATATATATGATTTACAATAATGATATAATATTCATCGAGTGGATACGTTACGTAACAATTACATAATGACATTTAAATTAGCATTGAGTAATCGGAAGAAAGATGATTATTAATATTTAAGAAGTTGCTACGTTGTATAATATATGAAAAAGAGAAGGAACAGAATTTGTAATGGATGGTCAATAGAATAGTAGTTACGTAAGAATCAAGAGATGAATGTCGAGAAATTATAAAGTTCAAAAGTGACAAAACAAAATTTAAAAAAAACAAATGGAAGAAGTATGAAAAATAGTTCTATTGAAGGAAATTTTATACCGATGGCCAAGGCAGAAAAAGTGGCTGTACAAATTTCTTTTGAATGCAAAGGTTAGGTTTATGAACATGGATTGCGATGGCTTCCACAATGTGCAAAAGGCGCACTCGTAAATCATGTGACAGATTTGATGGGATATGGTAGAAAACCTTAAAAGCTTTATTCAATTCAACTTAATGACCTGTGTCTACCATGTGAGAGAGAATAGAACTTTTAATTACTTTTACCTGTCATTTGCTTAACCAAGACGGATGATGCTCTGTAATACGGTGACGAACTTGCCGAATTGTACGCCCTATATAACTGGTTCCACAGGAGCACTTGAACCGATAAATACACATGGATTTGGCGAATTCAGGCAATTTTCCTTTTCTTATTTTGGGGTGGATGTAGAAGATAGCATTCAGTCTGGCTGCATTAAATGTTTTTTTGTACAGCTCTTCTTAGATTCTGAGTCACGATCTCTTCAGTAGTATCATTTATGAATTGTAATTTTATGAACAGTACTTTCTTAGGGACGGTAGGTATCTTTGCCCTTGTTTTCATCTCCATCATGTGTTTGTCGATGAATTTCATAGGGTACGCATTCATACTAAGTAGGTTCCGAAATTTAACCAATTCATCTTCAATGGTGTCTTCCGAAAAAATCATTCTGGCATGATGAGTCAAGATCTTTATCAACTTCCTTTTGAATCTGATTGAAACTGCACTGTAGAAATGAGTGTATTGTCCTGTTTTAGACTTTCTGTGTACCCCTCTTTTTAACGTTTCATCTGCTCGTCCAGTTATTTGGACATCTAGAAATGATATGCTATTGTTCTGTTCATCTTCTGATGTAAAATTAATTGGATGGACGTTATTAAATATATTAAATAAATTGTTCTTATCATGTTCTTTTACTAATACTATATAGTGATAACAAGTTGGTAAATGGCTAATTGTGTTTTTAAGTGGTCCATTTTCCAGTTTTGTAAGGAAAATATCCGCCGGTAGAGGGCCCAATTGTGACCCCATGGCAACTCCATCTAGTTGTCTATAATATTTGTTGTCAAATCTGAATTGGACATTCATTGTGCATTTAAGAATTAACTGTTTTATTGCGGATGCGGGAATCGCGGTTTCTATGCCATGACGAAAAACTAATTGAAATGAAATTTCTTCGCTCAATTCGTTCCTTCTTTATTTACCAAAACTTTTTTTCTTAAGACCCAATTTAAACAGAAGAATTCGTAGAAATGAAAACTTTCTTCCCCAAATAGTCTTTATTCCTTGTTTATTCCCTATAAACTTGAACTTTTAAGATGAAAAATTAGATGGTGTGAGGGCAAGAACGATCATGATTGGTTGTCTGCCTAGTCAGATAGGTAGACAGTCTGACAGGTGTCAGATAAGTTATATATTCCCTTATGCTTATTATTGTGACACACTTATATACATACTCTTATTATGGATTGGTCATTGTTGTGGATTGTGTCGATTTTGGGTGTGGAAATATATTCACGTTGTGATCAGGCTAATTACGTGTTCTTGATCTGAGTTGTGTTGAAGTCCTGTAGAATAGACACTGGGAGGGATCTAGTGTAGATAATCGTTTAAGCGTTATAACATTAGACGAAGTAATACCGAGCGTTATATCATTAGACAAAACTATTGACTTTATTTTGCTGGCACTGGTTATTTGAATCTTCCCGTTGATGTTAAAAACTGAGATCGAAGATACAAACAAACAATAAAAATGAATTAAACCCCATTTTACACACCAACAGCTATCTGAACTCAGTAGCTAAGTGGATAACGCGATAGCATTTGAAGCGAACGGTACTGGGTTCAAATCTCAGAGTGAACATCAACTCCGGGACGCAGGTACATTGTGTCGTTGAGTCCAAAATAGAACAAAACGCTTGTCCTGAATCTGACTGCTAGTCACCACCCATCTCTGATTATAATGTTGACTTTATTGCTTGTCTGTGATTTTGAATTTATAGATATAAATTTAATAAAACTTTGTTTGTATAGCTATTTCATAGAAATTTGTTTAATCCCTAATTATAATGAATCATCATACTTTTCTTGTCTACTTTATCTTACTATATGTATTTATGTGATAGTGAATTCTTTGAAGCTATCATCTTCTGAAGAAATCATTTTTATTCAACTATGCATAAAAGTCTCTTGAATAAATTAAAGGGAAGCACACAATTATTGTATGTATGGAATCGATCGGGTAGAGATAGCCTAATTATTGACTAACTTACTAATCCAGTAATTAATGAATTCAATATCATATTAAACTAGCTTCATCTATAGTTTCATTCAGTGAATCAATGGTGCACTAAAACCGTTAAAGGAATACATTTAACATAAGCATAAATGGCTGTTATTATGCATAAAATCTAGTAAACACGAACTACTCTCATAGAAAGTATTAATGAGAGATTTGTCGAATAGAAGCAATCAGTAATCATGCTAGCTCCTATATATGTATATCACTCTTAATCATTGATTGACCTTTAAATTAAAAAGAAACACCTTGCAATAAATCATTCAGTTCATGAGATATAATGTATAGCGTTTTATTTTTCTATTAACTGACCTAAAAGTTAATCTATTCACCGTATTTTTTTTAAAATAAATACATAAGAAATCATATAACCAGAACGATCATTACATTTCTTTGTAGAAACACAAAATATACATTGGTAATCCATAATATCGATTGTTTAAACATGAATTTTTAATGAAACTCAAATCAATTCAGATTCATTTTAACATAACCCTATGAATGATGTCGTATAACTTGAGAACATGCTGGTTACGGATATTCATAAATGAATGTTTGGATTATAACATTCCAAAATGAATGTCTTTTTAACAACCTTCTGTTAAGAAAAATCTAAATTCTTTGAAAGAATAACTTACAAACAAACAGATTTATTTGATTACATTGTCAAAGATTAAAGGTTTTATTGATAACTGATATTAAGTATACTGTTTTTGGTGAAGTTACTGAGCTGGATGTTTTAATAGTAAAGCTTTCTTTGTCTTTCAAGATAAAACCATCAGTAAGAATTTCAGGTAGAAGTAAACTAATTATAACTTTTCGAAAGTAACCTAGAGCTTTTTCAGTTCTTAGACGAAACAAATGATAAAATAAATCAAAATGAGCCAACCTGAACATCAGTTATAAAATAAGCTGCTCTAATTGCATAAAACATCATATCAAACGCATTTCCTGGCGTC